TTTTGTGCAAATCCCACTTTAAATAACGAAGAAATTACATTAGTTAATGTATGTGACTAGTTGTGTACACATCTGTTCATTATTATACCTGTCAGCACGATCACAACACAAATCACATATGTACAAGTGCGTACATTCTGGATTCAAAACTGAAAACATTGTATTCCCAGTAGAATATGTCATTTAAAAACAAATTACGTTTAACTATGTTGTAATCAAAACACACGAGCAAGAAAGTAAGAAGATACGACCGTGTCGCCAAGACAATATTCATATGATAGCTAACTAGATATCTAAAGACAAAAGATCCTAGGCCAAAGATCGTCCAATTCAAAGTTTATTCGAATTTAAATTGTGTGAAATAGCCCGAGGCTTCGCGTGTGTGGCCTTTGCCAACGACCTCAAGTGGAACAACTTAATAGCCTTATACATCAATCTTTTATCGTTTTCCACGTAACTCACAGCAGGACAACGTATACGCAGACTGTGGCTTTCACATAAAAATAAAGGTCATGCAAAGTCTTTATAGTACCTAATCTAACACAATATCGACACGAATTCAATAATTTAATTTTTTTGTAAAGACAAGAGTAGAGATCATATACAACAAACTAAAAGTAGAAAAACAAAGTTAACATAGTAAACAAACAACATAAACTTAGTTTACAAATTCAGAGAACAACTTTTAACGAGATTTACTTTGAACTTACTGAGAATTAACTACTATACTTATTCTGAACTTACATGTTTGTCAACAGTAAACTGAACTTACAAATTACCTTAAACTTAACCTCAACTAACTGCAATAACATCATTTGTTAATCAAAATATTTTTTGTAGTTCTATTATAGTTTGTATTATATGTCAGTAAATAATACTTAAAGATATAAAAACATGTTGTTACTACAATATCAGATAAACCTGACACTCAACTTTACTAATAATAACTTGAAAACAGATATAAGGAGTAAGATTGGGAAGGAAACAAACAACTTCAGTTACTACAAACAACAGCAGTTACCAGTAATCGCAAAACAAAGTTAAATTGTTATTCGAAGGTTGTCACTGCCATCCCTTCATAACACCCTTTTGGACTTTTGAACTTGAAAGTCTTAAAAACAGAAAGTAACTTATAAATAGTCAATGACTTACTAAATAATGTACACTATATCTAAGATCATGGTATCGGTCGGAAATGTCATGAATAATGTCAAAGTTATTCTTAGATAAGGTAAAACAAAAACAACTTTTCAAATTGGGAAAAATCCCATCCAAAGCTCGTCTACCCAATTGATAAGAAAATAAAGTACTACAAAACACAAAAGACAGTACCACTACCTAAACTTCAAGACGAGTATTCTAGATGAGATGTAGAAGATAATGCCTTGATTGTTATCTAATTACCTCATTTCAAAGCGACAATTCGAGACCAACTCTTAAACCAATTACATTACAAACTCCAAATGACATTTAGTAACTTTTAAAAATGACACAACCTTTAAAAGTTAATCAAACCACTTGATAAACATGCTGAACATGCTGTAAATTAAAATGTCTTAAAAGTAGTACTGTACTATAAAGTGTCAAAAGAAGCACTTTAAACATTTACACATGTCCAAGTGTCTTTTCTCTGATACGACACGTACAACAACAACTGTCACGTAGCAAAACAAGATACGATATTATCTGTCGTATGTTTTTCAAAAAAAAGTGTCTTTAAAACAACGTGTCTACGTAGTTATATGTTGTCTTACTACGCATAATTAAAAATATAAGTAAGTAGACACGGCTAGACACAATATATACATGTATATAAGTCCTCAAAGTGAGTCACAAAACCAAAATCTCAAAATACAAACTTCTTAAGACTACACTCTACTGTTTTCGACTGAGTAAATAAGCAAACATGTCGAGTCCAAAAGTGCAATAATAGGAAGTAACTTTGTTAACGACAAACGACTACTCTTGAGATTAAAACTACAAATAATGAATTTATTAGTAATACAAAGGCCAGTTTTACTGACACTACAACTACAAACAACACAACAACTACAACTTATGTCAAATTAACTTGTCATAAATAGTTTTAGTGTGTGGAATAAAATCCAGTTCAAATACAACTCAAAGAACACTCTAAAGTCGCCATCTACTTTAATATTTTGGTTTTAAAACAGCCACCAACCCCCAATTGCAACTTTTCCAAAAAATCGATTTCGAAACGAGAAAATGTATGATTTTTCAGAGTAATCGATTTCCTTTTCCAAAAACAACATACGGAACTGTGGACAACAATCAGTAGTTTGTTATCACTAAATTCCCAAAACCCCAATTCCAAAGTCCAACTAAACCGACAGCTTTAACTCATAAAACGAATTACTAGAAGAGTCCCCCCCCCCCCCTAAAGCCTTTATTCTCGAGTCTTTTTCCGGTCGAGAGTGAGAGAGAGAGGGGAGGGGAGCTGGATGAGGGGGTTTTTATGATCTGTGACACAAATAACTTGTCCCTTCTCAAGTGCCGAATTCGATTAAGTTATGCAAATAAGCAAAAAAAATAATTGAATTTGCACGTTTTAAAGGACCGTCAAGGTCCAAGAGAGCAGTTTAAGCCATACCTCGTATAAAAAAATAATATCACAACATTCTTATCGTCCAATAAAAAGAATTATTCTGTTTCTATCGTCACAAATCATATTGTGTCTTGTTATCTTTTTACCACAAGCCTATACTTTCATAATATAAACCTTAATAGAATCCAAACGTAACAAAAGTCTACACTATTATATTCTCTATGAGATGGATAATGTAGTTTAAAACCTTTATTTGTATTTTAATCTCAGCGTAAGGTAAATCTATACTTCAACACCAAAAACAATTGAAAGTTAAAAGCAATTAGTACACCTTTGATGTACGATCTTTGGATAATAATGCCACCCACCGAAAGTGTTAATTACAATGTCATCAAACAACAGTTAATGACATGTTTTGTCACAAAATTGCTTCTACATAATGCTTTAAAATCACAGAACACTATAATCTTTAAAGTCCATTGTCGATTTGCATTACTTCCGAAGTAACACAGTAACTCATTGAATACTGAAGCTTCAGATATTTCAATACAAGATACTATAACAACCTATACTACATCTGTAACTTTTATAACCTTAAGTTTAAGAGAAAAAACTTTACTTCAACCTATATAGTACTAAACATAAACATAATATTATAAATTGATGTATTCCACCACTAAATCAAGCTCTACTATAATATAACAAACGTCACCTTAACTCCCACTCTATTATATTTTGTCAAAAACAAATTTTAAAGCGATTAAGTCACAATCGGTCATAACATAACGTTATTCATAATACTCTTTTAGTTAAGACTTCATTTTCCTATAATATCGTCTAAACCACAATAAATCATATATATATATTTATACAGGTTGTATAACATACATTAATGTGCCTATCTAAAACAACATGTCCTAATTTATGCAAGTTATAAACTATACTTTTGTCGCATTTAAACAAATAGCGTTATCACGACTTGAATCATAAGAATAAATCACTCCGTCTGTACATGTACGTATTCGAAGAGCAAAAGACATTCAGATAGATCTCTGGTCCAATTTCGAAATGAAATTATGCGAAAAGATGAAAAACATGTTGTGTCCAGAGATGGCAATCAACTAGGTATTTGAATATGTTTTCAAAGACTCCATAGTAAAAGTGCAAAAAGTCTTTTTTAAAGCAAAAAGGTATATATAACATACTATAATATATTTCCTCCAACAATATATGTTAATCATGCAAAACCCTCCTAAATTGTACTGCAAACCCAAAGTCTAACCGATAAACGTCAAACAATGTACATCTAGACGTATAATACGAAGAGCCGCAATTTCTGACGAGTAAAAAAAGCATTAAATTCCGGTCGATTTGGACTCGGCACATAAAAAAGTTGTGTGAGAGAAAGGCCAAGCAATGTGAAGAAGCGGCTGAAGACAAAAGAATAAAATTGAAATTGCTCCAAACGGAGCAGAGTTTGAAGTGTCGTCTACCAGCAGCGATCAAAGTACGACGGATGCAAACATACGATGAGTAGAGATGCAATAAAGAACGATGACTAATTTGGTGGGAAAAGGAATGACAGTTCAAGCAAAGACCTGCTTGTGTGCAAAGAACATACCCTTCTACAAACTTTTGGGCCAAAAGAGCAAGTTTACATTGTTTCGTATGGTGTAAAATATGTAAGGCTGGTTAAAAGACTTAATAACAATACTTAAACATTTAAACAAATTTTATATAGTCATATAAGCGTGCCTGGTAATATCTCGTATATTCTAGTACCACCTTCACATCTACGGCTTCCCAATTTTAATTTTAAAATTCAAAATTTGTTAAAAACAAGATAATCCTTCAATAAGGCAAAAGTTTACGCCTTCATGACGTCGTTAACAACAATAACATAAAGCATACAAGCGATATTTTATGCTTGATATCTAGTGATCGACTAATCTAAAGTACTTAATAATATACCACCACAAAGCACTTACACTAAACACATAAAATACTTAAACTACTGTAATGTAAAGTACTTTTACTAATATAACATCACATTTTTTAGAACATTTTACCTTCTTTTTTTAAAGTTAACAAACGCTTCCAACCCCACCCCTAACTTTTTTTATAAAACAAAAGTTACTGCAGTAGAGAACATACTACAATATGCTCGTAATCCTCCTACATTTTAAAGCTTCTTCCAACTTTGAATTTGTAAAGTAACATCTAGAAAACATTTAATTTTTACACTCAAAGTATAAGTAACATCATTCCAAAAATAATATATATTTTATGATTTATTGATTATCAATAATAAATTAACAATAATGTACACTTATATACAACACAATAGATAATAAAAAGCTAAAACTAAGCTTATACAACAATACTATCTTATTGCACAATTAAAAGGGAAACTCTAACTACTACGTACTGTGGTTTAGTCGACTTCTTCGACTGTTGGTCCACTTGCCTGACCACCAAATCCACCACTTTGTTGACCACAAGAACTAGCTCCTTGAGGTTGTTGATGCAGTTTGGAGAGGATCTTGGTACAGGTAGTCTGAGCCTCCTTCAACTGGTCTTCGTACTCCTCCTTCTCGGCCGTCTGGTTGCTCTCTACCCAGTTCAAGATACGATCACAAGTGTCCTTGGCCATCTTCTTGTCATCTGGAGACAGACGGTCACCGTACTCGTCCAAGGACTGCTTCACTTGGAAGAGGTAGGCTTCCAGACGGTTTCTGGCTTCGATCCTTTCACGTTGACGACGATCTTCCTCCTCGTACTTCTTGGCCTCGTCCAGCATTCTCTGGATCTCGCTCTGTGACAGTCGGCCCTTCTCATTCTTGATCTGGATCTTGTTTGTCTTTCCAGAACTCTTCTCCATCGCGCTCACATTCAGGATTCCGTTGGCGTCAATCTCGAACGTCACTTCAATTTGTGGTACTCCACGTGGTGCTGGTGGGATACCCATAAGTTCGAACATGCCGAGACGGTTGTTGTCTTTGGTCATGGCACGTTCTCCTTCGAACACTTGAATCGTGACTCCAGGTTGGTTGTCGGAGAAGGTCGAGAAGGTTTGTGTAGCCTTGGTAGGGATTCTGGTGTTGCGTTCCACGATCTTGGTCATCACACCGCCAGCTGTCTCTATTCCAAGTGATAATGGAGTCACATCGACCAGTAGCACATCCTTCACGGCTTTATCTTGAACTCCACTCAAGACGGCAGCTTGGACAGCGGCTCCATAAGCAACGGCTTCATCTGGGTTGATGGATCCATTCAGTTCCTTGCCCGAGAAGAAGTCCTTCAGAAGCTTCTGAATCTTGGGGATTCTAGTAGATCCTCCAACCAGCACTACTTCGTGAATGTCAGACTTTCCAAGTTTGGCGTCACGAAGAGCTTGTTCCACTGGCTCCAAGGTAGATCTGAATAGGTCGGCACACAATTCTTCGAAGCGAGCACGAGAGATTCTAGAGTTAAAGTCGATACCGTCAAACAGTGAATCCACTTCAACGATAGCTTCTGTAGATGATGACAAGGTCCTCTTGGCGCGTTCACAAGCAGTTCTCAGGCGACGAACAGCTCTGGCGTTGTTCTTGATGTCACGACCGTGCTTCCTCTTAAACTCGGCTACGAAGTGTTGCATCAGACGATCATCAAAGTCTTCTCCACCAAGATGAGTGTTGCCAGCAGTCGACAAGACTTCAAACAGTTGGTCGGCAATGTTCAGAACAGAGACGTCAAACGTTCCACCACCGAGATCAAAGATGAGAACGTTCTGATCCTTGGCCATCTTCTTGTCCAAGCCGTAGGCCAAGGCGGCCGCTGTTGGTTCGTTGATGATTCTGAGAACATTCAAACCGGCAATGACTCCAGCATCTTTTGTAGCTTGACGTTGTCCATCATTGAAGTAGGCGGGCACGGTAATAACGGCGTCTGTGACTTTGTGGCCGAGGTAGGCTTCGGCCGTTTCCTTCATCTTCGTGAGCACCATCGACGACACTTCTTCAGGTCTGAACTGCTTCTTCACTCCCTTGAACTCGACCTCAATGACGGGTTTGTTGCCTCGTTCCAACACCTTGAAGGGCCAGTGTTTCATGTCTTTCTGAACGGTCTGGTCATCGTACTTTCTTCCAATCAATCTCTTGGCATCAAACACTGTGTTCTCGGGGTTTCTGGCCGCCTGATCTTTGGCTGCTTCACCAATCAGACGTTCTGTGTCGGTGAAGGCGACGTAACTGGGAGTGGTCTTGTTGCCCTGGTCGTTGGCGATGATCTCCACTTTGCCATGTTGGTACACTGCGACACACGAGTAGGTAGTACCAAGGTCAATACCAATAGCTTTGCATGAAGCCATAGTAGTATATACTTCTGTAGAATAAAATTTAATATGTAGACAATTTCTTGTTTGAATTGACTTTCGCCGTTCGCAGTTCGCCTTTTATACCCTTTCGCCCGATCCTCTAGTCTTTTCGCGGTTTCGCCGGCATTTTCGCGAAACTCTCTCTTTCTCTGATCGTTCTCTCTTTTCGCGTTCTCTCTTTTTCTCGAAGTTTCCTCACGTTTCCTGGCGTTTCTCGCGTCTTCCGCGATGGGAGCCAAAAATAATATTCGGAAAGTTGTTTTTGCTTAAAATTCTGCAAAAAGTTTGTTTAAAATTCAAACTTGACAATGTAAACGTTGATATTGTGTTAGATGACGTTTGTAGAAGTTCTTTTTGAAGCAAAAATGGTGTGTATTTCGTTATTTTGAACAAAATAGATACGGAATTAATATTTTAGGTATATATTATTTTTGGACCATAAAGTTTACGTTTCAAAAGTAATGGCACTTTCAGTTTTTGTGGAAGTAATTAATGTTTGATGTGGATTAAACCACAAGTTAACGTGCAAGGCTTCAATTTTAAGATAATCTACTTTTACATTCAGAATACAAAACAGAAAATACATCGTACAAAGTGAGCGGCCTATGTTTAAGTAGGGTTTTGGTTATTATTTTAGATTTAAAACCTTCCAAAGATATTAAAAACGTTTGCAAAGGTGAAAGGACTACAAACTTTTACTGCAATGTTTTAACAAAAATAAAGAAAACAAACGTAAATAACAAATAAAGTAACTTAAACTACAAACGGAATGTTAATTACGTCTGGAATTGTAAATTAATTTAATCTGCTGTAGACGTATGTAAACATGTCTGAAATTTACATTGGTTACAATTTACATTAACTCTGATAAACACTTCCTGTCACGATTAAGCACGAGCGAGGTAGAATTGTATCGTATCATTAAAACAATGTCAATATAAACAACCGTAAAATACAAAAATTGGAACAGACTTCAAAAAAGGCGTAAGATACGATTGTTATGGTGGTATGTTTGCACGTTTCCTAAAACTACAAACTTTTACTGCAATGTAGTTTAGTTTATTGGATATTACACATGCTCTTCCGGCCTTATAAATAATGGATTTTAACATTCCGAGAAGCGTTCCTTTTGATATTGCACATGTATGTTGTGTAAGTTGTGTAATTAAAAGCGTGCTCGACATGTACTTTATGCCAATTTGTAACACGACAAATGACATAAGACACGAGTTTAGTTTTAGACTTCTAATACCTTTTCTCTAAAGTTCAAGAAAAGCTACAACAATATAACATAGATAGACCTAAGTGAAAACAAGAGCTATACCTATATATGCATATATCTACATGTAGCGGTAAACTGTAAAAGATTGTACATGCAACTGTCTTTCTACTCTAAATGAAACTATAATTAGGTAATATTCGGTATCCCAGACATGTCCACGTTCTCTTTAAACCAACATTGTCTATGTTCGTACTAAACATAAGTCCATAGTAAAAAAGTTACATTAAGTCTATTAAAGCACGAAGTAAACGCGTAAAATAACATGTCAGAATGGTAATTATAAACACCGGAAGCAATTATCATATCAGATACTACACCGGATATAGCTAACGTCATCGGAACTCAAACTAATCGAAATACATATAGTTTGATACCTAATTGTGGCATTAATATCTTGCTATGTTACACACAAAGATGTATGAGTGTTATATTAGTTTTGCAAATGTGTAACACACATATATATTAATATACAAGTGTAATATTAATCAGAATGAAACACGAAAGTGCAACTGTACAACATCTATTCACGCATGGTATATGTATAGGTATGTGTAAGTTATCAATACATATAGTATGTAAATACTTTGCTTTTACGATATACATACTAGCGCAATTAATTTCACTAATAGTATAATATTGTTTCGTAATTAAATTTGTTACGATTACATCTCGCACACAAGTTGTAAAAGAGTCCATCGCGCAGAGAAACGCTATCGGCGATAAATCATCTATCCTAGAAGTAATGATAGTCTCTCGGAAATAATCAGAGAGAGGTTTTTTGTGTGTCGGGGTGCAGTCGGAGATTTAATATTTAGTTTTACTATGTTACTATTATTGAATTAAACTTGTGTATAATAAAGTAACCGATGCTAATTGTATTCGTATTATACTAAATTATTATGGTACAGTAGGTCTAGCAGGTCCGATAACGAACCTATCGGTGTCGTATAGGAATCTATGTGATAGGGGAAGAATTAAGGCTATCAAAAAATAATATACCATTTCCCTATTATCAAATTAACTGTAAGTAAACTAAATGACAATTTACTGTAAGTATATCTGATTTTCTACAACAATGTTATTTCTTTAAAATGTAGGGTGTAGTAATAATGATACAGTAACAGTTCCCATTAACAAAACGGCCGTATTCCCTAAACATACTAGCCATATAACATTTGTAGTTACATCTGCCAACATAGCACACAAACTTTTGGAATTAAGTACATATTCACTAGATGTCTAAAGTAACAAAGTGAATTCAAAGTGGAAGAGTTTAAAGTTCATTTACGCTTTATTACAAAACATACTAAGTTGCGTGATGGTAACTTTTGTAAAAGTAACAGTTTCTATCTTTAACCGCAGTAATTAAAGGTACAAGTAAAGCTGTGGTTGTACATTAATATATGGGTGTAAAGTTGGAAATGTAATGACAGAGTTCAAGTAACTATCTTACACAAGGATTATCTGCAATTTAATAGTATGGTATTTCATCCCACCCGGTCTTTACAGTGTCTTTAAAAAATAAACATAAACATACCACAATTTTTTGTTTAAAATGTTAGAACTATAATAAAATGTAAAGCAATATAGTTTTTACACTTCTGAATCAACAGCTGAGTGTGATATGGTGTGGTAAAGTTTTTCTGGTAAATTCGTCATTATGACGTACTTTTCAAAAATTGTCTCAGGTCATAAAACATAATTATTATAATTTAAAAAATCATAGAGCAAAATTTCTTAGGCACATCCTTTACTTCAGCCGACTCAATTTCTCCCAAATCGTATTTAAATTGTAAAAAGGTCAGTAAAGTAACTCAAAGTACAGTACTCCGCCCGAGAGTTAAGATTGTAACCTTTTATGTTAAAAAGGAACGGCGTAAACAGGCACAAAGTAATCGGAACAACGTGGTAAAAGACTGTTTACACCCCAGCACACAATCAACTGTAGTGGAAAAGACCAACTATTTTAACATACCATGGTTAATATTTAATTTATGTATATTAATTACTGAATACAATAGCCCAATACAAACTAAATAGCATTACATATATATAGTTGTAAAATACGTAATAAAGATAATTAACTACCGAGAACTAACAGTTTTGAAATACGACAGTAAAAAGTACATTTACTGTAGGCGACACAGAATACTGTAAAGCTTTGACGGTATTGAAAGATGGCTGAATTAGACCAACTTCCGATGTGTAGAAAATAACATGGCTTACGTAGTAAACCCGTGTGATAATCCTAATCTGGTAAAGCCTTAAAATGAACTTTGTCTTATCTGAAACAGTTACATAATACTTGGAATTCGCATTTATGTTCTAATACCAAGTAAATGTCATAAAAGATTGTAATGAAGACCGTTAAAGTTCCGCACTCAATTTCTTTCTACATTAACAGTCAAAGCACCAGTGTAAATTTACAAAATGAATTACATTAAGCTACGGCCTATTTTACAATTATGTTATGACCCAAATGCCACAATAAAACCATTTCGAGTATGATAACCTTTGTTACTTAAAGTAAACGTGCGAGACTCTTGAATACTCGATCGTAAAGAGAAAGGGCTTTTGACGTTTTTCGAAATCCTTTAAATTTTGTGAACTCTTTTTGTCGAGTTGAAACTAAAACATAGCCAGAGGCGTTAAGAACAAATAGCTAAATTAACAAACTAATTTTTGGATAACATACAATCCTACCAACAAATTTTTACACAAAATTGACCAGCTTACACTTTTCTATCATAACCAACATCTATAATACACATACAACTACTATAAGAAGAATCTACGACATATATGTTATACTATTACTATAAGAAGAGTCGTTAACATACATATCACTATTACAAAAATTTACTTCAAATGACTTAAGTTCTTAATAAAGATTTTAAAAAAACAAAGGCTGTCTGTCGTGACCTTTAAGCAACGAAACTTCAAAAATTGTTTGATAACACTAATTGACGTAGCGGCTCGCATAAGTTATTATACATGCTCACTTCCTCAAAATAAAATACACATATTACACACGTAGCAAGAACTAAAAGCAATACCTTGTCGAAATGACATTTACGGTCGCCCAAAAGACGTGACAATAACAATTCCAAGAACTAAAAGTACTCAAAACAGCGTCCTTAACTGGATTCTTGAGGATGTAAGACGTGAATGAAACTAATTGATGAAACTTTATCAACTAGACTTTTAAATTTATATTATAGTGTAAAGAGCATTGATTTGTTACCTTTTTATAATAAAAGTAACTTCTCTAATTTAAAAATTATTTTATATTGTTAACCACAAAACATAATGTCATGTACCTATAGAACATACTATACATAACTGCCTTCAACTAATTAGAAATTACAATATTAGTTTAAAACGGCCTCAAGTATAAAAACATTATGTTTTGTTTGTGAAAAAATGAAAAGTATTTTAACTCTATAATTAGGTATAAAAATAAAATAATTCTTTTCCATATAAATCATAAAATACGAGCGGATAGTAAGCCCAGTCACATGACGACATTAACGTTCTGTTCCACTTTTAAAGATAAACGTCTGGGTTAGAGAGACGCTCTCCTCGTTCCTCGCACACTCTTGTCTTCTTGAAAAAAAAACGTTTCTCCTAGAGATTCTATTTATACGATGTCACACCACAAACCCGAACATACCAACCGGTTACAGACAATAATATGATTTATTAATGCCACATGCTTTTGTAAATACGTACATTGTACATGAAAAAAGACAGACAAAAAAGTCATTATGAGCTTATAAAGAATGTCACATCAGTAGCGTATCTAGCAGGTAGTGGTATAGGTAGTACGGTTATGTCAAGCTCGTCCCATGTCAAAGAAAAAATTCCAAACATAAATTTTCAAATTGAAAAATTTTTTTACTTTATGTATAGACATTTTAACTTTAATATCTAATTTCAAAATGTACAATATATGAATAGTCATGTAATAAAAACCCAATAAAAGTATGTTGACTACTTTAAAGACATGAGAATGTATTCAGATGACGCACAAACTCAACATAAGTGACTCACCCTTTTCAATTAATACACCAAATTAGTCATTGTCTACACTCTCACGTACTACTTTCAAATTGTAAACATCCTAATCTATTTTAACATACGAAAAAAAAATTACTCAGAGGTTACTGTAGCATGTATTCATAACCATTGACCTTTTTTTATTTTTTAGTTGGTTTAGTATGGTACTAAATGGTACTAAAGTTTAAATTGGTACTGTTTTAATATGTTTAGTGCTAAATAGTACTAAATTTTTAATCGGTACTGTTTTTATATTTTTGGTACTAAATAGTACTAAAATCCCAAAAAGGTACTGTTATGTTAAAACAGTACCAATCCAAAATTTAGTACAATTTAGTACCATAAGACAACTAAATTAACTAAAAAATTTAAAAAAACTCTTTAAAAAATCCGCAAGTGTCCAAAAACCGCATTTGTCCTAGCGCCCATTAAAAAGCTATAAACCAATGTTGCTGATATCTAGCTTGGTCAAAATCTACTGTTGGTGTCTCACTCCGTGGGTTCAACTGGTAAGAATTTGTTTAATTAAAAAAACAGCTTAGAATCCTTATTCAGAGTAGTAACATCACTGACAAGGTAATCATTCTCAAAAACCTAGTTACTGGTCCAACGACAGCTTACCATAACATTAATGTTGCAGGAAGCGTTTTTATCTTACAAGAACTGTAAAATAGTTGTGCAGAGTTTGTAAAAGCTATAAAATTTTAAAAACTGTTCAACTTTTGATATACTGTTTAGAACCTAAATCATATAAGCTCTTTAAAAGACCACGAAACGTAAAAGTAAATATTGAGATTGCCTGATTTTAGCCACAACACGCCCACTTTTTATGTTTCGTGTTAAATTTTGAAATTTAGGCGCTTTCTCCGATTCTAAGCTCGGTCGGCCCATGTGTTATCGTTGGTTACTGTGTGATTACGGGAGCTGATGCTGGAATCGCCAGCACTCTGTTGTACATCTCCTTTCACTGGATACCGGTTCTAAGTCCGCTTCAAACAATTATAACTATCCACCATGACAAGTTCTTTTCAAAACTCTTCGGTTGGTCCTAACTAGCCTATTGATCACTTTTATATTTTAGTATTTTTGAAAACAATATTGAAATTGTATGTAGACTTACCGTAACTGTCATACCACAAAATTTAATTTTTGTTTGACGTTTACTCTTCACCGTCCAAATGAACAAAAAACAATAATTATTGCCACTAATTGATGTTTATATTTTTGAAAATACAAAGATAGATTGACATAAAACTACCTACATGGTTGCTTTGAGAAGACGAGACACAAGTATTTGAACAATAATTTGTACGGCAACAAACATATTGTACAGTAATACACAGTATTTACTTGTAAATATAAATATATTACTTTTTGTTTACTAAATGAACTATTACTAACCTTTATTTAATTATGGTACAACACGTATTCTTTGTCTCATAGACTTGCCATGCTCTTGTAAAAGAATAAACATTTATTCAAATTATCGATAATTTGTTTATGTTTAAGGTAGAAATGAGTATATTCAAGTGTTTTTGTCCTTTTTGCGTTTTATTTAATATTTATTTAGTGCTGACGAACTACCGTAAACTAAAAACTGATTAAAAAGAAGCAGTTAGTGTTAACTGTCTGTAGAACCTGTAAATGAGACTACATATCCAGAAAACGGTTTGTTAACCATATTAACAAAGACCATTCGATACGGTTTGATAGTAATTATAGTCGATAACGGGGTTAGGATAGGTATCCAGTAGAAGAAGATGTAGATTACAAGACTAATCATTCCAGCATCGGCGCCTTTTAAAGTACAGTAACCCACAATAGCACACGGACCAACCGAACTCAAGATTGGTACAGCTGCCTAAAATTGTTTCATCAGCAAAATATCTCAAAATTGTTTTACAGAAACGTATTTTACAATTGCTCATTGGTGTTTTTTAACAGCAAAGATTACGTTAGACCATTAGAGTTATTACCTGCAACAGTTATTCAAGTGTTATTGGGTTATTACCTGCAACATTAAAGTTCTACTGAGCTGCTTTTGCATTCTCAAAGATCTGTTTGAAAATGAGCTCATATTGTGGACCAAAAACCGCATTGTCAATCGACCGAATAGTATTGCTATCAAGTAGAAAGTCGCGGATCCAAATAATGTCAGAAAAATGAATAATTTTGTAACATTGCTTCTCTGAAAAGAACAAAGTGTCATATTAAAAATGGCATTGTAATGTTGTGGCCTCCCTTTGTAAGAGTTTTATCAAAACGTTTTCATTTTTCTTCCTTGAGGTTAAGAAAACGTATTTTAACTTTGATAAAATCTATAGCAAAAACACGGTAGTATGACCTTTGATAGTGTAACCCTCTGTATAACTCCAATCAAAAGATGCCGGGGTAGTGTGAAAATCATCTTACATTTCTGGAGTAGTTTCTTGAGTCTAATCTACCCCGATCCAGTCCCTTGAGTTTCATACTAAATAGGTTTGACAGTATTATTTATTCTTAACTTACAATGTCAACTGGCAAGATAGTCGGCCCAGACCTGGGATCGAACCAAAGACTAGCATAGTTGAAGTCTACCCGTGGCCCATGCGTAAAACTAAGGTATGCTAGGGTTCCATAGGCACAGGAGATAATGAATGCTGTTGCGTACAGGAGCGCCATTTTTATATGTAACCAAGTCCGATTTTGTTGGCTACTGAATGTTAAAAAGTATATATTTATTTAATAAAAAATAATTATAATCATTTATTTACCAAAGTCGAGTGTTTGTAAAATTACTTACTGTTTCATGTGAATGTAACGGTAATAATAATTTACTGGTAATATTGCAATTGCAGCTGCCACTCCAATACTGCTTAGTCCCATACATAAAGCTTGTTGGTCGTAATTGAACCATTTAGCCAGACCGTTAAGCTTTATTGCAACTACATTGTCTTTGATGTTACCGCACTGTAAAATCACATATAAAAGTTCAAAATATACACATTACCAAACAGTTTTTTTAAGAAACTTTTTTGAATGATCGTATCCACTAAAATCACCCCTGTCGTGACCCTAAACACACCCTAAAGATTAAAAAAATAAAAACCTAAAAATGACAAGAGTCTTACCGCTTGAACCATGGACATGAAGAACCAAAAAAAGATGTCACAAGAAGAGGATATAAGTAACATGGGTTTATAATTCTTCAGTGTCTTCGGAGTGTAAAGCAAGATCAACGTTAACAAAGTAAACGACATGATTCCTCCCACAACAAACGCAACATTGTGACAAATCGCGGTTACTGTCATCCATGTTTTCAATTGTCCAGGAGTAACATCAGGAAGTGGCAAAGATTCGTTGATCCACGAAAACCGACTATGTTCATTTGGATAGTAAGATACCATTGTTTACTTATGATACGGCACGTATTCGTTGTCACAAAAGTCATGAATGTGTACGCTCATGTAAAAGAATACAAATTTATTCAAATTATCGGTAATTTGTTTATATTAAGGTCGAAATTGTATGTTCAAGTGTTTTTGTCCTTTGTGCAGTTTATTTAAATTTTATTTTTCTAAAATGCTGACGAAAAGAGTATAATTTACATTTATTGAAAAAAATCACATTGTTACTACTGTTTGTAGAACCTGTAAACGTGACTGCAATTTCAGAAAAAGTCGTATAATAATATCAAATTCGACACGTTCTGACTTATTTTATAATTTATATTTAAAACAAGTTAATGAACAACAATATTTACAATTATAAACAAGAACCAGCCACTTCTACAACAACAGATCGTCAAAAAAGCTCTCCATTTCATCGTGCCCTGTAGCTTCTTCTTCATTCACATCTACAGGCTTTGACCAGATGTCTTGAGCTTCCTTTTCCGCCTCCTTCTTCTTCTCCTCTTCCGTCTTATCTGCATCTTGTTGTATTTCCACTTTAATGTCGCTACTGCTTGTACCTGGCATATCATTTACATCTGAATCACTGTCCTCAGAGTCCGAATGTCTTCTTTTCTTCTTCTTATGTTTCTTGTGTTTCTTCTTCTTGACTTTCTCCTTCTTGATCTTTCTCTTTTTCGAATGAAAGTTCAATTTCAATGAACATTCTGGACATAACCTGACCTTAACTAAGGCATTCTTCTTTTCTCCGTGTTCTTCGTAAGAAAAGTTCACTTCCCAACTCGTGAGCTTCTTCTTCTTCTCACAATGCTTCCCTCCACATTGAAATTGACCCTTCCCACTAACAACTTCTTTTTCTGTTCTCCATCTGAGCCCGATCTGGTTCTTCTCAAACCTCGACAGATCTGCTATACAGTACTCTTTGTATAGTTTGTCATAATACTTTTTGGCTAGTTGCTTGTCCCAGTCTTTAGCCACATCTGTTAGGTCTTCGTTTCCCCATAGAAATCGATGGTTTTCCTGAAGTAGCATAATTTATTTATCATACAAGTCCATTGTAAGTAAGTAAACCTAAAAATTAAAGTTAAATTAAACCTTACTTTAATTATATCGTAAATCCCTCTGTCCTTAGATGAATCTCGTTCTAACTGACCCGATGCACCTTTGTAACACAGTAAATAGCTATTCACCATCAACTTGTGTCTCGTATAAGCATCCAAAGACACAAAGTTTTTCTTAAACCTAAAGTTAATTATTAGACAAAATTATATTAAACATCTATCTAGATGGTAACTTACCGTTTAATTTGCTTTTGTCCATCTTCGTCTTTCTTTCGAACTTTTGAAATTTCAGGTAAATAAGGATTCCCTTCGTTTAACATCCGCTTCATTTCGCGTCAGTATAATAAGTAGATGTGAAAAAACATATAAATCTAAAAAGTTCTAGTTACACTATGGTCCAAGATAAAGTAAAAATTGTGAAATTAAAAAATAAAATAAATTTTTATTTATTTATTTTCGTCTCACAACGAAAGCGACTGAATTTCAATGAAATTGGCGTTTTGTTGCAAGCAAACAATAAAATTTTAAAATTTGTAAAATTAATTAATTTTGGTACTTTTTGTTGATTGTCTTTATTGCCATAATTTCTGTTTTGCTTTACGTTTTTCGCTAAATTTACTTTTTAAATTGTCGTGGATAATGTAATTTTGATGTTTATATTGTAATATATATTAAAGAACTTTTGTACAAACTTTCCTAATGTACCCAAAACAAAAGTTTATTTAAAACAAACAACTATACATGTGACACTATACCATAGTGGTGTCAGATGGCTCCACGTAGAAGTTGATAGGTTGTGGCTCCAAGGACAATGTAGCGCTGCGCAGAGGAAACTTCGGCGAACGGCTTTCGGATCGGCGGACAAAGTTATTTCGAACAAACGGTTTCTAAAGTTAAACTTTGTTTTAGAGATTCCATTACTAGTTTTATATGCTCTATGCAATAACTATTGGTCAAAAGTAAATAGAACTTTTAAAAAATAATTTAAAAAGAAGAGAAGATGTAAGTTTTTTGAATTAACGTATGTTAAGATACCTGGTTAAGAGAAGAAGCGAAACTGCTATCGTTGTGGCTCAGGGATTTGGTGTCGTCTTCTGGAGTCAGATTCCCACAACAACGGAATGCACAGACACAACCTGTAAATGTGATATCAGAAGGGTTAAGATATTGAATTTTGAGAAAACATTTTCATGCTCTAATTAGGTAATACTTTTTAGACTTACAAGTTATTAATATCGTTAACAGACTGGCTACGCCAACGGCAATGATCAACGACAAGGTTCCAGTATCTACACGGTCTTCTGGTTCTCCTTTCAGTTCTGTTTCGATGTCAGCTATAAGTTCAATGCTTTAGTACCATAATTGAAAGGTAGAACTTTTTGTTTTTTAATTTACTTTGTAAAACACTTTATTATATTTAGTCACCATAAGTTGCTTGAACATGGAACTTTAACCTACCGACCACAGTTTCCAACGCTTCTGCCCATCGATCAGTCTGGATCAAGTCGTTCACGTTACTTATTATCCTTTTCCTTTCTTCCAAAGTGACATAGCGTTCTGCCAACCGTGCCGGCCATATAATCAACTGTAATGTGAATGTAAATAGTACGAAGAAAAGCTTAAAATGGAGGCAGTATGAAGCATAATATCTTCTAAAACTTACTTTTTTGTAATGTTGCCATACGAAGATAAGAACCGAGTTCCCACAATCTCCCAACGCCCACCGCCCCTCCAGCGTTTTGCAAAACGACCCCGCCCGGTCGGTTAACTGTTGCTCGGACGGACTGTGAAAGTTCATTTGGAGGTTATTGACTAACGCTATGGATACGATAAACCCGTGGAAAGAGGTAATGCGATTACTACCCGAAGAACATTGAGAACGGCGTTGGCAGGGGCAGGGCGTATCGACGGCCAACTTCTCCATCATTATATTCAGTCGAATACCTAAAGTTTTGGTATGCTTGAGGGTTATATTATAATAGTTTATTGTTCAAGTTGTGGTATATCTATGTATTTTTACAGTAAAAAATCTGAAAAAGCATTCGTCGTACGGTACTTCTAAACTTAAAACAAGACCTAAAACTTACGATCTCCTGAGCTCAGGATCTGGTCCGGATCACACAAGTACAGTATCTGTGTTGTGCTGATATTGACATTGCATTGGCCGAAAGTGGGCCCTCGAATGTCCGGATAGCCAGAGTTGGTCCAGTCTTTACCCGCGCGTACCAACCGCCAAATAAGTGAACATAACACCAACCAAATGTACTGCATTATGGTGGTATCTTGTCTAATGTAGCCTCAGGAGACTGGTGGTTCTCGTCTCTCGGGAAGACCGTACAGTCGTCGACTTGACCATCAAGCCGATGATTTGCATATATCTAAACGGTCTTGAGGGTAATTTAATTAAAGCACAGTGTACAAACGGATATGCACGCATATTAACAATCATAATCTTGCTAACTATGTTACCAAAACTAACAAAGTAAATAGTGTACTAATGACACAGTACTCAAAATCAGTTTACTAAGATATAAGTATTAGACGTGAAGTACAATTTAACCCAAAAACCAATTAAATTCGTGTAAATCGCCAAATGGTCATGGAAAACATAGTAATAAGTGATCCATCTTGGTGCATCTGTCTAAAAACAAAGTGGGTTCAGATGAGAAATCTGGCCATAAAAACGAATTTTAAGGCCTATTATTCACGAGTTTAAACGATCTTTTTATGTGGGGTCTAATGGCCATGAAAGTATAAAGTTTTACTCTACTGAACATACGAAGGAACTTGCTCTGTTGTAATTACGAACATATTTTAAAGGTATTTTAAAAAAGACAAAAAAGATCTTATTCTTTGGCAAATTGCCTATAACATGTTATAACATGGCATTAAAATATCCGCAGGGTTAATTTTAAAACCATAAACAATATGGCAACATGTGAAAGTGTAATTAATGCCAAATATTTCGAAAAAGATTAAAAACAAATCCTTTGATCGAGAATTAAATAAGTTTTTGTGCTCGAAGCCAGTTGGCCTCGAAGGCTTTTTTGACCAAGTCTGATTTGACTTTCTTTGCTTTAGGCGTTTTCAGTTCGATCAGTTGCAAAACTCTTTAAAAAAGTCGGATTATCTGATACATCATGATCGAACTACGTGATCTGACGATCGTCACCTACTACAATATAAATTACAGGACTATAGCTTGTCTGGGAAACGCAAAGTAAGTGTGACAAATAGGCGTAATATGTCTCAATATAGGGTTTTTAAATACCAGACCTCCATACTCTCCTTTCTAGAACTATAGTTACTACAATGTCTACATAAGATGTCATAACGATATGTGCCAAAGATACTGAAATGATGAGTGTTAGATACCGAAATATCTCCCACCATCCTACCCATACACGCCCATATATTATACTTCTGGGCACATAGGCCAATTCATCCAAATTGAATTTTACGGCGTCGTAAAGGTTTCAGTATCAGTTTAAAGTACGATCTACACTTTTCAATTACATTTTGTGACAAACAAAAGACCAAAGATGACAGAATCTTATCGTTCTCTCAAGATTTGCAATTCTCTCCCACCGTTAGAGATTCTTGGCCACTTTTTCGGCCTTAAGCCGCCGTGAAAGTCGTAAAAAATAACAACAAGGAATGGCAACAATTACAAAAAAAAGTTCTGAAGTAGCCAAACGTTGTTTTAAACGGAAAAAATAACATTATCATCCATTTTACAATACTATTTACATTATTATTATAAAAATGTAATACTTACTCTAAGGTTTTGTACCAAAATACATTTAAAAAAGCATTTCATACCAAAAAAATCTAGATATCAATTGACCGCTGAGATTAAACTATTTACCCGGAGGTCAAATGTGAATCAATCCCCACGGAATTACCACATATAACTTTAGTTCATACAAATGTTTCCATTTTTAACGCAAAAAGATATTTTTGGGCTCAATTCTTGTAATCCTGAACAAAGTACATAACATAACATGAGATCGTCGTATCTTGAAGACTAACAACGGGTTTAAGACTAATATAAACTTGAAAACTAAATTTAAAAAAAAACTCAAAATTGGCGTTAGAAATGTTTACAACTGTTGAAAAAAACTGAAACAATAAAGTAAACAAACATACGATGTTGGGAAAAGACATATATCATCAGAAACATGTGTAACACTTTTTGTGAAAATATTGTCGTAAGTTATAATGCCAAAACATAAAACTTAAGCCGAAACGTCATAAACACAGTCATTAATATACAAATTTTAAACTTATCAATAAAATTACTGTGACTATCCTGTTAACAATGCCGAAATTATAAAAAGCAAAAGTTGTGAAAGAGATTGATGTAAAGAATAAGAAAGTCCTCGAAAGTAAAACAAAAAGAAGTGAACTAGACTGAAGAGACATTCCTGGATTAGGCCACCAAACTGCAAGAAAAATAAAATTTATTTTTCCTCGGAATAAACATGTTTCCACTCTCGAGGGCTTACTCCCAGTCAACTTAACGTGGTATGTTGGTGGCATTACTGCTTGTTATTTTGTTACAGAACTTTAGTAAGGGGAAGTATAAAAGGTTTTAATAACTACTCAAACCTATACGTAAAGGTGTGATTCAAGTTTCGTCCCATAATATCCAAACCTACAGTAGGTTTGGCTATATATAATAGTCTAGGCTAGAGCTTACTGTTAACATTCAAACCCAGAATTTAAAATATTATATTTTAAAAAATTTAAAAAATTTGAAATAAAAAACCTGAAAATAGTGTCTCACTCTCATTTATCACATTCCCGAACTCGCCGACCCTCAGGCGTATTTCCTAGTCCATTAAGTTGTTGTTTGATTGAATGAAAAACAAAAGTTAGGAGAGAGCCAGATATCAATCAGGTTTTATAGCGTTTCGATTATGAGTTATGTCACCCATAAAAGAGGGTTATATCTTTATAACACAGTATTCTATTATTTTAACTGCGACAAATTACAAGTACGGTAGATTGGCACTAACTCTTGTATTAAAGAATTATATGAGTTTTGAGCAATCCATAACATTAGTATACAATAATCGTTCTCACCAGTATGACCTATCTTGTACTTGCCATCACCCAGATCAACTACCCGTACGTACAGCCATACCCTCGCCCCTGATTAACAATTGTCTGAAAGGCAATACCACAGCCCTCGAGGCGTGAAAAGAATTGTTGGACATTTTGTGGCAAAACTCATCAAAAGCCAACCTGTCCCGGGCTAGTAATAATAAACAAGAAACGACCCAAAGTGTCAACCGGAAGCCGTCAAAGAGGAATTCCGCCGAGAGGTCGATCACCTGTTCCCTCAGGGCATTTAGGAAATTTGTTCGGCCTTGTTCGTTTCAATCCCTAATAAAAGTCATTAGTTTTAGTCAAAAAAACACGTACAATATAGTTGTAGATCACTAGGCTTTGATTTAGAATTTATGTTTTCGTAACGGAAATACAAAAAATGTTACATTTAAAGCCCGATGTAAAAGTAAAATGAAAAATGGTAATATAATGCTATTGTCTTGAAAAAACTGACCTTCTTTGCCGCTTTACATTAATTTTGTCCGAATTTACAATGCAATAAGTTTATTTCAACTCAAAATATGTACAATGGTAAGGGTTTAACACGTAATTTGAATAACACTCATCTCCCTAAGAAAGTCGGCCTGTAAGCACACTTAGAACGTGCCTCATAAGCCTAATATTACTTATACACAACAAGCATTCAAGCACAATTACAATGTAATCGGAGGAATGTAAACCGCAAAAATACGACAAGATGTATTGCTCATATCAAAATACTAGTGTCTAATAGGGGTATAAGACTACTATTCTCTGATAGTAGCATTGATGATGTAAAATCACGGCTAGACAATAATATTATAGGTATCACAATACATCACGATAGAAAACCTGCAAAAATACGATTGTAAACTTTACTGCGGAGTGTTACAATATGGTAAAAAGTATGTACAAAAGCGGGGCAAGATCGGTATTATGTGGAAGTACTGTAACAGCATTATATGAAGTTACTGTAACACAGTATTATTGCCAGAAACTGTACTTAGTAATATTATACTGCAAAGAGATGAATTCTTCCAGTGATTGCATTAAATAGCGCCCGCGCATCAGATATTACTCTTGAAGATGACATAGTCGTATGTTAGATTAGTAAAATGAGTCACGAGTCTTGGCCAGCTTTTTACAGATGCAAAACCTAAAATATTCTTCCGTTAATACCAACATAATCATCGGTAACATTCTAAAACACTGTAACATTGTAGCAATGTTTATTTGCTCCCAACAAGACATGCGTTGTAATAAGTTTTACTGCACAGTAACTCAAAATGTACTCACCCAACAGTCGCTCCCAGCACGAATGTCATCAGGTTCGAGACGACTAGACCAAAGATGACTTCGAAACGCCACAACGACCACGGCTTCTTTCCGTTGAAGTCGTATTCACTTGGTTCCGGCGAATTCGGTGGAGTCGTGAGTGTAGATTCACCGTTCCCTCGGTTCCTGATGTTCCTCTGAGCGAACAGAGTCTCGGGCCTCGACGACCAATCCCAGATCCAGTCAGTGTTCTTGCCCGGGGGCAGCATGTCTTTGACTAGTTTGTTCTTGACTTGCTCCAGATTCGTTTCAAATTCAACGTGCGGACTTTGGAAACTGACCGGACTAAAGAAGAAAAGTTTATGATAAAGATCATTTAAAAAATAGGATTAATCATAATTAGCTAAAAATGTTCATGATTATAAAATTAGTTCATAAACTAGTTAATAAATTACCTTGCTCTAGATAGTTTAGCACCACTTTGTTCAGCTCCATCTCGATCTACCATTATGGCTTCAACACTGCTACACATTGAAGCTCTGGAAGGTGCCAATTCCACCCATGATTCTAAAATTGCTTTTTTTATATTGTGATAACAGTTTTCAAAAATAATATATGCAACGAAAATAAACTATCATACTTATAGAGTGTTAATTTCGTTCACAAATCATTTTTTCATAAATATTATAATGTTTGTCAAATTAAATATAAAGTTAAACAATAGAAATATAAGTACCTGCTTGACTGTCAATCTCATCGTTAGAGCCTTGTTGTTGTAGTGGAGGACCGAAGACTGACGAGATTGAGGGAGCACCATTTCCATTTCCGTTTAGTCCAGACGACGAACCCGTGTTGCCCAAACGTTTTTTGGAGTCGAATAAAGCTGGCTGACGATCGAAGAAAGACATCTTAAGTTACTTTATACAAATTCAAGTCCAAAGCTGAAAATCTATAATTATTCATGAAGAAGATTGGATATGTAAATTGGACTGTATTTAGAACGCGATAAAAGAGCTAAATGTCTGAAATTGACAGAGTAAGGACCTTTCTTTATATAGCCAAATACCATTGATTCTCACGTGTTATATCCTGAATTTAGTTATCAACTAGTTTCAGTAAAACTGAAAATTAAAAAAGAAGTGAAACCATTCTTTTTCTAGCAACCTAATATTAAAAGACTTATAAAAGTGTAAAAGCACAATAGAGTGTAAAGTTATCCGATTGAAAGTTGAGAAAACCCTTTAAATTAGCGCCACTTTCCAAGGAAATAACGATAAAGAATGATGATAAAACGGACTCTGAACATGACCATCATGTGAAATTCATCCACGTAGAGGCGGCTACCACTAATATAAATTTGAACACTTAAACGTTAATTTTGCATTCATATTGTTTATAAATTTCAATAACTAAACTTTTAATTTAAAAACTAAAATTTTAAAATCTTCTAAAAATTTAAACGCTTTATATTACTGTAGAATAAAGATGCTTAAATAACCTAACTAACACAACCTAAAATGCACTTTAAAAGATCACCACCATTTATAACAGTTATTCGACAAAATGCCCTGAGGTAACCCCGACAAAAAACCCGTCCAGAGGTTTAGGTCACATGTTTCAAAAATAATGACAATGATAAGAACGTGACCCACAAGCCAAACATTGCACTTGTAAAAACATCAATATTTGTTGGGTAATATAATATGTGAATCACTGAAAACTCTAAAATACTTAAAAAAAAGAGAAAAATTTTGTTTTTGGAAACTAAAACAATGTTACAACCAGCAAATTGAGCAAAAAGTTAGTTAAAAACAATAATTTCAAAACTAAAAAAGCAATTTAAGATTATAACAGCTGTAAAGAGCCATCTTTATGACAAAACTTTCAATTGTTTTTTACTACTATTGACAATCAAAAGTCATAAACCCATCACAATCATTTTCTGGTAAAAACGTAAAATAAGTTTAAAATCAAATAGAAACCTCTATACTTCTATGACCACTTCCAAAAATTAGCCGACATTAATGTCCATAGACAATAAATAAACACGATGGACACACCTTGTCGCATCATCGCAATCATCTGACTACGAAGGAGAATCAGACTGAAAAAGCGTCAGAAAACGACTCGAATGAGGTCACTTGACAACAAAAAAAGTAACGAATTAATCAAGCTGAAAGTGAGATGAACGTGTGTCACTTAAACATAGTTGTAATTACACCATAACCAACAAAGTGTAATTATAACACATATAACAAAAATCCATTACTAGCGCAATTTAATTAATATAAATTATTTCAATAGTCATATATGGCTATTAAAGTAACCACATCCCCTTCGAATTTTTTTCTTTCCCTATACCACATTATCAAATAACAATTAAGCTATACCTATAGAAACACAAATAACTAACAACATACCCGATTATAAGATTAAATTGAATTTTTCAATATAAAACTTGAGAAAACAAACCCTTTTATGTTGTTTATTTACACTACACCTTATAGTAGTACCTATTACGAGTATTCTCTGTAATCAGAAGCGCGTGAAGTTGAAGATACAAAGAGAAAAACAAGACACCTTTCACAACGCCTAAAGGAGCGATAACAAGACTGAAACTGTTTTCCAGATCAAAGAACAACCTGCTAAATGAAATGACACAACATTATTGTTAGTCATACATTTCTGATGTTACACACCGTACAGTAATAGCTTCTATTTGTAAAATCAAAGCCTTAAAGTATAGTATTTGTGTTTACAGTACCAAAATCACTTTTACTGTACAGTAACTCTACTAGAAAGTCAATCGTGTTGTTAACTTTTGTAAAATCTGTCAATTCAGCCTACTTTCTAGTTTATCGTCGCGAGAATCTAGCACATGATTACAAAAGCGATTTCCGTGTTTTCATCCGCTTATTTGTTCTTTAGAGGGTGAAAGTACACTCGGATAACGACATAAATAACTAAAATTTTGACAAAGTAAAGCCCTTATCTTTAAAGAAACTGTTAAAATCTAAATGTAAGTTTACATTTCGAAAAGCTTTGTTCTACCCTTTAATTCTATAACAAAACTCGTTCTAAAGACTGTCAAAATAAGCCTCAACCACAACAAAACCCCGCAGCGCCCAAACAAGAAAACTAAAAGCGTATTCAAATGTGGCACGTATCTCCCAAATAATGTCGTAAACTCTAGGAAAGAAGAATTGGATAATTAGTTAGTCCAAACTGAATATTATCCCAAGACAAGACTACAACACGATCTTAAAACAACATTTTAAAAATCAAATAAATAGATCTACAGAACTAACCGAATAAAGGAACCAAAACTACTCTTTGCTTACTACCAAAGCTGACTTGTTTTGATTTGAGATGACATGATAATCATTTATTTTGATATTGTATACAACAGCGTGCACAACAACATAAAAACAGTGTATCTTTAATTTGATAAACAGTAACGTCATTACTGCACTTTGATCAATAGTCATATCAATAGGCCTACTACATGTAGATTGCAATTTAATATATTCTATACTAGAAAACAATACTAAATTTGAAATTTAATTTATTAACGCTTTAAATATAATATGATCCCCTTTTCCAATGTAAACTTTTTCCATTTCAAATTTCATTTTTGTAAGCGTGAATTCACTCTCGAAATTCACGTTTTTTCGAGATTCGAGAGTATGGAACGACAACACGCGTTACTGTCAATCAATTATCCTATTCTCCGTAATTTCTACGTAATGGTCAAGTATGTATTCCCATCCAACGCACATAACTACGGTAATTAAAGTTTATATAACCACAAAAATCAACCATGAAGTGAATAGGGGTGAGAAACGGGCCGTCTAGGCCAGGCCCGGCCCGGCCCTACGATCGGGCCGGGCCGGCCTTGAGCTAAAATTGAAACGGGCCGGGCCCAAAGGTTAGGCCCGGCCCGCGGGCCGGGCTTGAAAATTGGGCCGGGCCCGAAAAAAAAATTTTTAAATTTTTAAAAATTTTTTATTTTAATCCCCGTTGATGTTTTTTGATTTTATTGGGTTCCATGATACATAAATGATCTAAAAGAACAATGCAAAGCCAAATTTCCGTTTATTTTTTAAGTTTTAAAATTTTTTGAAACGGGCCGGGCCGGGCTTAGAAATTTTCTGACCGGGCCGGGCCGGCCTGAGAGAAAATTGAAAACGGGCCGGGCCTAAACGTTGGGCCCCGGGCCTGGGCCGGGCCTAAAAAGTGGGCCCGGCCCTTTTCTCACCCCTAGAAGTGAATACAAGCTACTGTTTATTATAACAAAGCCTGAGTAAACAATTCAGATTAGATTCTCTAAATTAAGTCACAACCAACCAAGATTAACCTCGGTTTAGATTACTTTGGTTTAGAGTAATCCGATACCCAGAACAACATCGTACCAGAAACAAAACACAATTCCAAAGACAGAATGCTTGCTTAAAAAAGCTTTTATCGACTGACAAAGGCATTTTCCGAATGAAAGCTTAACGTCACAAAGAAGGTGTCACATGACCATCAAGCCTGTCCATCTACCATAACCAACCCCAACATAATATACAACTAGATACTCGAATTCTCTTATAAATGCTCACGATGTAATCCCTAAGCCCCAACAATCCCCACCCTGCATGACATCCTCTTAATGACATTACCCTTATAGAACACAAAATAAATCGAAACCACGTGCTCCCTTATTTTTCAACCGTTGGTTGGGCGCTTCAAAAAAGAGCGGGCTCCCCCTGAGTCTCTGTCCAAACAACACACCCTCCTCGTTCTGCACGGCCTCTCCACTGTCAGGTCGTGTGATTTTGCTCGAGGAGCGCGTGTTTTGTCTGTAGCCCTCGGTTCTCCTCATTTTAGGTGGTCTTTCTGGAGCCGCGTTTCAAGAGGGTGAAAATAAGTCCAAAAATGGCCATAGCCTCCAGGCTTTTAGGGAAAGACCATCGAACAAAGTCCCGTGTCATATTCCGCCATTACTCCCAATTAGCCCTCAAGCAGAAAAGTTTGATGCACCACGAAAACAACTTTTTTCCAATTTTAAAATACGATTTGCTACATTCCCATTTTTAAATCAGTCCAACAAGTTTGCAGTGCAGTTCAAAATTAGAATAGAAAAGCCATCTTCCTTAGCAAATATATTCATAGCCAAGTTTCTCTTGGTCCAGCTCAAAAACCAGAATGAAATCGACTTTTAACGACAAAAGTGCAATCTTAATTAATTGCATTCCCATTGGAACAGCCTGAACTTTATGACCTAATTTCAGGAACAAGAAGCCTTGCCATGAAGTTCACAAAGCTCCAGAAGCGCTACGAAGTGCTAGATCAGATAACAATATTTGTTCTTTGGAGTTATCTACAGCACCCATCTAAACTAACATTTTCGCAGCCATGTCGATAGTTACATCACGAAAAATTGAATGTTGTTTTGTTAATTTTTTTTGATAAAACTGTAGTATTGACAGTAATACTTTCTTGTTAATGAATACAATAGTGTCCACGCTTTAATATATTTATTTTATTACATATTATGGTTAAGTTACTTGTTTCTTTTGTCTAAAGTAACATTATCCCCGTAATTTTAAGCTGATTCGCTTAATGTCATCAGGTGTTACCCTACAACAACCTCCAATGGCTGCAGCCCCGAGAGAACTCCACTCTCGTACCTGTTTTACAATCAGATCTATGCTAGTACATCCATAAAACCTAAAAATACAATACTGTCGGGTCCTAGTTGTTGATCTAGTTATAGATCAAGGTAAATTCGTAACTCACGCCGATTGTTCTTTGTCATAGTATTCTCCACTGTTTGGATACACAACAAACAATTTCCCGTTACAGTACTCCCTTCCTACTGTAAGCAAATCCATTATGTACTTGGGAGATGTACAGTTAATGCCAATCGCAGTAATGTTCGCCGAATTGGCTACATTTTTCACAAAATCAACAAAGAGATCTCCATTGGCCAAGTGTTTGCCATCCTAAAGTTTAAATGCCATTGTAAATACATAGAATGTCATCGTTCTGGAAAACTTGGAGAAAACTCAAAAGAAGTCTTATACTGCTTTCAAATTGGAGTTTTAAACTTATTGATAGTATGTTCTTATTGTACTTACTTTACAAGTAGCACTCACCCAACCAGTAGCTTTACACTCTTCTAACACTTCACAAGCATACTTTCCTTCAATGGCAGTTGGAATCGTTTCAAATACGAATGATCGCACACCGTACTTTCTCAAGGCTTCTAGGTGGATTCTGTAGTTTTCTTTGATTTTCTATAAATAAGGTACTTCTGTAAAAGATACTTATATATAATAAATTATAGATAATAAACTTTACAATATTTCGTCAGCTTTTGTAGAAATTCTTAAAATTGATTAAAAAGCTATATATATTGGACAAAATAAGTATAATTGAGTACTATTAAAAGTTACGTCGTGATCAAAACCAGGTTCGTTCAAGTAAGCGCCATTGTACTCTGAACCATCACACAAATACGTCGCAAAAGGACCAATTAAACCGACTATCTTCACATCACGTCCAGACTTTTGGGCCGCTGCTAAGGCACATTTTACACCATCCTACAATTGACAATTATTTAATACGGTTCCAAACAAAATTAGCGTTATTTATTGTAAGTTTACAAGGGAAGTACCCAACCTGCCCAGCTCATAATCAACTCAAAGTTTTTTATATAAATTATTTATACCACTAATAATATGAACTTTTAGCTCGCGTTTTTAAGCTTTAAAATTCAAATATTTAGGTTTTCCTCCTAGTACATTTACTTGTTCTTCCTTGTCAGTTAGTTATCAATCATCTACCCTTCTGTCGTTTAGGACACTTACTCTAGTATTATCCTCAGCAATATCTTTGTTTCCATCATCAATTTTTCTCAAAATGTTTGATTGATATGTGTTAGTGATTATCACATCGGATCCGGCGTTAATAAACCTGAAAAAAAAATTTTCATATTTGACACTTGTTTGTGTATTTTTAAATTTTACTAAGTAATTTACAATTTAGAAATGTTTGACAATTGTAACTCACAGTGTATGTGCCTGCTCAACGACTTCTGGTGATGCCGTGTTAGCTCCAGAACCCCATGAAATCTCCTAAAAATCGTATCCTTCTTTTACTATAGTATTAAAAATCATACTTAAGCTCCATAAAAAATAATTGTTAGCTTTTTATTACATGATTGTTAAGTAGGCATGACAAAATAAAAAACAAAAGTAAAGCTAGCAAATATATTACGTACATCTGGTCTATAACCCAGTACTTCCATCAACGAGCCCATTCCACCATCTAAAATCTTGGTAGGACCCGTAAGATCAAGTTGAGCGAAATGATCAAAGTTAGTGGACATCTAAAATAAAAAAAATAACTGAAACTCCGCATTTTTGACATAAAAAAGAGACACAAGTATGAAAAAGCTAAAAAATTGAGTTTAAAGTAACCTAAGTAACATAATCACCAGCAGAGATAAAAGTGTTCCAACCGATAGTAAACAAGATGCCTTCCATCTAATTCTTAAAAAATAATTTCCAACGCGTTGCAACGTAATTTATTTCCCAAAAAGATAAAATCGCCCGCACGTAGGAGTGAGAAACGGGCTGAGCTGACATGAGGAACGGGCCGGCCCGATCAAAATTTTGCTCAGACCCGGTTGGATTTTTTTAAGTGGAAACGAGCCGGGCCTTGATTCAGGCCGGGCTTTGATTCAGGCCCGGCCCGTTCCTTATGTCTAGGCTGATCCCACTTTTGAAGCCCGGCTTGTTATCACTTTTTTTGCAGGCCGATCCGGTCAAAAAAGTTCTGAACGCGGCCTGGCACGTCTCTCTCCGACGTGCAGCAATCGATAGTGGCGTTTCGTATGTTGCGAGATTTTCTTTATGGGAAAATAAAATTTTTTTGCATGAATTTTTTAGAATTTTTGAAAAAGAGCGGTCGTGAAAATGAAAAAAATTAAGTTTTTTCAAAATACGATTGAAATGAATTCGTCCCAGTAGACAGATTTGTAGGGTCGTTGGCTTTAAACGACGACGAAGATAAGGAAATTTCAAAATAATAACCTTTGGAACACAAAAATAAAGCAATGTTGAAATATATTGTAATTTGTCGTGTCATTTTACAACATTTTTATATTTTATTTTATTTTTTGACACTTCGCAACGTGACGAAAAGTCACAAAAATACGACCGCACGTTTTTGTTTTATTTTAGAGAGGCGTGCCTGGCCCTTCCACAGTGTCAAAAAAATAAAAAAAAGTTAAAGTAAAAGAAAATTTGGTACTGCGTCAAAAAGCAATAATGCAAATTAAAATAACAAATTTAAAAAAAATTTTTTTTAGTCTAGACGCAGGCCTACTTTTCAAGGCCGGCCCTTTTTCAACTAGCTCAACTGGGCCACTTTTTGAGACCCGCCCGAGGACCGGGACCCAAAATTTACATCGACCCGTTTTCATTTTTACCTCAGACCGGCCGCCCCAAATTTTTTTACGTGCAAACGGGCCGGGCTTTTCAGTCCTGGCCTTGATTTTCAAGTCAGGCCCGTTTCTCACCCATACCTACCCGAACGCCGCGAAAAGTTTATAAGGAAAACGGAAATAGAAGTGGCAAGTTGCGCCCAATTTGCGGCGAAAATAAATAAATAAAATATTTTTCTCGCAATATATGTTAATATTTGCTGTTTGTTTTGTGTTTACGAGTTGAAGACAAGTGTATAGGCCGTATAGAACAATAACTAACCAAAGTTTTAAAATGAATTCTGCAGGTTCTGATACATCCAATTAGGGGTGGTAAACGGGCCGGCCTTAAGCTAAATTTAGGTAGGGCCGGGTCTAAATTTTGGGTTCCGGACCTCAAAAGCGGGCTCGGCCCGTTTCTCAGACAAAATCGCATCAAAATCTTGATTCCAAAAAATAATTTACGGTAAAGGCCAAAATTGACACATAATTTTTTCGTGTCAAGTTTCCCTCTGGAAAATAAATTTGTAAAATTTTTTAAAAATGAGGTTTTTAGACGATTTTACCGTTTTACTTTGTTGTTATGTCCCAAAATTTAGGTAGAAAACTGAAGGCAAGCTTTTTAAACTTAGTTTTTAATTATTAATAAATTTATAGAAATTTTCTTATATTATAGGTATTATGTTTGCATGGACATCACCAAAATGCCGCAAGGTTTAGGGAGAAAACAGGCGGCTTCAGAAAAGCTTTACAATCACATGCAGAATTCAGTAAGTTATTTTTGTAACGTTGTTGTTTAGGCTTGGCAAGTGATTGGGTTGATTTTACATCAAAACTATGTATTTTTAGCTTTCGTTGACTCTCCAATACAAGAAGGATTAGAGCCTCCTGACGGGTCTTCAGAGGAAACACAAACATGGTTCACAACTAGTCCAGGAAAAACATACTGGAGAGCCGAGATCACGGGTATCTACGATGGTTCTTTCGAGAAAAGTGTTAGCTTTCTAGATTCGTATATAAAGGAGAACGTAAGTTTTGTTTATCATAGGTAATATTTTTAACAAAATGAATATAAGGCGGAAGTGTTATACACCAAAAAGAAATATTATGTTTTTACTGTCCAAGGTTTTCAAACGCAGCGAATGTGGTGGCTCTTTAAAAAACATTATTTTAGGGTCCTTTTGATGGTTTACTGACTTTTTCTCAAGGAGCTGCTTTTGCTCACGCCATTTTGAGCCAGAAAAAGTGGGACTTCAAGTTCATCGTATATTGTTGTGGCTTCATTGCTTACAACGCTTCGACAAGCATTAACAAAGATACGATCACAGGATTGAGAACATTTCATTGCATAAACAAAGATGACAAAGTGATACCTAATGATTTAAGTGAGGAATTGGCAACAGTGTTTGATTCTCCGAAGTCTGTAGTCAAACATTACGAATGTGGACATTGCATACCTCCTATCAAGCTGTGCAAAGCTGACTTTGTTGAGTTCTTTACTGAGATACGAAAGGAAATACAACAAAGAGAGTAGATTAGCTGTATTTTGTTACTTTTTTAATTAAATCATTGTTAATTTTTTGTTTGATAAAGTTGTGATATTGAGGGTAATACTTTCTTCTTAATGAATACAAGAGTGTACAAAGTCTTTATTGTATTTATTTTTTTCTATATTGTGCTTAAGATAAGTTACTAATTTCTTATATCTAAAGTTACATTATTCCCGTAATTTTAAGCTGATTCCTTTAATGTCATCAGGTGTTACCCTACAACAACCTCCGATGACAGCAGCGCCGAGAGAACTCCATTCTCGGATTTGTTTTACTATCAGATCTATGCTAGTACATCCATAAAATCTGAAAATACAATATTGTCGAGTCCTATGTTGATCTGGTCAAAACATATATTTTGGCTATTTATATAATACACTGAATCACTTTATCACTTACGCCGATTGTTCTTTGTCATAGTATTCTCCACTGTTTGGATACACAACAAACGGTTTCCCGTTACAGTACTCCCTTCCTACTGTAAGCAAATCCATTATGTACTTGGGAGATGTACAGTTAATGCCAATCGCAGTAATGTTCGCCGAATTGGCTACATTTTTCACAAAATCAACAAAGAGATCTCCATTGGCCAAGTGTTTGCCATCCTAAAGTTTAAATGCCATTGTAAATACATAGAATGTCATCGTTCTGGAAAACTTGGAGAAAACTCAAAAGAAGTCTTATACTGCTTTCAAATTGGAGTTTTAAACTTATTGATAGTATGTTCTTATTGTACTTACTTTACAAGTAGCACCCACCCAACCAGTAGCTTTACACTCTTCTAACACTTCACAAGCATACTTTCCTTCAATGGCAGTTGGAATCGTTTCAAATACGAATGATCGCACACCGTACTTTCTCAAGGCTTCTAGGTGGATTCTGTAGTTTTCTTTGATTTTCTAAAAGTAAATACTTTTTAGACTTTTAGAATAATTTAATAAATGTATAATAGATTTTGTGAAAATTCTTTAAAATTGATGAAAAATCTATAGACACTAGGTGAAACACAGTATTTTTTAAGTAGTATTAAGTTACATTGTGATCAAATCCAGGTTCATTTAAGTAAGCACCAGTGTACTCTGAACCATCACATAAATATGTCGCAAAAGGACCAATTGAACCAATTATCTTCACATCACGTCCAGAGTTCTGGGCCGCTGCTAAAGCACACTTTACGCCATCCTACAAGTGATAATTAATACATACGTTTCTAAACAAGATAAACGTTATTTCATGTAAACTTATGTTAGTTATTTTTGAATCAGTTACTGTTACGTCGTTTATGACACTTACTCTAGTATTATCTTCAGCGATCTCTTTGTTCCCATCATCAATTTTCCTCAAGATGTTCGATTGATATGTGTTGGTGATTATCACGTCGGATCCGGCGTTAATAAACCTGAAAAAAAAATTTCATATTTGACACTTGTTTGTGTATTTGTAAATTTTAATTAGTAATTTACAATTTACAAATTTTTGAAAATTGTAACTCACAGTGTATGAGCCTGTTCAACTACTTCTGGTGATGTCGTGTTAGCTCCAGAGCCCCAAGAGATCTCCTAAAAATCCCATTCTTTTGCTATACTATAGCAACAAAATCATAATTTTTAAGCTTCATAAACAATGATTGTTAGCTTTTTATTATAATATTGTTAAGTTAGTTAAGCTTGCAAAAAAAAAAAAACGAAAGTAAAGCCAGCACATACATTACATACATCTGGTCTATAACCCAGTACTTCCATCAACGACCCCATTCCACCATCTAAGATCTTGGTAGGACCCGTAAGATCAAGTTGGGCGAAATGATCAAAGTTAGTGCCGGCCATCTAAATAAAAAAACGCAAATTTCGTCTTTTTAAAATATAAAAGTGATAAAAGTTGGAAAATTTAAAAAATTGAATTTAAAGTAAACTGAATAAAGTAACAAAATCATCAGCAGTGATAGAAATGTTCCAACCAACTGTACACAAGATGCCTTCCATCTGATTCTTGAAAAATCATTTTCTTCGCAATTATTTTTCCAAAAAATAAAAAGTTTGCTAAATCGCCCGCCCTTAAAAAAGCCGGCTCTTTTTTGTACTTTATTTATCATGACTCCATCAATTCAAGTTTTTCATTAGGTCAATCTCTTTCAATGTAAACCATAAGTCTGACGCAATAAACAAAAGTCAACTGTAATGTGGTTTGAAGAGATGTTTTACTGGTTTGCACAAGTTTAAACAATATGGATGTAAAAACAATTGAAAACCAGATTATCTTGGGCATGCACACAGTAGGTTTTGAACATGGTTTGAAACAACGAAATTAATCAGAATAAAATTTTAGAAGAAGCACTAATTTTAAACAAAATTCAAATAAAAAAAAAGATGTTACAAACTAGTAATAATTGAACATTATTTATTTGCAATTCACGAACACATTACTGTTTTACAGGTTTGGCAAATTTTTGCACTAAATTTGTGTTTCTTCAAACTGTCTTGGCATTCCGTTGCAAACGCGCGCTGATTTCTACTCAAATCTTATTTTTTCGGAATTTTTCGTTTTCCGACTTTTAGTGACAAATTTCTATAATTTTTCCTTTAAACTCCGGCTTCATTGTTGTTGTAAAATGGGAGTCCTTACTTTATGTTAAATTTTGAATTTTTTAATTGTTTTAATCGGTTTTTTAAAGTTTGGAAATATTAGGGTTTTTTCGTGTTTTCAGTCCTAGTTTACAAGTTAGCACTTATCAACTCACAGCTTTGATTTAGATTAACATGACGGGCCAGAAGTACACTGTCAAAAAGTATGGGACAATGACCCACGATGACTACACTAACATCACAAAAATTGGAGAAGGTACGTGTTTTGTGCCGTTTTGTTATTTAGATATATGTGTAAACAGTTTTGAGCTAGCAGCAAGTTTTTTAATTTTATTTTGTCACGACTTAATAACAACATTTATTGGTAGACGTAATCAAGAATATAAACTTTCAGGAACGTACGGCGTTGTTTACAAATCTAAGCTTAAAGCTACCGGAGAGATTATTGCCGTCAAGAACATTAGATTGGAAAATGAAGACGAAGGAGTGCCAACTACAACCATCCGTGAGGTCACTACGTTGATCGAGCTCAAACATCCGAATGTGGTCAGATTGATTGATGTTATTATGACTGACAAAACACTTTCTTTGGTGTTCGAGTATCTTTCGATGGACTTGAAGAAGTACCTCGACATGCTTCCGGATCACAAGTTTTTGGACCCAGAATTGATGAGATCGTACATGTTTCAGGTATTATTTGATATTTTTTAATGATTAATTGTTTTCCATATTTGACAATAAGTTTTAAACTTTTCTATGTGTTATGTTTTGTTTAGTATAACTTATTTTATACCTGCAGATTTGCCAAGCAATGTGCTTCTGTCATCAACGTCGTATTGTTCACCGTGATCTGAAGCCTCAAAACATTTTGATTAACGATGAAACACAAGTAGTGAAGATTGCTGACTTTGGGCTGGCTCGAGCCATTGTCATTCCAGTGAGAGTGTACACTCACGAGGTCGTGACCTTGTGGTATCGGTCTCCAGAAGTTTTGATGGGAGCTCCACGGTACAACTTGGGAGTGGACATCTGGAGCGTTGGATGTATCTTTGCTGAGCTTGTTCGCAAGAAGCCCATCTTTAACGGGGATTCTGAGATTGATCAGTTGTTCATGATCTTCAGAACCTTGGGGACTCCGACTGACGAAACTTGGCCAAATGTCAAAAATATGCCAGAGTACAAGAGCCACTTTCCAAAGTGGAAGAACAACATATTGAGGGAGAGAACATACGAACTTCTGAATGAAGATGCGTTTGACTTGCTTTCGGTAAGAGCGCTTTATACTTTATAACCTTATTGGGGTTTTATCTTACACTACGTATAACAACATGGTCTAAACGTTAATAATTTTTGAGACTTTTTTCCAAAGTTTAAAAACTTATTAAAAATACCGTTTTAGCAAATGTTCGTGTACGAACCGATCTATCGCATCTCGATGCGTGATGCCCTGCACCACAAGTATTTCGATGGATTTGACACTTCTAAAGTACCGGCTGGAAATTACCGTGGAGAAATGAAGCTCGAGGACCGTTCTCCGGCCCCTGTTAAGTCAACTACCTCTGGTTCTAAACCAGCCTCTTCTGAGAAACCGTTCTCCGCTCGCAACACTCTCAACTTTTAAATTTCATAATCAGATGCTGTACTATAATATCATTACGACTAACCCAGTATCATTTCACTTATTGTAATATTTACGATACATAAATATTTTCCACGAATTTGACATTGATATGGGACATATATTTAAAACTGGTAGTGAGAATTAGACATGAGCAACGGGCCGGGCCTGAGCAAAATCAAAAACGGGCCGGGCCTAACTTTCAGGCCCTTGAAAACCCGGCCCGTTTTTGATTTTGGTCAGGCCCGGCCCGATCAGAAAATTTCTAGGCCCGGCCCGTTTTAAAAAATTTTAAAACTTAAAAACTAAACGGAAATTTGGCTTTAAATTGTTTTTTTTAGGTCATTTATGGATCATAGAATCCAATAAAATCGAAAAACATAAACGGGAATTAAAATAAAAAATTTTCTTTTCGGGCCCAGGCCCAATTTTCAAGCCCGGCCCGAGGGAAAATGAAATCTAGGCCCGGCCCGTTTTTGATTTTGCTCAGGCCCGGCCCGTTGCTCATGTCTAGTGAGAATGTTTTATAAAAAATGCCATCATGACGGATTTTTTAGAATTTATGTAAAAATGAATGGAAGAGATAGGAGGATTGAAATTTTTTGAAAATATCGTAGATATGGCGGATTTAAACAGTTTAAAAGTTAGGTAATTTAGTTTCGCATGAGCTTTTAAACTTCTCAAGCGTTTCCTCCTTTCCTGGCAATGATTGCTAGAGGGAACTTTTGACCGCCAACGTTCTCATTTCGGAAATATTTCCTTTTTTCCTTTTTCTGGGACTTTTGAGAATTTTTTTTCAAGTTTGGGTACAATAATAATTGTTTTTGTTGATTTATCCTTTACTCTTTAATGTTTATCTTTTTTTGTAAATTTATTGTTTATGAACTTATTTTAGGTAACAATGTGCGGAATCTTTGGTTATGTTAACTTCATGCTTCCAAAGAAGCGTGAAGAAATCATACAGATCCTTCTGAATGGATTAAGACGAATGGAATACAGAGGGTATGATTCGGCAGGTCTTGCCGTTGATGTTGGCAACGACTCCTTGATGCCCACCGATGGAATTCGTGTCCTCAGATGTCAAGGAAAGGTTGATGACCTGGAGAACTACATAAAAGGTAAGTTTTTATCTATTTTTAAGAGTTTTAGATTGATTTTGTGGGGCTTTTTGGGTTGGAAATGTTGTCATAGGTATATTTAGGGTAAATTATCTGTTTTCTGTTGTTTTTAAGGGTTTGAGCTACTATAATATAGGATATGCTTTTATAATATTGGGTAACAACGTGTAATTTCTTTTAGAAGATGGCAAGGATATGGACATGGAACGTGTGTTCAACATCCACGCCGGCATTGCCCACACAAGATGGGCGACCCATGGCCAACCGACCGACCTGAACAGTCATCCTCAGCGTTCGGACAAGGATAACGGTATTTTTTGTTGTGTAACATGTTGTTTTTGTTTAATATTGTGTCTCTTTATGCTCTTAATGTACAAAATTGATGTTTTTAGCTTTCGTATGTGTTCACAACGGCATCATCACTAACTACAGAGAGCTGAAGCAGTATCTTACTGGCAAAGGCTACGCGTTTGAGAGCGAAACTGATTCCGAAGTTGTTGTCAAATTGGCCAAGTACGTGCACGACAAGTACCCTTCTTTGAGTTTCCGCCAGATCGTTGAGATCACTGTGAATGAGCTAGTAAGTTTTTTTAATTTAAGTTTACTGTTTTACATGTTGCAATAACGGATATGAGAACTGTTTATGAGTAAGTTAATGGAAATTTTTGAAATTTAGGTATCATTGTAAGTTAAAATTTGATTAAAGTGTTATCTTTTAGGAAGGGGCTTTTGCTTTGGTCTTCAAGTCTCGTCTATATCCAGGCCAAGTTGTGGCCACAAGAAAAGGATCTCCATTGGTGGTTGGAATCCGCTGTGAGAAAGAAGACCGACCAGTGACATATCAAGTGCAGTTGAGCAAGGGTAAGATGTATTTGATGTAATATTGGAAGAGTTGAGTGGTGGGCTTTGGTAGTTAAAATGGTACCTTTTTGTACTTTTATGTCTGACTTTATTGTTTTTTTTATTGTTTGTGTTCCAGCTAAGACAGCTAGTTTTGATGACACTTTTCGTATGGATCAGACTCCAAATGGCACTCCACACTCTGGAAACATCCGTTCTTCTGGTATTAACAACGCCGAGTGCAGCTTTAAGTTTGATCAACAAGTGGAATATTTCTTTGCTTCGGATGCCAGGTAAGGGTTTTATCAGTTGGTTTTATAGGGTTTAGGTAATGATTTATCGGTTCCTTACGAATACTGTTTCAGTGCCATTGTTGAACACACAAAACACGTGCTATACCTAGAGGACGATGACATCGCTACTGTTAAATGCGGCGACTTAGCTATACATCGAGTTCGTGGAACCGAATACGCAAAACCAGAAGTTCGATTCGTGGAAGAATTACACATGAAGATGGACGAGATCATGAGAGGAGAGTTCAAGACTTTCATGCAGAAGGAGATCTTCGAGCAGCCTGAAAGTGTGGTGAACACGATGAGGGGACGCGTTCAATCCGATGGTACTGTATGTTTGGGTGGCGTAAAGGTGAGTTTTTTACTGTTATATCTGCTCGATGTTTAACTTCTTCTTAATCCGTTACTGATTGTCTTGATTTATAGTGTAGAGTAGAATCAGGAAGCTTTCTAGTATTAATTTTTTGAGCAAATTGTTAGATAGTATACTTTCTCATACTGTCATTTTCAGAACAACCTTAAATTCATGGATCGTAGCTGCCGTTTCATATTCATTGCCTGCGGAACGTCTTACAATTCTGCCGTAGCTGCCAGCCGGCTTTTGGAAGAGCTCTGTAATGTGGCGATTCAACTGGAGCTGGCGTCTGATTTTATGGACAGGAATGTGGCTATAAAGCGCTCAGATGTATGTATATTCGTATCTCAATCTGGCGAGACGGCAGACACGTTGGCGGCGTTAAAGTACTGTAAGGAGAAGGGCGCTTTCATGGTTGGCATCACGAACACGGTGGGATCAGCCATCAGCAGAGAAACGGACTGTGGAATCCATCTGAATGCTGGACCAGAAATCGGCGTAGCATCCACCAAGGCCTACACTTCGCAGATCCTCGCTATGGTTATGTTGTCTGTGTCTTTGGCTCAATCTTGGGGAATTGACACGGCAAAAACCAAGAAGATCGTAAAGGAATTGAACAAACTTCAGTGTAAGTTTTTGATGGCTTTAGTGTTATAAATGTAACGATAAGTAAAACGGACCTTGTGTATTTTTATAATAGTAGTTTGAATATCATTTTGTAGTGAATTATGTTGTTAACGTGAATTCTTTAGCATACGTCAAGAAGGTGCTGCTTACCGACCATCAAGTAATGGAGATAGCAAAGACGATATACCGGGAGAAGTCGGTGTTGGTAATGGGCCGAGGATACAACTTTGCCACTTGCCTTGAGGGCGCTTTGAAGATCAAAGAGCTGTCGTACATGCATTGCGAAGGGATTTTAAGCGGAGAACTGAAGCACGGTCCCCTGGCAATGGTCGATGAAAATCAATGTATTATCATGATCATCTGTTCCGACTCTGTGTATAAAGTAAGTTGATACGATTAAATTTAAAGATTTTAGATTAATATTAAAAGTATAAAGCAAGCTTTGTTTCGAAATGGTTTTTTTTGCATTGGTAAACATCGTATATCTTTAAAAAATTCAATTTGCCACTTTCAGAAGTCGCTTAACGCTCTTCAGCAAGTTTTGGCCCGTGGCGGACGACCTATCGTGATCGCCGACGAAGAAGTGGACGAAAAGGAGCTTCAAGGAGTGTCAGAAGTCATCCGAGTGCCCAAGACTGTAGAATGCCTCCAAACTATCCTGACCGTGATCCCGCTACAACTTATGAGTTACCATGTGGCTGATCTCAACGGATTTAATGTTGATCGCCCAAGAAACCTCGCTAAATCTGTTACTGTAGAATAATAACCTTGTATATTGTCAATTTTCTAACTTGAATAAATTATTAACTAGCCTTAAACTTCTTTTTTTGACGTAAGAATCTTTTTTGACATTAACAACTTTGAAAGGTTTCAGTATAATACTTTAAAATGCTTTAAGAGTAAACGTCCAAAATCACTATTAACATGGAAACTTACAGATATACTTACCATTTTCAAAAAGATTGCAGTTTTGCTTTTTTGATTCTAACATGTTAAAAATCGAAAAGGCCATTTATTTCTAGCTTTGGGCTCGCTGTGAACAAATGTAAAATATTTAAAATTGACCTTTTCGGCATTGAAGGAAGTCTTGACCCTTTTTTGTTTCGTTGTTTTTGTTTTTGATAGTCAAATTATTTTACCTTTTTTGTCTTTGTGGCGTCTGGTGAGTCGCGTAATTTTATCTCGAGCTTAGTTTATTATTTATTTTCCTTTTTGTAGTAGAGCTGGTGAGCTCTTTGTTAGTCGATAACTTTCGCGGAAGCTTAGTTTTTTTAGTTTGTAGTATATTTTGTACGATGAATCACTTGTTAATGTTTCACTTGTACTTTTTTATGGTTTGAATATTCGCGCTTTTAAATTTTATTATTTTTATTTTTGCACATTGTAAATTTGATGTTTAGGTCTGAATTCACCTTAGAATTGAGAATTATGGCTATTAAAGAAAGTAACAAGTATCGGTTGAATCGTAATACGATGGCTTTTATGTTGGAGATGTCGTCCAAACAGCTCCACTTCTTCACTAGCAAGGATCTGGAAAAACCGGGACAGATTTACAGTCTGGTCTTGGAGAACGAAAACAACTTGACGTTGGGATTGGAGAACTTGTTCTACAGATTGTTGGTATGTTATTTTAATTTTGTTCGGAATCTTAGGTTACAAAGTTCGGCCTTACGTTTAATAGTGTATGGTTTTAAGTTTTGAGTTACTGACTCGAACCTTTTTTGATATGCTTTTGTAAAGAAAACGGTGGCTTTAATGTTTTTTATTCGTGAACAATATCCAAATGTTATAGATTTGTTGTCCAATCGTTTTCAACTCGTTCAAGTCGAACGTGGCTCGTGTTCGTGAGGTCAAGTTGGTGTTTGACAAGTGTTGTACTTATATTCAGTTTGGCAATCGAATGAAGATCAACTTCACCAGATCGAGCTTCTTGGTCCTCTTCATCAATTTGGTGAAGCCTTTCTTCAATTCGGTCCAATTTTACGATACTCACTTCTTCCGCCAAGCCCTCATCAAGGTCTGCAAGGCGTTGGTCGATAACGGTGTGTTTCTACTCTTTTTTATTGTTATACGGTTGTACGAAGCTATTAGATTGGCAATATATTAACAAACATACCATTTTAGAGTGCATTATGGATGACACGTATCTTCGCTTCATGAAGTTGAACAATGACAACGCATATGGTACGATCCAGGAGATTCTTCGTGACCATGTTCGCTACATCGAAATTGACGAAGAATTTAGCACTTATCTCACCAAGTCGGGTACCTTCAAGGAAATTGTAGTCAATGCCAAGACTAACCACGAGTTGTACTATTTGAACGGCTTCTTTAAGCTTCCAACTGAACGTCTGATCATACCTCAAGTGGCCGGCATCAGAAACTTCCAAGACTTTGAAAAGTAAGAACTTTAGCTATTATTCTGTCTTTAAGATTATCTTACTTTCGATTGGTTTTGACTACATTAAGGTGGTGGGAATTGAAGAAATGCCATTTGTCTGAGTATTAAGGTGTTCATGTTATTTTAGCGTTCCTGTTAGTGAGTCTGTCCATTCCTTGGAAATTGCCTATTCCCCCAACGATTCCGAAGAGGTCCACAAAACTGCCATTGCCGATCTGAAGAAAGTGGTACCTAACCTAAAGGAACTCGTTTTGACTTGCTTCACGGGTATTAACGTTGAGAACGCTGTTGATCCATCTGTGATCACTCAGGAAGTGGAACGGGTCAAGGATGACCTTACCAGGAAGAATCTGGAACAACTGTACAGTGAATTGAACTTGAACAAGTTGGCTTTCAAGCACGAGATTTATGTCAGAAGCAAGGACAAGTCTATTCATCCTTTGGACCAGATCGCTCGAAGCCTAGAGTTGCGAAAGGAGGCCGAGGAAGAAGAGTTCCATACTTATAAGTCTAACAAGGAGGGTCAGAAGATCGAGTACTTGCTGTACTCTACTGCCAAGGAACACTACCCATTCAGAGTTCATGAAGAACTTACCGTTTAAGGGTTTGTATAATTACCTCTATAATGTATTGTCATATCATACGAATGTTTGTCTTACTAAATTGATATTATCCTTGTTTTCCTTGTAAATTTTGTTGTTGTCGGGGCTCAATTAGTATACATTTTGGGTTGTATTATTGGGTGGTACTCCTAACTATTACTGTATATGTTAATTTTGTACGTGTATTATCTTGTTTTGCATGTATTTACCGTAATTTCATAGTAATAAAAGGCATTTGGACTGATTCATGACTTATGTATGTGACTTACTCTAAGAGCTACAAAGGGGGGGGGGAAGATTCCTATACCAAAATTTGTTTTTTTTTTCAAAAAGTCGAATTTGATGCTCTTGTTAAACAAGAAAAAGTAAAAACAATTTCAAAAAATTGGCACATATAGCCTGTGCTGATTTATCGACCTCCTCTTCTCTAACTCCTATTACGAGCGTGACTGATATCTTCAAATAGGACGCTAAAATAAAAATAATGAGACCCAAAGTTGTGTAACTTACGCGTTGTACACGGATGCATACGAAGTCTATTCACCTATTATAACTCAAGTTGTGTGGTAAGATCAAGTTTGAGTGTAGCTATAATTTAAAAAGTTTATTGTAAGAAAAGTAACAAATCATGAAGTTGCTTTATCAACATTTTCCAGTAGACGTACGTTTCTTGTCATTTATTTTACATATCAAGAAACCCACAAACAACATGAAGGTCAAAACAGTTTTTGTTATTTTTTGTTTTGTGCTTTTCTGATATTGTGATTCTACTAGATTCATTTGTAATCAATATGGTTGTTTTAGATTTGGAAACTTATAATAGATGAATTAGACAAGGTGAAAGACATAACTTCGTTAGCTACAGTTGACAAGTTCTTCTATTCTGCAATTAATATGGATTTCCAAAAACTGTGCTATCAGAACTTGGTCTACCGCAAACACGGAGAGCTTTGAGCTGAGGCCTTTTATTTGTAAGTAGTATTAAAACATACAGTAATTTTATACTTCTACTATACAAAATAATACGTGAACTTTTTCTCACGAATTAGATTTAGAACACCTTTTCGTTCATTTCGACCGATAAGCTCCTCTATGCAGAACGACTTCTACTACAACATGTCGCCTTGCTGTCCCTATTCTGGAAAGTTGCTATTTTAGTTGGTCAGTGTTTTGTTTTGGTTACACACATTGACTTCAGCAGAAAAGCTTACTTACTGCTTGACTTTGGTTCTTCTGTCAAGCATGCTCAACTGATTCACAAAGGAGAACAAATGATTGTTTGTACTGTAAAAGGCTACATGTTATACGACTTTAGCCGCAACCAAATTATAAAACGCATTACCGAAAACCTAGAAAATACAAAACTAATGAGTCACTGCTTTGTTCTCGTTGAAGACAATTCAGTAACGGACTTGTATTCTTTCAAGAAGTTCGATGTCAAGTTGAAGTTTTACGAAGACTTAAGCGATATATTTATCTATGATGTATCTCCCTATAACTACAAAAGATATATTGGTATAACAACGGAAAAACTTGAGTTTATGGTACTAGACATGAAGAGTAACAGTATTCACAAGATTTGTCAATTAGACTTTGAAGGTGAAAGGCTTGACCAGGGAATCGTAATATACATTTTGAACGAAAAGGGCAACGCAGTGTTTTGCCGGACCGGACGGACCGAAACAGAAATTTTTGCGGACCGGACCGAACCCAAAAACCTGCGGACCCGGACCGAAGAAAAAGCTCCGGACCGGTCCGGAAGAAAATTTTTTTTTATTTTAAGAAAACTGTTTTAAAAATTGCAAATAAAACATATTTTTAGGAGTTTTTAAGCTAAAAGAAAGCAGTTTTAGCGCTCCTTGCTTTTTTTAAAAATAAAAAAAAATTTTTTTGCGGACCGGACCGGACCTAAAAAATCGCCGGACCGGACCGGTGAAAAACGCTCCGGACCGGTCCGGGCAAAACACTGGGGCAACGTTATTGTTCGTCGTACGTTTTTAAAACCTTCTTTCTAGATGTTTTAAAATAGAATTCTGAAATTTAAAGAAGCAAGACTAACTGTAAAGTTATTTTTAAACTAGTATAGTACCGTCAATATAAACTTATTCATATAGGTACAGAAGAATTGAAATTATATCAAATTGAAACTGGCAGCTGTATATTTAACGTTCCTGTTCATATAGATACCAGCCGGTGGGTGCTGATGAGCTCTGATTTAATTTTAAACAACCTAATAAAAAAGCTAAGTTACTTACATATAACTTTAAACATGAAAAACTCTTCTTATTCGATCAATCTCCAATACGTTATGTATTTTCTGCATACAGTAAACTCCCGATATAACGAATCGCTAGGGGATTGAAAAATTGTGTTGTGTAGCGTGGTTTCTTTATAACTGGTTCTTTTTTTCAAGAAACAGTGCAATTTTATTAAAAAATTCAAAAAAATATTATAACGGAGTTTCGTTGTAAGCAGAATCTACTATTTTAGGTTATACTGTATGTAATTGTAAAGCTTTTTCAGGCAATCTGGTACAACAAGAAGGATAAATGTTGGGAGCCTAGGTCTTACTCAAGGCCTATTTCTACAGAAGTACACAAATTAGTCAGCCTTCCGTTAACTAACGTATATTCTCTCGACAAAGGCACATTCGCCTATGGCATTATGTTATATGTTAGGTTTAACAGAAGTAAGTGTTTAAAAATGTATATGAACATGTCGCAAAATATTTTCTTCAACTCTTAAAACAATTTTATAAATAATCTTTCTTCCTATAAAGTAAGACAATTATGCAAACTTTCAGCAAATCCAAGGTTCATAGAATTTGATGATAAATATCCATATGATCAACCAAAACAGCACCCTTTGAGTGAATTGCGGAAAATGAAAGTACCCGATTGTCCTGAAGCAGAACAAAAGGAAAACATACTTCAGGAATTTTATCGTATTTTAATAAGTGCACCCAAATGGAACGATACCAATTAAAAATTGTTTTATACAATGGTTAAGAAGGTTCCATAAAAAAGATTAGAGCTAAAACTTGGACCAAATGCATAAAATATTTTTAATGCACTTCTAATTATCAATTGTTTGTTTGTAAATAAAGTTATTGCTGTTCTACTTCTACCAAGGTATCATTAGGGTATGGCACAAGTATTTAAATACTGTGGTAACGCATGTACATGACCTTTTTAAAAATACACAGCAATTGTTGTTATTGTTTCGAAATGGTTATTTACAGGTTCCTGCTGATTACAATCTGTCAAACATAAAAAGTAAGATCAGAGACAGGCCTTGTAAACAACTCCTCTTCTCGGCAGAACTCTTCCCGATTCAATTAAAACGTGCATTTTATATAATGGTTGATATGTTTCGTATGTTTGACAAAATGATAACGTATTCTAGGTTTTAAGTTGAGCTAATGATAGTGTGTAATCTTCTAATTACTGTTGTCGCTTTTGTTAATAGTAATGTAAGATAATATACACTTTGGATATTTCAAATTCGTAATATTTACTTTTCGGAAACATAATTTCAAACCAATTTTGTTCTTTCTCGATTAAAGTTTCTTAAACTAACCATTATGCCGCCATTCTAATTTGAGCAACTTGTAATTATGGCACATGATTTTTGTCAAACGTCATGTTTCACGAGCTCTTAAATGTTACCTACTTGAGCCCGAGAGGCGTGTTTATCATAATATTCTGGTGTTTATTTGTTTTGACCGAATTAGAGCTAACTCTCGATGTCACTTTCTTACTTTTCGTATTTGAAAATTGATTAAATTTTATCCAAAAAATTGATTTTGTAAAATTTTTTAATTTTGCTATTTTTTGTTCATTAATTTGTTTTTAATTTTTTTAAGATTGTTTACTGTGCTACATGTCATATTACTGTCAGCGTACGTGATGTGATGGGAAAATTGGGATTCTTCTTTGTTGTTTACTTTTATTGAAAAGTTGTGAATTTGACTGGAATCGGTTTTTTTTCACTTTTCAGATCATAAAAACAGAAATGCTTTAGAGTCAAAATAAGCACTTTTAAGTTGTTCTTCTGGTAATAGAAGCACAACTTAAAGTGCTACGTCTTTTGTCAGGCAAAGTGTTTTTGATGTTTAAATGTATCACTTTTGCACGAATTAATATTATAGTTGTTGCAATAATTTTATTTTTTAAAGAGTTCTGTTGTCATACTGATGACAATTTGTTTTAGATGTCGAAGAATCCTCTAGAGAGCGTGGTTGATGCCTCGTCAGTCGATATTTACTCCCACCTTGGTCGGACTGGCTACTTTATTGAATGGGTGCTACGCAAACTCTACGATAACAATTCTGAAGTGAGAGACAAATGCGAGAAGGGCAAGATTACTGATGTCAAGTTCAAGTGTGTTAGTGGAGGAAAAGGCCTGAGGTCCCAAGTGTACCAAGTGAAGTTATTTTTCGGTAAAGACGATACCTACAACTTTGTAGTCAAGACTCCGGCCGAGGAGCATGTTTATGTGAGTCTTATATTCCCTTAAACCTTTTTTAAGCGAATTTTGGGTATGAGTTTCATATTGTAATTATTAAGTCTATAAACAATCTTACAGCCAGCCGGTGCCAAAACCCGTGAAGATACGGCGGTAGAACAAGCTCATTCAGCCGAAGTCAAGATCTGTAACATGGTCAAGGATCTGGATGTTCTAGTGCCAAAGTATTACTACGCTGAAGATAGGAACGAAGAAGGAACTGGTCTGATCGTAATGGAAGACTTTGTGGACATTAGTGGTACAGTGGGATGGCTGGGATCGTCTACTGCTGAACAGTGCAAAAACTTGTGCAAACCTTTGGCTGAGTTTCATGTAAGTTTACATATGTGTAATATACATACATGTTTGTTTAATTTAATTAAAAATAGCAAACAAAAATTATTTAAATTCAAAAGTAACAAATTTACATAAAATATTTTTAGGTAACATCTGTTATTTTTCATTTTCAGTGTGAAATGATGCACATTCCGAATCAACCATGGAAAGGACAGTTCGAAGATACGATGCACATTCAAGGCATTTACCAGTCGGTTATCTCTGAGTTGTTACCTAAAAGTACTGGGTTGGTGCCTGAAATCAAGCTGTTTGTTGATGAATATCCTTTCATCCTGACTTCTGCCTTTAGCAAGTACTGTATTCAAGAAAAGGCGGCAGAGTACAGTAAGTTATCTTGAAAAGTTTTGTTGATACTTCTTGAAAATTGTCTTATATTGCAATGCAATGATCGATTGTATCGTAACTTATTATTTTTCAATATTTGCTTAAATCGACATTATTTTAGATGCCACCTTCTTCCTCCACTCAGATCTTCACGGTGGAAACATGTTGTTCAAGAAGAGAGATGACGGCACGGTCTCCAACATTCCTCTGGCTATGATCGATTGGCAGACGGCTATGGAAGGGAACCCATTGTATGACATTGCTCACTTTGTATGTCCAACAGCTGATGCTGATGTTAGACGGGAAGTGGACCCTCTGATTCCTGATCTGTACTACGATGCGTTGGTGGAGGCCTACAAGAAGCACAACGACACCGTGCCTTTCAGTCGGGAGCAGGTAAGTTTTTGTAGTAATATTCTTTCGATAAACAAACATACAAAGATGGTAATTTAAAACTAATGGTATATTATATCACAACAAGTATGGGGATGTTACACTGCCCTTTGTAGGCGAGAGAGTTGTATGACTTGGCTCTGATGCAACAAACCTTCCAATCGCTTTGTATGCCAGCCATGTTATCCACCCATGGCAGTGGTCCAGTACATGAGGCTAAGACGGCTAAAGTCGTACTGAAGACGCGGTTCTTGATTGAAGATACTCGTAAGATACTGAGGAAGTACGATCTGTCAAACTGGCGTAGTCGAGGTGGCAGAAAACATTCCATCTCCAAGTACTTCAGTCTCATCAACTAACCTTACTCTTTTCGTATCTTGATTATTATTATGCGATATATTTAGAGCATTCACGACAAAAGTATATCAATAACAAAAATTTTATACTAGTAAGGTTATTTATCAACATATTAACTTACTTTTTATATTTCCACATCTAAAAAATTAGTAAAAATGTGTATCTATATTGTCACAGTAAGTTTACAACAACCTTTTCTGACCTATTTTGATATCTTACATTAACGAAGTTTAGCCAATTGTTATATCAGTCATGATGACATACCAGTATATTGTTCACATCATTGCTCTAACCAATTTATCTTCTCTTAAACAGTACTTTTTCTAATAAATATACCTTCATCTGGCCAATGTGGAGCCAGGTCTCTTAATCAATATATCTTTACTTGATCGTATTTCGAATTTATTTGAATATTCAAATAATAACAGTAATAAATACTTTAAACTGTAAATGTCATGGACTTTACAATATATGGCACAATCTCATCCTATGGTATTATTTGGTACAGCTGTGTGGTAAGACGATTCGATATAAAAGGATATACAGATAGAAACAACAATATAGATAATATTACATAGTAAAGTTTAAAGATAATATAAAGTTAGGTTATACAATAATATTAAGTTTGATAGTTGACGTAAGAAGTTGTAAGGTAAGTTTTTCATGAAATCACAGTAAAATTAGTTAAATGGCAAGATACGAAGGCACGTGAGCTGATACACTAAACAAACTACGTAGATATGTTACACTAGACAATATACTCTCAATTCACTACAATCACAAATGCAAGATACAAAAATGTAAGAAGAGTTACAATACATAACAAAACTATAATACAACTGTCATCTCTAAAAAAACATCTAAAACAATCAGGCTGAGCTGAGTTTTTTCTGAAGCTCATGAACAATGTCAGGTCGAGGACCATGGATGTCGAGACTCTCGTGGAGATAGTGGTAGAGGCCTCCGGGCTTGAATTGTCCCACAACATGACCATCTCCTCTCAATTGCCACTTCGTCGTCAGAAGGCCTTCAACTCCAACTGGACCTCGAGCATGGATTCGACCGGTCGAGATGCCTACTTCAGCTCCCAATCCAAATCTGTAGCCATCGGCGAATCTGGTGGAGGAGTTGTGGAAGACACAAGCGGAGTCACAGTGCTTCAAGAAGTGGTCGGCCGTCTCTTGGTTGTTGGTCACGATGGATTCGGTATGGCCAGAGCCGTAGCGGATCGTGTGGGCTACAGCATCTTCTACACTGTCGACCATCTGAAATCATGAGAAGTATAAACAAGCCTTAAGAACAGTTAAGGAAATGTCTTCTACTCAATGTACAGTAAATTTGAATTAAGTTAAGCCAATATGTCCTTATAAAAGTACAGTAACCAACCTCCAACGTGCATTCCAATCTTCCGTACTCGTAATGCAAGGATTCAGCCGCAGGTGGGCCAAACTTGAGTTGAGATTGTAGTTTAGGTCCGGCATGTAGTGCCACACCTTCCTGCTTCAACATTCCACAGAGCTGGTCAAAGAACCTAGTGTTCACATGATCTTTGTGTACCAATATCGTTTCGACAGCGTTACAGGCAGCCGGGTAGTCACACTTGGAGTCTCTGACGATCTCCATAGCCATCTTCTCGTCACACTCCTTATCAATATACACATGACATACACCTTCAGCGTGTCCCAGTACTGGAATACCGTGACTTTGCTCCTGCATCCGACGAACCATCTCCGAAGAGCCTCGAGGAATGACAAGATCAATGAACTCGCGAAGTTGAAGCAGCTCAGCTACGTCTTCCCTCGACTTGATCAACGTCACAGAATCCCTGAGTTCGTAACCATGTACTCCCAAGGCTTCTTGACACAGAGAATGTAGCATCTTGTTACTCTCGTTGGCTTCACGACCGCCCTTAAGAAGTAATCCGTTACCACTGGCTATGGCTAGTCCGGCTACTTGAGGAAGACAGTCTGGTCTGCTTTCGAAGATGACCAAAAGGGTACCAATTGGTACTGTTTGCTGTTCCAAGAGTAAGTTGTCGGTTATCTTGGTACGACGGAGTACTCGACCAATTAGGGTCGAGGCAGAATCAGCTATCATATTAAGGCCAGCATGGAGATCGACAAGTTTGGCCTTGTTCAACTTCAGTCTGGACAACATAGCGGGTTCGAGGTCGAGGGACTTGGCATTGTGAATATCGAGTCGGTTGGCTTCAATAATATCGTTTTCTCGCGTTAGGAGAAGGTCAGCGATGTGACGGACTATAGAAGCACGCTCATCGTTTGACAGATTCTGGAGCAGTCTTCCGGACTCTTTGGCTAAAAATTAAATTTATATTTTGACTTTTAATCAACAAATTCAGTTCTTAATAAGCTAATATTAAGAGATAACTACAGTTGATACTTACTTTTAGAAGCCACTTCCTCGATTGGAGGACCTTGATATCTGCTAGTGCTACAGAACATGGTACCAATCTTCTTTCCGTGCACCACTGACGTAATGGCATTGTGTGCCAAACCATTTGTGATTACAGTAGCCACACCGTGGTCCAAAGCCTTCACACAAGCCTGAACTTTAGATTCCATTCCACCTGTACCAAATTTAGAGTTGGCTCCAAAGACGACGCTACTGGCTTCAGCTGGACAATAAGTGTGGAGAAGCCGGCTGCCTTCCATTCCTGGAGGTCCAGTGTAGACTCCGTTCACATTCGACAGAATAATCATAAGATCAGCCTCGATCTCAGCCGATAATCGAGCTGCCAATGAGTCGTTGTCACTGATGTGCATGTTAGACTTTGGGTCTGGGGCTACAGCATCATTGGCGTTCACGATGGGGATAATGTTAAGATGAAGCAGAGATTCAATTGTGGCTTGGAGGTTCTTTCTCCTCTGAGGATCGTCGATGTCAGGCTTTGTCAACAGCACTTGAGCTACTGTGATACCGTACTGTTGGAAGAGTTGTTCGTACAAACTCATCAAACCTGGCATTCCACTGGCAGCGCACGCTCTCTTATCAGTCTGTAGTCCAGCTGGTCCTCGTAAGGTTTGTCTCATTGACATTGACATCACCAACTCTTGTCTCAGCTTCTGACGTCCGAAAGCAACTGCTCCAGAAGATACGATCAAGCACTGTCGGCCACTTTGTTGTAGTTCTGACACTTGTTCGACAATAGATGCCAACCGACCTAAAGCTAAGCCACATTCATCATCTCGAGTGATGACGGCCGATCCCAGTTTGATAAGAATTCTCTGAGCTTTGTTCAGATCTTCTCGTCGATTCAGTGTCAGATGATGGTGTTTTATCGTGGAAGTGTCAATACTGCCATCTGGACCAACCACTGGACGGAGACCAACGTTCTCGGTGTAGGCTGGACGTTCTTCCAAAGCGGCTGGCTCCTTCATGATCAAGTTGGCGGCTTCCTTAGGCACGACACAAGAAGCACATCGATGTTGTGTGTGATTGACAACCTGCTGAATCAGCCGACAACTTCTTCGTGTTACGTGCATTTTGATATGTGATTCTGGAAAGGCATAATATTGATATATGACATTATTATTGAGGAATTACAATATAAACCACGAATATACACTGAAATTTCTTAAAGTTAATGTAAAATTGGCCTAAGTGTAGTAATATAAATATGAATTGAAAAGTTCTTTTAATTTTTCTTTGGCCTAAATTAATATTGAAACAACAGTCTGTGGATAGAAGATGCACTCAAACTAAACCCACGTTTTCAGAAGTAACATACCACTTCCCGAAACGTGAGTAAAACTAAATTGATCCGCGATTATCTCTTTTCTATCACTTTGATTGATAAGATTGACTAAATGAAAAGCAGGTATCCTCCTACTCCTTCAAGCTATGATAAGTAACCCGTAATATCTAATAATGTCATGATTGGTTACATTATCTAACGTAGTAGTTATGACATTACTTACATCATCGTAGGTTTTTATTTTCTACTATAATAAGACACCAAATTTCAAAAATAAATATAATAGTCTAACACAGATCGTATACAAATACAAATTTTATTACTAAAGGAATTTCAATCACAATATAGACATAAAGAGTATTGTATACCAACTTGACAATAAAAGATACAACTTGTACGTCAACCCACGTGAAGAACGACTTGGGACACGTTGCGAGACAATTATATGATGGTACTACGACAAAGTAGTCATGACATTAATAAAGTGATAAAAGATCACACCTGACTCCGCCCTTACTTAATCACTGGCCCCGCCCACTGATAAGTTTTTGCAAATTTAATTTTAACTTCAAAATTTTCAAGACAATAAGAGACTTGGAATGAAGTGATAACAATTTAAAGTGCAACTTTACAACGTTACAATGCTGTATATCAAGTTTATTTATCAGCTGTTACATTGTGTATTGAAGGATATACCAACATATACCTCGATCTCTGTGGAAAACTATATTTCAAAGCAGTTACAAACTCTACTCCCTATAATATTATACTTTCACTGGACAGCAAGGTATAATAACATGTTGATGATTGTGAACTTTATTGCACTAATCGTTGGTCGTGTTATCAACACACGCAAAACACGTGCCGGGCTTCCCTTAAACCAAGAACAATTTGTTTGATAATGGAGTAGTCACTTTAAAACGAGACGTTACCGTTTATTTATAGACCTACTACAATAAAGACGCTTCGCTTTCTAGATGTTCTCTATGCTCGTAGCCGGAATGGTTCGAGAGCTTATGAAAAGAGCTTTTAACACAAATTTTACAGTACTATTGGCCAGAAATTGGTGTAAACAAAAAGAATTCCTCCCCTTTTTCTGTCCTAAGCCAAAAACCATAGCGTCGTCCCCCCCCTTCCCTACCTAACAAATTATATTAATTAACCTTTATATCAATGGCTTGTCTTAGAACGTCTGGAGACCTAAGCACACAAAAAATCATCGCAAATAACTCATAATATTACATACGACAGCTCTGTAACCTCAAGCGAACTTTCGACGTCGTGAGATCAGAAATAGCGAAAGATTAAAGGGATTCCCTTATCATATCATCGAATGTGTAAAAATAGATATTTAAACAAACACAAGCATGCCTTGGTAACCTAACAGATGTCCACTTTACTTCAATTGTCATAATTAGATTTCAAAGACAGGAGAGTACCCGATGTTACGTCATTGTGTACATACCACAACCTATAGAAAGCTATATAAAAAGTTGTAAGGAAAGACACCTTGTAGAAAATATATACGTTTGTAGCATCTGATGCAAAGCTTTAAGCATTAATTATGACATCAATAAATTATAAGGTCACAAACAACCATTAACACACCCTACAGTACCCTCTACCGTAACCCTGAATTGTTTGCTCATTCGTAGTGCTGCCAGCCGGCTAATTTCACACAAAATCTTTCAAATTCATTGGCACTTTCTCGAGTTACTAAATACGGTGTCAGATTTCAAGAATCCCAAATTGATGTTCAATTAAAGAAGCGCGACATCCTCAAGAATCCTAGGATTTCATCCTTAAAGAGACCGCTAATAGGCGGGAAGGGGAGATCCACAAACAATGGCACAATCGGTGGCCATACTCAGTCGAGAGTGGGAATCAGAAGTATGTTGGGTACCTCTTATTATTATTATACTTAAGTTAAGATAAAATACTGATAGTATTTTACAGTATACTTTTAGGTACTAACTTGTATCACATTTACTTAAGAGTCGTACCCATATAGTCTTACTTTCAGATGAATCAAATGAATTTTGCCTTCCCAATATCTTGTGTCCCACCAGTCAACTGGTCACAACTTCGAAGAGACCATCCTCCAGAAGGCTCTGATTCTCCAAACACATCAAGCTCATCTTCCCCACTAGCTACAAGACAATCAGCCAATGAATGGCAGAAATTTATCGACCAGGGATGGAAAGATCAACTGATAGCTCTACAGATGAATATGGTCAAACCTAAACTAAATGACAAAGAATCAGAAGTCAAAAAGAGAGTCAGAAGTGAAAAACAAAGTAAGTTACACTTAAAAAAAGCCAAAAATTGAAATTTTGCAAATTTAAAAAAGTACTCTGAATTTGTACCTTCAAGCTCTTTTGAATATCAGAAGATAACCAATTCTTCTTTTGTGTAGATGAAGTGTCAACGACGATTTTCTGCACTTTTGATCTTCTTTTTGTAAAATTATTTATCGTAAATTTGATTTCACAATTTCGAGTTTTGCGATCGGACTACAAACTATTTCCAACACTAAAAGTTGCAATGTTGCTCACTTAGAACCCGCAGAAGTTGCGACGATCTGAAGCGTGATCTCTGAAGCATTCGGGGGATGCCTTGGTGGACTTTGTTCCATTCACGTGTTGTGTGGCGGGGTGGGTGAATGGGTTCGCCTCAGCCAGCCACACAACAACGAGAAGAAGATCAAGTTGACGGTCGTTTTCTCTGCGGTTTCTTTTATCAATGCCTCTGCCCGTTTACCTTTCCGATCACTTATATGACATTGTTTACAATGGAAAGTTCCGCTGCTTTGATAGATTGTTGTGTGGCGGCCTGAACGCTGCCACACACCTCTCACGAGAAGGAGAAGATAGGGGTCGCCCAACTTTTAAAAGACGCTCCCAATCTTTGAAGATAACCTTGAAAGAGTGGCTTATCACGGAAAGAGTTTCAATCAGGGAAAGCAAAAAGAATAACTATCAATTCATTAAGGTTGACGAAAGCCATCTTGTACACTATTCTATTACCCACTAGCCTTAACTATATATTATAAGCCCAGCCATCCCAGTAATCAAGACATATGTGTAGTAGCTTCCTCTCGTAGTCGTGAAATACGCTAATATCATAACTACTGCACAAACTCAAGTTACGAAACAGTAAACCTGTACTGTGTTTGTTCACTGTCGCTTTATCAGTTCAACAAATACCAAGAGTTTATGGTATGTTTTGAGCCGTCATGAGAGCGGGGAACCCATCTTATGACGATGGACAAAGTACATGACGTAGCAGAAGGGAGCCAAAGAACAGAAGTATAAACTGTTATCGAAAAACACATAGAGCGAATAACTTATGAGAGTAGCCCCTGTAACGTTTACTGCGACTTCGGGCATACGGTGTACATGTCAACTAAAAACAAAGTTGTGGTACTAAGCATCAAAGCGTTTTCTAGTTAATGATTCGATACTTCTTTCAAACATTTTATTAAGCTACATTATTGAATTTATACTTTTAGACTAAAAAGAAGAGTTACAAAAAGGTATTTTTACTGAACCGAGATTTGAGTATAGCCTAAAGTGCCAAATTTTAAAACTTAGTACTAAGCAATCATTATAATTTATGCCCCAAAAATTTGACCAAAGTTTTAAAGTAGCTATACATTCCAAAAAATTCAAAAAAAGTAACGCCGTCTTAAAGTTCGAATTGGTCAGTGATTGTGGAGCGGGCAGCCGGCTTCTCGGACTGATATCAGTCTCATGACGCCGCCACACTACATCCACTCCAAGGCGGTGGACGTCCTGTCTTTCCACCACTCGCTACCCTCTCCTCCTCCCACACTCTTTTCTCAGCACTCTCTTCGCCACTCACACTCTCTCGTCCGCACTCTCTCATCCCTTCGTACTCTCTCGGCCCTACTGATTATTGATATGAAGCGACTTCTTCCTTCTTCAACTAAATGTTGTGTGGCGGTTTCAATGAAAAGTTTGGAGAACCGGCCAGCCACACAACAATTTATCAACGACCCCGTGTTGTTTTTGTAGACTACAGCAAGATTGTTGACATAATCAGACTCTGAGTGCATTAAAGCGTTATGGTCATTGGAAATGAGAAAACAATGGAAGTAATCGATCGTTGTAATCGTTGAGGTTTTCAACATTACATTATAAATATAACCAGTAGCATACAGTGATAAGGATAATATACAAAACTTAATGCTGTTTGAGCGCTCTAACAAATTCGTAATATTAGAAGATAATATTTTATAAATATTACCTGTAAAAACTAACTTGTTCTAGGGAATGGCGTCAACACAACATCACAATCTTCTCCGTCCGTCTACACTCCACCTTTCCTACCGTTCAATCACAATATACCGGTCGAAACAGACAAAGAGATACGGCTACGAACTCAGAATTCCAGACGACGTCAACGAGTACTATTCACTCCAGAACAAGTAAGTGACCTTTTTGAAAATAAAATGACCCAATAACTTAGTTTTGATATTGGTTACCTCACTGTCATAAAACTAGAAGTAATGCAACCAAAGTTTTTTGTGGTCGTTCTTTGTCAGCAATCATAAGAAAATAAACAATATACCAACAAATGACAAGTTTTAGATTCAAACCCTGGAAGAACGCTTCGAGAACACCAAATACCTAACTCCGAACGAAAGAGATCGTCTGGCCGAGAAGCTTGGCCTAACTTCTACCCAAATCAAGATCTGGTTTCAGAATCGCCGCTACAAAAGAAGACGAATCGACCAGGATCTGGCTCTACAAAGTGTCGGTCTAGGCCTGGGAGTTCCTTTGGTAAGTTATTATACAGTAAACAATTTGCTATAACATAAAATACCATAAAACATTGCTGAATAATTGATAAGTTTTATATAAATATACCAAATTCACAAATCATAGAGCAACCCCAGTTTAATATAAAAACTACTTTTCTTACCTCGACATCAATCCAACATCTTCTTCAGGGAGAGTCCATAGCCATGTCACAACCTTCCTTTCACGAATTCATGTTTGGTCCACATACGACGTAAGTACGCTAATGAAAGTTACATTATATAAGCAATGGTCGACTATAAAATAAAGTTTATTTACATTTGTTAATTACATTAATTAGTTGTAGATATTATTCATGATGTCTGATTGAGGTCTGCGAGTTGATTACGGTAACTGTTAACAAATCTGAAAACAGTTCGAACTTCATTGTCACGAGCTTCGGCTTCTTGACGTCTAAAAATATAGTGGTTACGACACGTTTTTTTTATTAGGCTTTCCTTTACCAGACTTTGAGAATCATATACAGTGGAACTCCTGTATAACGAATCGCTCGGGGACTTGAAATTTGTTCGTTATAAAGGAGTTTCGTTATACAGGAGTTTTAAATGCACTGTGCAGTGGTAGACGGGAATTTAAAAGTTGTTCGTTATACGGGAGTTTCGTTATAGAGGAGTTCGTTATACAGGAGTTCCACTGTATACTAATACTTTTTACAATTGATATCACCGCTTCTAGTTATCATTAAATATATTACCCGAACCTTATACATAATCAACTCACCTCCACTTCGTACGTCGGTTCTGAAACCAAGTCTTCACCTGAGCGTCGGTCATTTTCAACTGTGCCGCTAAGACAGAACGTTCCATCGATGCCAGATACTTCTGATCCTTGAATCTGTTCTCCAAAATCTGAACCTGAGTCTTGGTGAATGAAGTTCGAGGCTTCTTCTGAAGTGGTTGTTGGCGACTTTGGTACGGATGTCCAGTTCTTTTAGGTAACAAAGGAAGTTCAGTCTGGAAAAGAATACATTAAACATATATAATCTAATTACGATAAAACGACTTTACTACTAATGCCTGAAACACCATTTCTTAGTTAAGGTAGTAACTTACCTCAGTTTTATTGTAAGATACCATATTCATAGAAGAAAAGGGATTCAGGTAGGCTAATATCTCTGGCTGAACCAGTGGAACAAACCCCATTGGAACGTTCTCAGGATTGACTTCTGAAGACTTTTCCTCGCAGCCTTCCGCTCCCATTGTGATATTATCCTTGATTATAGACCACGCCAATTAATGAATGAATAAAACTGCAGAACCCCAATACAATAATACAACCAATCCTCAACGTTAAACACTGCTATCTCCTCCAATAGCACGCTTCCAAACGATATCAATTAATGCCGGCCCCTTTTATAGAACTTTACTACTTAATAGTCGTAATTGCAACAAAGTAATTCCAAGTAAATAAGCAAACCAATTGGGCGAGGCCCGACCGTTATCCATTAATGGCGATTAAAAATCTTCATTCAAGGTTTATGGGGCTCAATTTAATTTTGTCCAAAACAACAATGAAAACCCCGTTTAAAAGTCCCAGTCGCCTCGAAGCCTCCGCACAGTCAGCTTTTTGTGGACCACACGACGATGGTGGTCCAACAACATAAACATCACCTCCATCACCAAGAAGAAGAACTCGCAACAGGTCATCACACTGACGCCCGACCACAGCCCGAGTTGGCCACCAAAGTCAGCCATCATCTTGACTAGCTTAACGAGATTTATCTTTACAACTTGTAAAAACTAAGTATAATATCAAATTACAATTCTCAATAAAAACATTATCTCCATAGTTTCACCGTGGGTCATTTAGTTTATATTAAACACTCACCCCATAAGCCTCAGTTTCACTCAGCACTTCGTAGTTTAACGCTTCGTAGAACACCTCGACCATAGCACCATTCTCCGCATAGTACTCGTTACATTCTCCTGGAGGCAGATTACACTTTCCCACCGAAATGTTTAAAGACGTGCTTGGCCAATTGGCGCAAGAATAAGACAATTGATACGACGGTTGTTCACAAGGTTGATCACAAGTACACTTCATGGCCTCTGGATCCATCACGCTGGCTTCGTGCGCAATCCTTTCCAAACATTTTCGTGCTTCAGGATCAAACACTTGACAGTGAGAGGCGTTAATGACCGGAAAGCGTGGATCTCCACAGCCACAACGTGCTACAGCTTCGTCTTGGAAACAGGTCCGGTAACAGCCCTGAATAACATGCTACCAATCATATTTCCTTATGTTATTATAATTTGAAGTTAGCAATTTTTGAAGATAAACTGTAAGAAAATAGAGAATTTGTTCTGCATAAAACTTACCTCTAATGAATACTTGTATCCCTGGTAGATGTACTTCTGATCTACCCCATCAGGTACACACTTCCCGTACGGCTCTGGCAATCGAGAAATCCTGGCCAATTGAACTCCAAACGAAGAAATGTAGCCAGTAGGAGCGCTGTAGCCAGAGGTTTCCGGGAAAGGATACTCGTCTGCATCGTGAATCGTCAATCGTACTCCAACAGCTTCTGTAGTCGGTAAATACTCGGTAGTATTTACAAAAACCAGCACTCTTAGACCTATAACAAAATATTTTGACAAAGAATCCTTCAAAGCGGACGGCGAAGAGAAAACTAGTGACAAATTTTTGTTTCGAGTCAAGTCTCTTTCTTTGTTGCTCGAGTCATGTTTTTCTCGATGGTTTTGATAGAAAAAATCTCTCGAGCTCGAGCCGAACTTTGTGGTATTTTAACCTATAGTCAAAGCCACTCACCGTAGTTAGCACCAGCTCTTACACTGACTTTGGTGTCACTTCTGTTGTGGTTAAACACGAAACAATTGCCAAAAGTTGGATCTGCAGCGCTTATGAAGTCTCTAAAACAATAGTTGATGTCCAGTATGTTGTTCTGACCTGTCTATATCGCAAGCTTGTCCATTAAAACTGCATTTGTGAATAAGTTGGTGTTTCTGAATTGACAAGGCTTCTCGTTGTTTCTCGCTCAACTCTGCCATGGCAAAGATAATATTCTCCCGGGCTTTTGTTACTATTGCTACCTCGTCTGTCATATTCTAAAATGTTTTATCTTTTGCTCTTAATTATTGACAAATGTTATTATATCATAATTTTTATATATTATGTTATTTTGGATCAAAATATTACTTTGAATCCAAGAGCCTCGATGATAGCTTCTTCATCTACACCTCCAGAAGGGACCTGGCCATAGTATTCCCATAGTTTGAGGACGTCTTCTTCTGGAGTGAATGGCATACAAAACGGTTCGATGTTCTGGCAGAGACACTTCTTTTTCTCAGATGGCGATCCTTCTTTCGGCTTCAGATGACAATGTCCGGTCTCGTCGCAGAAGCCACAGGTCTCCGGATTCCAGTGTTTTCGTGGATAGCATGGCCAAGCGTCTTCTGTTTGGCGGTCAAAGGCACACATACACTTATCAGCTGATGATAATGGCTCATCCTTTACTGATGGCTCACATCTGAAGGTGTTTTAGGTTAATCTTGAATCCATTTTTAGTTATTTACATGACAAAAGGGGTTTGACTTGCTGTATCTCTAGGTATACCTACTCTAACACGCCTTCGTTTTCTTCACAATCGCACTTTGAGAAAGCAGCTTCGAAGCCATGATGTTCTTCACGCTTTTGTCGTTTGACTTCTGAATTCATCACAGAATCCAGGAAACGTTTGGGTTTGCTTACTGAAGGTTTCTTCTCTCGATTGGTCTTGCCTGCTTGGTCTAGGACATTGTGGTATACTTCTAACTGAAATTTGATTAAGTAGTTATAAATAGTTTAATGAGTTTTCAACTTCACAAAGTTGTTTTGAATTTATTTTGATATTCCTTACAATCTTTTTGATGGCCTCGACGTCCTTTAGGAGAGATTCTTTATATGGATTTAGGTTACATAGTGTTATGGCTGGGAACGGCGCTTAAAATAACTGTGTTGCTACCTATTTAAATGAAAGCCTTACCTGTCTCAAACTTCAATTCGATGCTTGTGATCTTTTCGTTTCTACTGTACTTGGCAATGACGCTGTTGGCTTGTAATACGAACATAACCAAACAAAAGAGAAGTAAAAATCCCCAAATCGTGCTGAAAAACATAATTTAAAGATTAATAGTAACACAACCTATAATACATAATATAATTCAATGCAAAAGTTTGCATTTAAAAAGTTACCGGTAGATTCCATTTGGTGCACCTAGTATCCATGGTACTCCATGACTACTGGTCTTGTCACAAAATTGTTTTAAGTGCCAACTGAGTCGATCCCTTAATGGCAGAGAATAAGGGTCTTTCAGGTATCGACTGTCTTCTACTATAATATCACATTGAATGTTCTGGTCTTTCTGGTTACTGTAGCATGCAAAAGGGTGTTCATTACAGTATGCGGCGATCCTTACAGTATCTATTTCACTGGCTAGCGGTTTATTGGATCTCATGGGTTTATCTATTAGAAAAGGTTAGGTGACAGGTAAGAGAAGTAGGCTTAGCGCAATATGTTAGTGGCTAAGTGTTTTTCAAAATACGATGGCCAATGAAATTGCGAAGATGTCTGTTCAAAAGGAGATGACATTTCCGTGTCACAAACCATTCACACTTACTATAATATTAATGGAATACATTGCTTGTTCTTTAACGCAATTTAAATTTGTAGATTTAAATTTACAAAATTGAACCTATTTTTATACTTAAGTATTTATAACATACATTATAGGCATGTATAATATATTGAATTGATTTTAGGTTTTAAGTACTTTAAACTTTTGTAATATTATTAAGGTATACGATTGGCATACCAGAGGTTATTCGTATATAAACGAATGTGGCTCTTGTTTTTTGTGTTACATTAACTGATAACATATTGATTTTGAGACGTTTACATTTTCTTTTAAATATATTTTTTTGCTTGTGTTGAAACTTTATATGAAAATGATTTAGTGTGCTATGTCTGTGAGAAAAGTATTTTTTTCACGTAGGGAAACATTGTAAGAGTTAGATCTAAAATCCGGCCATTATCTTATTTCTGTAAATAATGCCAACTAATTAGCATTGTATGCTCACTTAGACTCCTTTTTTATTTGTCATTTACTTTTACTGTAAATTTCACCTGTACTTTCTTCTAGATGTTGTATAATTTAAAAATACATGAAGAGTATACGACATGTTATGAAGTGACGATACTTTATAAGCGTTTAACATCCTCAATCTTATTGTAAGTTGTATGTAACTTGTTTATTATAAACTGCTAGTTTGATTAAAAAGCAGAAAAATGTCGGAAAGCAATGTGACTGAGGAGGTGGTGATGGCTACCACAATGTCGCCCATATGTTGCAATGCCACGTTTCCTTTGTTTTATGTTTTTGTCACGGTAATTGGCATCTACTTTCAAATTGCTACTATTATTGTAAGTTTGGCTCCGAAAGGGGAAGTTTCATTAAATATATCTATACTTTAACATTCCTACTTACGTATAATAATTTTTGTTTGTAGGTATTGATAAAAGAATCGTATTACCGTAACAACATTAGCTACCGTTTGCTGTGTGTCATAGGATTCGAGAACTTGTGTCATATGTTGGTGTTCATGACCTTGATTCCATATGGGTTTACTTGCAAACGACAACGAGAAGTTTATATTGCAGTAACGGGTATTATTGGCAACTTTTCTTTTTATATTAATGGTCCTCTGGAAGTGCTGTTGGCTATCAATAGGTATACTGAGATATGTATTCCGCAATTTAGAAGTGGGTTCAAGATACGATCTTTTTACAATGTAGGTTTTTACAGGGATCTTTACTTTGTAATCATAATATTATTTTGATAAAAGGTGTTATAACGTTGTAAAGCAATAACTTACAGTATCAAAAGCATAACAATAGAATATATGCAGGGCCGGGCGCGAGGGGGGGGACGGAGAGGGGGGGGGGACGGGGGGGACGGAGGGGGGGGGGTACCTCCCCCCCCAGAAAAAAAATTTTGAAAAAAGTTAAACGTGGTCCCCCCTGTGGATTTTCGGAAAAAAAATTTTCGCAAAAAATCGGCACAGCTACCTGTGCCGATTTTTTGGACCCCCGCCCCCAGATCAAAAGTCCCCGCCCGGCCCTGAATATATGTAATTTTAGATACTTATGGCAATAATAATTGTGTTTATCATAAGTGCAACAATGTGGATGTTCACTGGAGATGGTTGTAACATGTACTACTTTTGTTACCGTCACAGTGTCTACAAAGACTGCTACAAGATTGACTACGTTCATGCTCGTAACTATATTATATACACTTGTCTGGTAGTTGAACTAGTGATATATCTTGTTATTGTGGGTCACATACGAACACAGCGCACTCTATATGGCCAAGAGTTGAAGTTAATGGGACCGGAGAGGAGGCTGCTGGTTATGAGTATCGTACACTTTGTGGTTACGTTGTGGAGACAGGCTGTGCAACATGTTAACAACGCTTTCTTTGTCTATTCGGTAAGGTAAAATACGTTTTGGTTATACGCATTTATAAGTTACAGGAAAAAGGCTTGTAATATTTTAAGTTTAAGGGTATTTTTTAAAAGTATTGTCATCTACATTATTCTTAATCTTTTAGCCGTTCTCTCAAGTTTCGTCAATTACGGTAGTAGCGTTATCAGATGTTGTCAATTCGATTCTGCCATTGTTCTTCAACAAGTAAGTTGATGTGCTAACCAACAACATACTAATTATACTTTAATGTGGTTTAATGTACGTATTTAGACCTTTACTGAACGACATCAGAAGGCTGTGTTTCTCTGGAGACTTGAGATTGTTCACAGCACGGTCTTCTGTACTCAGCACGGGTTCTGTTCGGACGCAGAGTATTGGTGCTTAAGGTCGACAAAATAAGCATAAGATCAACAAGATTAGATTAGATGTTGTTACGTAAGGAATCGTACTGTAACATTTTATTTTGATTATTACAACGTTTCGCTCATACATTACATATAACTTAGCTACCCTTATATTAACCACATTTTTTTAAAGTAGTTTGCAAAGTATGTTGTCACAGTAATGACTTATCGTACATGTTCTACAGTATTACTGGTGCTAATACTGGGCAAATACGAGCATATACGATTACTTCATTGCTTACCTAGGTAACTTGTTGTCGTTTCTGAATGGATTTAAAAATTTTGTCCTTTTTGCAATTTTGTATTTATAATTACTTTGGTACATAATGCACCTGTGTATTAGAATATATGTTGTATAAAAAGTATTTTTGTTCAAGTTTGTGCCATTTAATTTTGTTTTACATTGTTGTTCTTACCGTAGTTAGAAGTTAACTAAGCTAATTTTTATAAAGTACTGGTGTGTTATACTGTATATTTATAATGGACGAAAATCTTACGGTAACTACGGAAGACACACCTGAAGAAGACACAATAGCACCATTGTGTTGTGATCCGGTCTTTCCTTATAGTTACTTCATCGTAACTTTAACTGGCATTTTTTTTCAATTGGCCACTGTAATTGTAAGTAAATTTTTAAAAAAATTTAAGCACACTTTTCTCTTCCTTTCAAAAAAGAATCAGCACAAGTAGCAGCTTGTTTTAATTCTACCTTCCTCTTACGTCTCTTCCAGACCAAGATGACACTGGTAACAGGTATTGGTCAAAGAGCCATTTTACCGCCGTAACATCAGTTACCGCTTACTCTGTATAATAGGGTTTGGAAACTTGGTCCACATAATAGGGTTTGGAAACTTGGTCCACATTGGTGATATCCATGACTCTCATACCATATGGATTTGCTTGTGAACGACATAGAGAATATTACCTTCACATAACTGGCAACATAGCTTATCTAGCGTTTTTCATTACTTCTCCGTTGGAGGTGTTACTGGCGATTAATCGCTACACCGAGATATGTCTGGCAAACTTTCCTAAGGGCAATAAAACACAAATCACTTACATGGTATGTTATGAAAAATGTCGTTTTAATGCTGTCGTTACGACATTACTACAGCCATACCTATAAGGCGTGTTACTATTATATATCTTGCTTTTAGGTACTTACAGTTCTTCTTATTATTGCTGTTGTTTACTGCACTATATGGATGTAGGCCCCGGAAGGCTGTCACATCTACTACTATTGTTACCACCACAGAAACATTATACTATTACTTTACTTTTAAGTCAAAAATGATAATAAAACGAATTGTTACATCAGATTTGAGAAGCATATGATAATAGAACAATAACATCTTATTATAGTAATGACCGTCGTATAGGTTTGGAACGATAGAACTGATAAGCTTATCTTTTTTTATTGTATACGTTTTTGGGTGTATATACTACTTTACTATTGTTTAAATGAGTAAAAAAGATAAGTTAGGTTTTCAAAAACAACTTCTAAATGACGGCATACCTACACAGACAACATACGACACTATGAATAGTAAGTTTGATGTTGGCTTTATCTTAATTTATGTTTAATACATTGAACTTTGACTATGTGTTGCAAATGTATGTTGATATTGTTTACAAACATATATTATACATGACACTTTAACGTCTTTTTGAATTATTTTTAAAAAACGGCTGTCACCAGTTCATGTGATGTTTCAAGTGGACGATAACACGTTGTTAACACAACTCTGCCATCAATCAAACTTTACCTCCGAAAAGCCGATCGTATCTCCGACTTCTAGAATGTCCTTGGCTACTTTTATTTTTAGTTTTTGTTAATTGTTTTGCTACTACATAACAGTGTATTTCTGTTCTTAATTCACTGTATATTAAAGCTGTGATACTGTAATTTTAAAAAAGTCGCTTACTATAATTTCTGTGCTTTTTTTGTACTATAATCTATCTTTTTGTCAAATTTTTAGTACAAAAAAGAGTTTGTAGTAGTACTGTATTACTCTTTCAGTCATGCCAGACCAAACAAAGACAGCTCCGACCCAATCCTGGTCGGAGATGTACCACTTGTGGCCCAAGTGGACCTTCTTTATCATAGCTCAAGAGTTCTTTGAAAGATTCTCTTACTACGGTATTATGAATACATTGATGTTGTACTTTTTGAATGTGGTCAACTTCCAAAGGAGAGACGCTGTCATAGCTACACAACTGTTCTCTATCACATGTTACACATCTCCCTTCTTGGGGTCCATCTTGGCTGATGGTTACATTGGCAAGTTCAAGTTAGGTTTTGTGGATATTTGCTACTTTTGACTATCAATACTTATTTAAAGCTGTTTTGCTTCTTACTGTAGGTTTAAAAGTTTTTACAAAGATATTAAGCTGCTGCCTACAACAATATAAAAACATAAAATACATGTTTATATTTAGAACGATATTATCACTGTCGATAGTGTACACGATAGGCCAGTTCTTGTTGACGTATTCATCGACCAACAATGAAGGCACTTCCTTCCATCCTTCTGTCGATCTCTTGGCTCTGTTTATCATTGGAATTGGCACTGGAGGTATCAAGCCTTGTGTCAGCACATTTGGCGGAGACCAGTTCGATCCCAAACAACTGATAATGATCTCTCTCTTCTTCTCCATCTTCTACTTCACCATCAACGTGGGTGCCTTCTTGACCTTTCTCTTATCGCCCATTCTTCGAAGTAGGTAGATTTTTAACATTACTTTGGTTTTATCATAGAACATTAGTAAAATTAAGATATTAGATAACATAAAATCTACTAAAACATCAGTTTATATAAAACATATGAAGAGTTAAGACTATGAACTTCAGCTTTGCCATGTTTGGGAAAAGACTCATGTTATCCATTATGCTTTGGTGTTCCGACTATTTTGATGACAATAGCTACAGTACTCTTCGCTTTCGGTTCTGTATATTATGTGAAAAAGCCTCCTAGTAACAATGTCTTCAAACAAGTGTACGATACAATTAAAGTATGTTACCTATCTTTTTTATGTTTTTATAAGAAATTCAGGGATAACATATGCCAAGCTTTTGGATACTTTTGTTAAAATAAAATGAAAGTTTAGAACGCCATAAGTAACTACCGTAGATCGACTCACAAGCAGGGTCGTTTCTTGGATTACTCGCTAGATGAACATAACTGTGACAAAGATAAAGATTGCCAAAAGACGAGAGCTAATGGTTCTACTGGGTATTGCGCCAAAGTAAGTTAGTCATATAACTAAAAATTTGTACCTACTACTTTAATACTGGATATGACAGGTAATAATAATTTTCAGAAAGTTCTAGTAGCTGACATTCGTACTGTGATCAAAGTGTTGATAATCTTCATACCCGCAGGCATTTACTTTTCTTTGAATGCGATGAGAAGTGCCAAATGGATTCTACAGGCTTTGGAAATGAATCCAAACATCACAGACACCTTCCAGATACTGCCAGACCAACTGAGTGTCATATACCCATTACTGGTACTGGTACTAATTCCGTTTTTAAATGGTATTGTCTATCCGACAGTTGACAAAGTGGTGAAAGTAACGTAAGTTCAAAAAAAATGCGATGACATAGTAAGTTAGAAGTAATACAGATTAATATAGCTATGTTTCGTTTTGTAGTTTTTTTTATTTTATCTGTTTATAATGGTTTTTAAATTAGATTTTAGGCCGCTAAGAAAGATGGTAGCTGGCACAATCGTAGCTGGCTTTGCTTTCTGGATTGCAGCAGCAGTTCAAACCAGAATTGACGTAAGTTACTTATAGTTTTATGTTCCATAGTATAAAAGATAACATACTGAAAAATAACTTTCGAATTCATAATACTATAAAAGACTAAACTTTTTGAACTTTAGGCTTATTCAACACCGTTACCAGGGCCAGAACAATCATTTGTCACTTTTACAACAAACGTACCAAACTGTGACATTACTGTAAACTCAACAAATGGCGTTTTGAAAGTGCCATTTCAAAATGTAAGCTAAATTTTGACTTTAATTTTACTTTTTTTTAGTTTTAACAATTTTAAACGGCAAATTATACTTAAAAACCAGTTTAGTATTGCAATTTTTTACAATTTCAGGCATTTATGGACACTTCTTTACCAGAATCGTTTCTTCATTATGTGCCAGGAGAGAACCAGATAGAATTATCTTACAGTGGAGTAAACTGCAAATTAAATGGATTTCAAGTGCACACCTTACAACTATTTCAAAAAAGAATGTACAATATCTTGATAACACCAAACGGACTTTTAAAAGTTGAATTGGATCCTAGAAAGTCTACACAAGCTACTGGGGCTTTCAGTCAAGCGTAAGTTTACTGTAAAAGGGGCATACTGTATACATAATTGAGGTTATATATATTATATTACGATAACTTTTATTATTTTTAATTTAAAGATAATTCTTTTCAATGAAGTTTGCAGATATATTGTACTAAACCTTCAAAATGTGTCACTAGCCCTGTGTCGTCAGAAGTTGTCTTCAGAACTAACTGATTGTAACCCATCTCAGCCTAATGATTACTATCCTTTTAAACCAGTCATTGATAACCAACAAGCCTCTATGGCCACACAATTCCAGAAGTTATTCGTAAAGCAAGGACGATGGCATTTGTTCACCGTTCACGGCGCAGAACATCGGCCGACAAAGCACGGATTCTTGAGATACCGTGCTGGAGGGGTTTACATTACATTCCTGGAGTTGGATGGTAATGGAGAAGCTATCAACGTATCTACCATGGAATATGTCAAGGATAATCAAGTGCATTTACTGTGGCAGGTTCCTCAGATATTCTTGAGTGTTCTGGCCGAATGTCTGTTCCAAATTACTGGCAATGAGTTCGCTTTCACGCAGGCTGCGCCCTCGATGAAGGCTATTATTCAAGTAAGATTTTTACTTTGTTTTATTGTGGGTAACATAAAATAAGGTAAAGTCAACTTTGCAAAAGTAAATGTTCAAAACAACTTCATTTTCAGGCTTTTTGGTTGTCAGCAATAGCCTTTGGAGATGTCGTAGTGATAATAATCGAAAAGCTTGGTATCTTCTCCAAAGAACAACTGTCAGTTTGGGAACTGTTGTTCTACGCAACGATGGTACATCTGGATGCCATTATATTAGCCTATCTTGCCAACTTCCATTACACGTATCGTGTAGACTATTCAGAATCCAAAAGGAAACAGTCCAAGGCTCAGAGGAAGATCAGTCGGAACGATGCCATTTCAATGGGTATGATCGCTTTTCCCATGGAAAACGACAATGGTATTCTGGAGGAGGACGAACATACGACGATCAGAGAGAAAGTAAAGCTAGAGGAGGGGTGTTAATAACACTACGTTAATATTGTTTTTGCTATTAAATTCTAAGTATAATAATCACAGTGGTAAGATTCAGATGTTTTAGTGAATTTTATGAACCTTTCCATTTCAATTAAAATAATGTCTAATAGTTTAAATAAAAAATAAAAATTCGACAGCTTATAACATCAAATTTTAAAAATAATTTGGCCCTTTCATACCTATTTTTAGTCTAAAATCAGTTTTTTGTTCCAAAAAGATTTAATTTGCTTTTGAAATTCACAGAATAAGTCAGAACGAAGCACATGGGAACATTCCAACGTTCCCATGAAGAAAAAGAGCTTTGTGAACAGACTCGACGATCAAAAGGTTTGAAATTATTAAAATATATTTAAAATTAACATTGTAAAACATTACTCTGTGACAAGTTTACTTGTTACGTTATGCATCAATATAAATGAGAATATGTTTAACACAAGATTTATTAAATCTAAATTCAGTTTCATAAAGTAAGGTGAAGTATGATACAAGTAATTACAAACAAAGCACCGGTTGGCAGCAAGTTTTGGCACAATTAAAAGTTTTCAGTGTAAATTGTAATCTGAGAAGGACTACTGAGAGTACGGTGACTGTTTGCTGAAAAGTTAACTTATTTATAACTGTTTATAGCTTTATTTTAATATCTTATGGCAATAGAAAGTAGAACTGAAAGACAAGATTTACCAAGTACACCAACATTTTTAAACATCTTCTGCCTTCGAAGACTTTTTAATTTTACGTACTGTATCTATCATAACTTACTTCTGGAAGTACTGTTGCATCGCCCTCATATTCTTCTCGTTCTCTGCTTGTGCTCGTTGCAACCATAAATGGCACACATACTTCTCGTACTCTTGCTTCTTCACCTTGTACACCATCTTCAGCCTCAAATAGTCATCTTGACTTTGGATGCCTAAGGGCTTGTGTTGTGAAGACATACTCAACGGACTGCCAAATGAATATACTGTACTTGATTCAGCTTCGGTACAGAGATCTGTTGGAGGCATGGTAAAGTTGATTAAAATCTCTGCAAAAGTATTAAAAAATTAAGTTCTTAGCTTTCAGTTTCAAAATAACAAACAAAGTATAATATTGTAAAGTTCAAAAAAGTAAAACAATAAATTCCAACTAACACCTACAGAAACAATATGCAAATTTTTTTATTCTACGGTAAACCAACCAAAACTAAATAAAAATTATTTTGAATCAAAACTACAAAAACTACAGTAACGTCTGGTATACGACATGTTAACACATGAGGCATTTCCGGTCATTCGACGTTGGCGGAATGTCATGGTTATTATGGACTTGCGCCAAGGCCTGGCCGCTGACTCCGCCCCCTTTCCCAGGTCAATTTATGCGAGTGCATTATAGGTAAAGTACTAAAAAGGCCGCCAATGACTTGATGCGAATGTGAAAGGGCTCTATTATTACAATCCGACCTGTAATTTCGCTGTAAATCAGGTCGGCGTATTGGACGGTAATTACGGTAGTGAAGGCGATTTTGAATGTGGATACGGTAGTAAGTGATACTCAGATGTAAAATGGCGGAACATGATACTTTTTAGTTACAGTAATATTTTAAAAATTGAAACTCAAATTAAAACTTATAATTATATCAAAAACAGACCGTTTCCCCTCTCGAGTACAATATCATCATAGAATGCCCTGAATGTTAACAACGTTGTTAAAGTTTGTTCCCAGCTCCCTCCCCCTCCCCCATTTCCCTTGATTCCCTCCCTTTTGACCCACTGAAGCGCGGAGTCAAAAAAAGTTTATGGGAAAAATGCGTCATCTTCACAGAAGATACGACGACAAAAGTGGGAATTAATGTGTTGACAAACATTGTAAAAAGTCATTAGAGTGGACAAATAGGATGGGATTGGGAAAGGTTTGAGGTTGGGGAGGATTCTGATCACGTAACTACAGTAGGTATCGCAGATGAGGTAGTGATGTAACTGGAAACATGTAACAAGACAATCAAGATGACAAAAAAATAAATTGAAAGCAGTTCATTCAAAAATGGCATATAGTTGAACGTAAATTATTTACTACTTCATTTTTTAAACACGAAACTATTATCTCTTAATTTTTTGTAAGAACTTGAAGTAAATACAATGAAACCTCTGTATAACGAATCACAAGGAGAATTAAAATTTGTTCGTTATAAAGAGGTTTCGTTACAGAGAGGTTTAAAATACAATGTGTAATGATAGCCGGGGATTCAAAAGTTGTTCGTTATACAGTGGTTTCGTTATATAGAGGTTCCCTATACGGAGGTTGCACTGCAGCCATAAAAATATACAGTCGAACTCCTGTATAACAAACTCTTCTATAACAAAACCATAGCAAAACACCTTATAATCCCGGTCTACTACTACACAGTAAGTCCAAAACTCTTCTGTACCGAAACTTCTTCATAACAAAGAACTTTTAAATCTCTGGGAAAGTCATTATACATAAGCTTCACTATCTTTTACTTTATGTGCACTTCATTCAATAATTTTTTTGTAAATCACCACGATTTTTGGTAATTTCCTTCAAAATTTTTTGCAACATCTGTTCATCAACTACTTTGAATAACTAAATACTTTAAAGCTAATTTTCTAAAAAAAAAATAAAATAGCTAACAAGGACTTGATATTCCACTTAATATCTACCATAACATAACGATGGCTAAGCTGACCGTAAAGCCAATGGAGATCATCCCAGAAGTTTCCCAGTCAATTCCCATTAGTCATTGTTACATAAGCGCGCGAGTCGACTTCTTTCTCCGCCGATCTCGAGTGCATTTGCATTCGCATCCCCCCAAATATTGTTTTTGTGGGAACGGCGCTCGTTCACAGAAGGCCACAAACAATTAATGCTACTGGGAAAGCGGAGTAGCCATTTAAACCAGAGCTGGGTCGTCGTGTTGATCCGAGTGGACACATTATCATTCATAACAAATTTTGAATATTAATATTCACTACCATAATATGGCAAAGTAATTTAAAAAAAGCAAGTTTGTGTTCAGTTACTGTGTAAACTCGTTTCTTATTATTGTGCGACTTTTTAAATTAATGCAAACCTTCAATTCGTACCTCTTTTGACAGTAAACAACAACAAATTAGATTAAAATTAAACAGATATTGCGATTAGCCATAAAAGTATAAAATAACAAAGCCGGTTGTCATGGCAACTTCATAAAGTTGCAGAACCTGATTATTTATGCAAATTTATTGATAGAAAACTATAATATAACCCATGAAACAAGCTGACTTCAATTCTCAGACATGGAATGGTTCACTACAATAAGGATGGCATTACGCTTTTTAAAATAAAAAATTATTTAAAAATCTCAAATCAATAAGAATTTTAAACCTCAAGGTCTGCTACATTCCGATAGTTTTGTGACACTTCGCCCCGACTATTGATTTGGCGGTAAAAGCGGTCGAAAACAGAGCGAAATTAAGAGAATAAACAAAAAAGAGAGACGGCTGTCTGCTTCTCGCCTGGAGGCTCTTTTTCGCTCCCGGCTGGCTGTTTGCGTCTCTTACTTCAGGTTTTTTCGAACGATTTTATTTTTTGTCACGGGAGACGAAAGGGAAGGGTAAAGTAAAGGGGATATTTGCACTTTATGATTGTTTTTCGAGTTTTGCGACAAACGGTTACCTTCTTTACATTCTTTCTTACCTTTATCTGATCGGTAGGTGTGGCATTTAGTCAAAAATTTGCATTTCAAAGTAAATTTTGTGTTTTTTCGACAGAATATTATGAGTTTTTCAAACTTTTAAGCAGAGAAAAACAATAACAGAAGGCTATAATACGGCAGATCGACTTTGTTTTACACCACAAATGCCATACGACCTTATATCAAAGTGCTTAGACCGGGTTAAACTATAATTCAAGGACGTTCCATCGTTGATCTTCTGATAGCAATCAATTGGCTTCTGATTACTTTCGAATTTTCAAATTTTATAGTTCATGACTTTGTCATCCTGAATTATGACTTATGCGTATTTATGTTTTTTGGTCACAATTGTGTTGTTGTTCTGAAATTTCAGGTTTTTTAAAGGTTTTTAGAAACTAACATTCCTTGACACCCAAAAAGTAAGCAATCGCACTTTATAAGTTCAAAAGTTTATTACCAAATGTGTTTCCAGAAAGCAAAACAGTGTGAGTAACCAAGACAGGAATCTTGCCACTTGTTAGCCATGTTATTTACCCTTTCTCTTCTGAATCCTATTAAAATATGTTGTGGGTCGAAAATTTCGGCGGGAAAAGAGCCCCGAGACCGAACTTGCGCCACAGACAGCCGAAAAGAGTGCTTAAAGGACGCTCTATTAAGAGGCGCACCCTTCTCCGCCCGCCCTCCGCGAGGCCCGTGATCTCTCGCTCTTCGGCTGTTACCGTCGTTTGGAGGGGAAAAAGAATTTCTTTTCCGTCAAATTTGTTCGCCTTTTCTTGATTTTAATTTTACTTGATATCTTGGTTATTACACACTTCCAATTACCTTCAGATTAGCCTAAAATAAGTTGGATCTTGTTGTAGGGTTATTGTTGCGGATTTCTGATGATTTATAGTCAATATCAAAAAGTTACTATGTGTGTATAGGTGTAACCAACCTTGGGAAATTTAATAAATGAGTTTTAGGATGGTGTGATCTCGGTTTACTCGTCGATCGTTAACAGTAATTTTGTTTACTAAGGTTTTTATTACATTTTTCGTAATTTTTGGGTATTTGAGTTCATACTTATTTGAAATTGTGTACTATTGTGAAGTATTGTACGGAATGTAAACTCTGCTACGATTTTACATATTGTGCTTTTCAGGTGTTTTTAGAGAAATAGTAATTACCCTACAATTTTAGAACCCTTAAAACACTGTATAAGCAATACCTTTATACTAATTCCATTATTTCAAAATACTCTTTGAGTCCATTTCACCTCAAAGTAAAGTCATTTTATGCGTTTTGTACTTGGGATATAAATCGTGTAAATACATTTTTTGCCTTTTTATGAAAATAAAACAACATCAGATGAAAAACAATTTTAGGGTAATTTAAAAAATGCCAAAATCCGCGGATTTTGGCCAGAATAAAGAACCGAATATTCCGGACGATCAACCGGGGACATCAGCATCGACGTCGCAGTCTTTCACTCAAGGTACCTTGTTTTAAATTATTTTTTCCACTTTTAGGTACCAAAAGCACTACTAAAGGATTAGATTGAAAATCCGGCATAAAGAGCTGGTTTTCAAGTTTATAAACATAACTTAAAAAATCGATAAATTTGAAGCTTGGTTAATACATAATTTTCAAAAGGTTTAAACAATATGAGACTTGCGGCCTAAATTTCAAGTTTCGTGCAATTTTGTAAAAAATCTTAATTTTAAACACACATACTAGCAAAATATAAATCCCTAACAAAAAAATGTTTTATCAAAACACTTTTCATCCTTCAAACTTCTGATAACACCGAAAACTCCTTGAATTATCGATTTTTGCAGCGAAAAAGCCAATCAAAAGAGACCCTACAACACATCGCTTTTTGAAGTCCAGAAGGCTCTACGAGTCTAACGAATCGCCTAAAACCCATCCTTTTGTGACCAACTGGACCATTCATGTACATAAGAACAGTCCATTGGCCCTATATTCAGGGAAGCACTCCACCAAGCAATCATTGGGGGGATATGTTTATACAGGCGAAAAGGAAGTGGACAGAATCACGAACACTCTGAAGAGACTCGGAGGTCGGTTTTATCATCCTTTTTCGATAGATCAATAACCAACTTGTATACAGTTTTGTTGATTCTGTCTTTGAATTTTCATTTTTCAAAAATATTTGAGAAAATTTTAAATTTATTCTTGAAACTATTGATCGGTAAGGAGTGGCTGATCGATAAAGGTCGTTTTTTCAAAATTCAAAAAGTTTTTGTGGAATCTAAAGAAAATATTTAATAAATGGTGGTTTTAGAATTGCCCCAAAAGATTTTTGACCCTCTGGAAGAGAATGAGTTCAAGGAGCGACGGAAAAGCATCGACGAGGACCTGGATAAGGTGGATCGACTGTTCGAGACTGAGACGAGGGAAAACAGCCAAGCACAAGCAATCGGGTGGTTGGCTGATAGGATTTGTTGGCGACAATTACCTCAGATAGTGCGAAAAGAAATTATACGACAAGATCCTCAACAAACGTTCGAGACTAAAGTGTTTAAGAAGGCGGACTTGGCCAAGTTAATATACCCTAACTTTGTGGACTGGCTTGATGACTGGGACATCATGCCGGCTCCAGGGAACGCGTTGTTTGAGAATATTGAAGATCCTAACCATTATGACCGAGGGGAACCACCAATATCTTGTTGTATATTTACAAAACATAGGAATGGACAAGTCAGTAGATGTTTAAGGGAGCCTGTGAAGGGATTCAACTCTAAATTATGTCAGAAGTCGATCAGAAAACAGTTTCCATTCTTCTGGAGCAAAACGGTAAGAATTTTTTGTTATTCCAGATTTTAAGTAGCATTTATACCTTTTGTAAACTATTTCACAAATAAATATTTATATAATAATATATCCTAAAACTGGAATTTTTAGGTGATATCACCGGCTGTCTGTAACTTTCATTATCAAGTCATGGAAAACGAGAAGAAAAGTACGGAGGACAACCCATTATTTGAAAGGGCTTTGGGAAAGTACGATGTTGTTGAACCTGTCCAGTTCGATTCTGATGCCCAATTTGAAGAAGTCTCTGAATACATTAACGATGCTTTGGAGAAGACACGAGATGAGCATAGAGAAGCGCTTAGTTTCAATACAAGGTTTTGGAAGTTGATGGATGTGAGTTATCTTGTTGTTTTTAAACTAAAAATTCTGAAAATAACTTTTTTATAAAGTAGTTTATCAAAAGCTTAGGTTTTTATATTTTTAACTTTTTATCATGTTTTAGCCACCCAAATTGCGAGAGCCACTAAATAAAGTGCGATCATTCGAAAGGCCGTCTAGAGATTACACGGGAATGAAAGTAGAAGACACCGAAGTGTTAGTTGAAACCATTTACAGGCGAAAAAAGAAGAATCAATTAGCTAAAGCCTCTAATCTGCAGACAGATTCTAATGGATTTGAAGTAGAAGAAGGAAAGGTAAGAGTTGACACTTTTATTCTGTTTTAGGTTAAATTTATTACGGTGTTCTTAACCACTACGTCTTTAATTTCAATATTTTCAGAAAAAGTCAAAACGAAAGTATTCCAACCAAACGGTGGATTCAGAAGGTCTTGCGTCGTTCTCGGACGATGACGATTCTGAATACTTGACTGATATTGAACTGAGCGACAAGCTTTCTGGCTGGCTATCGCCTAAACCTAGATGCAAATGTGGTCCAACTTCACCCGTGGCAAATCGCTTTGTAGAAGATGAAAGTTTGGACAACAGCACGTGGAAGAAGAATAGGATACAGAAGGCGCTACAGATAGGATTCTTAAATGCAGTGAAGCCTGAACCAAAAGAGACAAAAGCAGAAGCCAAGAAGGATAACAAGAAGTCCATGTTATCACCACGACCAACAACTTCTAAACATGCGTTCGATGAAGATGTGATATTGTCGAGTCTTCCGTCAGCCGTTAGCAGTAAGAAGAATGGACGATTGGAGCTGGACTCATCGTCAGAAGAGGAAGAGTACGAGAGTGAGAGAGTGCTACGCGTGTTTGGACTTTTGAATAAAGCTGATTCGGTACCGGATCCTAAATTAACATTTGATGGGTGTTCTGGAGCTACTATACGACGGATAAAGAAGCATTACAACCTACCAAACAGGTCTGGAGCTACTTCTAAGTCATTGGTAAGTCTAGATATTTTGTTATTTTAGATAATCAAAACAAGTTGATATTACAGTTATAACATATTTAATCATACGTCACAACAATTTATATTTTTAGTTACTCGATGGTCTTCACGACTTCTTTACGGAGTCTCCAGTCGACTACATTAAAACGATGTCGGACTTTATCACTCACACAAAAGAACCTCGTCCTCCTCTTGGCCAAACTCCTTCTCATTTGTCCACCATCTCCAACAATCAGCATACTTCTTCAGCTGAAGTCTCTCCTAATATGGTGCCGAAGAAACGAAAGTACACAAGGCACGATGAGAACCACAAAAACAATTCTAACGTTCCGCCAAAGAAAAAGTTACTATCCAAGAAACTGAACAGTGATAAGAAAACTACGAACACCGATATCAGCATACGTGAACATCTGAAGATGCAGATGAAGTTGCAGAAGAAGAAGGACGAGATCTCGTTGGAGGCCACGGAGAACAGTCTGGACAACATCAGCGACCACGACATCAAGCAGGAGGAGGTGATCGAAGAAGGAGTTGTCTACCCACCCACGGCAGAAGGCGGCTTCGATACGGTAAGTGAAGCCAGCAAATGCGTTATTTCAAGAACCCATTACAGATCACCTTCCAAGAGCCGGTCAACAACTTCGTTGACGCCAATAATCGCCCTTCATCTGCCAAACCGGTGAACTACATTCTTCCTACAGTACCTTCTACATCATACCAACTCCCCACGTCTCAAATCAGACGAAACGGTGTAGCATACCTAACCGGTGGCATCGGCATTAATCATCAGAGCTCCCTGATCAACCAAAGCTCCGCTAAACGTCACATATCACCTCAGCCGTCTAACTCCAACAACGTCGGGTCTCAACCCCTGAGGCCCAACGTTCAATATTACCAACCCAAGACCTTCACACAACTGAATCCCTCTACCATCCTCAGCACCAAGGCCGACAACAACACGGCTAGCGACAAGTCCAAGGATAAGTTCCCGCGCCAAATACTGTCGGCGACTCACAAAACGTAGAGTAGCTGGGGACTGTCATATTGATTGTATTTAATTGTTACTGAGTTTATGTTTTAGTTTTTACTTTTTTGAAGCAGCCTTTTTTGGGGTACGGATACTGTGATAGGCTTGGTGACTGTTCATATCATTAACTTTCCGAAAACAGTAACCTTTTATGGATGGAACAGTATTCGTGTCTAAATTAGTTTGGTCAAAGTAATTCTATGGACTTTTTGATTTGACCGGACTAGTGTGCAAAGATAACATTGTCTGCCTTATATTGTCGTCGTAGCTGAGTTAGAGTTTTATTGTTGTAGTAAACGGCCATTGACTATGTTTTTCATATTTATGTAGCTATAGTGTAGCATTTGAAAGGAAACCTCATACTTTGGATGAAACTAACTATGAAAATTCTACTGTGATTCTCAGGATCTATCTTACTGTAAGGTTTTGTTACGTCGCCTTGTTCCATTCGTTCGTGCCAACCGAAGTAGACCTTACCTTTGTAATCTTACTTACCAGTGTATATACTCCATATTTAGCATTTAACTGAGTAAAGTATTATTTAAGATGATTGTTGAATAATTTAATGAATACTATGAATGACCTCACAATTGTTTGTTATTTCGAATTGTATTGCAGTTAAATTTAAGAATTTATAAATAAATGTTAGCACAAGTCGATCGTACTCTCAACAAATGTTTTCGAAATTTATGGAAAACTCAACAAACAATAACATGCAAAACTAGAAAGGTTAAACTAACAATAATATGATTAAACTTGATTAACTTTTGGCACTTTCTTCCTCGCTGTGTTTCCTTTTATGGTTAACAGCATCTTGCGACACTCCAAAGCCAACCTTGGCAGCTTCGTCGCCTTTCAGTTCGTCATCTTCAACTGTATATTGCTGATCTTCTTTGTTTTTCTTGTCGTTCAATTCGGATTCTATCACTTGAAGTTCCTTGTCAAGCTCTTCCAGCTTTATCTCTTTCAGTTCCACTTCCATACATCGCACAAGATCTTCATCATCCTTAAGTGCCAGCTCGTTGTCGTCGAAAAGTAAGGTGTTCATTAACAAGTTCCATTCTGGAGTTCCATCCAATGTCATGAACTTGCCTTCTATCTTGGGCTCATCTACTCTCCTTGACTTATCGAACTCTCGCAGGATGATGTATATGTTCATGTGTCTGAGGGTCTTTCGGCCAACTTTCGTTGTGCATAGCTGAAAATGAAAAATACTAATATTAAAGAAAACAATTTCAAATTGTCTTTTACAAACAACAAGAAAAATTCTAAGAATGTCTAAAATTAACTTAAGCACTAATCTTACCTGGGCCAAAACTTCCACTAACGTATCTAGCAGCTCTACGGAGTTGGATCGCTTATGGTCAACATATTGTAGGTTCAAAGGCAGTTTATCCATCTCTTCATCCTCTATTTGGTATTCTTCATCAGTAAATGGATCCATTATGTCACATAACACGTGAGGATCGTCCAAAAACAACGGATGCGTTTCTAAAAGCAAATATATGATTAGACTGTTAAACAAGACAACTAAAATATGAAATTTCAAAAAAAAATACTTACGAACATGGCACGATATATTGAGTATAACATTAGCTACAACTCTTTTAAAGCCTAGGGCCACATCTTGTTTGCTAAGATAAGATGTTAAAGCATTGATTGTGTCTCCAAATAACTCCAGACAAGCGTCTTTGCTTTGTGTCACATTCATAAACACATAAGCTACGTTCAAGAGCACAATTGGGTTGTTCTTTCCACCTTCACATTTGTGAAATGTATCTAAAACAATCACAACATTAAAAAAACACTACAGCGCTTTCACAAGTTATTCGAAATATAAACCTACCATGAAGAAGATTATTGTAATTTCCAACCAGAGAATACAATTTGCGATGAAACTCTTCAGGAGCATTCCTACTGATCTGAGTCATTGGTAAGACGAACTCCTTGGTCTCACCGTGTCTGGCCAATGCAAGAACTTTCCTTACAAGCTTTTCTTCAGTACACGCCAGCTTGGCCAATTCTGGAGTCCCCATGGCTTCAGTGATGACATCCAGAACACTTTCTGTCACAACATCCAGATTCGAGAAGTAAGCAAACAATTGCTTGGCCTTCTTGGAATCATTAGCAGCAAGCCCGTTCCTCAGCTGATCTTCGTTCATCTTCAACATGATGTCAAAGGCCTTCAGAGCTACTTGCTTCGTTGGGTGGTGAATCAAATCAAACAAGTCGTCTAAATATTGTGCCATTTTGCTAAAAATAAAACCTGTTTACAACAAGTGTTTAAAATATAGTGTATTAAAACACAAAAAAGTGAAATAGGTTGTTGATGCTAACAAAAACGCCAAAAATCAATTTCTGAAAGGTAATAACCAGGAAGATTTTCAAAATTAAACAGTCTGACCGATGAAATAAACAAAACAATTTAAAAGCGTTACTAAGACCCTGTTTTTCAAGTAAACAAGACTATCTTGCACACGATCAACATCAACTTATTTCTCTTGAGAAATTTCATTCGAAAAAATATATTTTTCCTGCTGAATCCTTTAGACATGAGAAACGGGCCGGGCCCAATTTTCAAGCCCGGCCCGTTTTTTATTTTGGTCAGGCCCGGCCCGTTTTAAAAAATTTTAAAAATTTTGAAACTTAAAAACTAAACGGAAAATTGGCTTTAAATTGTTTTTTTAAATCATTTATGGATCATAGAACCCAATAAAATCTAAAAACATAAACGGGGATTGAAATAAAAAATTTTAAAAAATTTAGAAATTTTTTTTCCGGGCCCGGCCCGACTTTCCAAGGCCCGGCCCGATCTAAATTTTGCTCAAGGTCGGCCCGGCCCGTTTCTCATGTCTAGAATCCTTTCGCCCTCCGCTAGACTTGGCACCTGTGTCAACTATTGCTTGAGTCAAGTTTTCTTTTTTTTTAAATGAGTCAACTTTCTTACGAAAAATGTATGTTTTGGAAATCGGGTAGAACAATATTTGGTATTGGAAATTACTTTAAACACTTACTTACCTGCAATACTTCGAAACAAATGCACGGTGTTAAAAAGTCCTCCCCAGCTAGTGAAGCTCAGTTAGCTGAGCTGAAAAGAGAACGCAAGGAGAAGCTCCAAAAATTTATTTATGGCAAAAACTTGGTCTTCACGAAGAGGGGAAACAGTAAGTAAATAATTTTATTTGTTTATATTGATGTTTAGAAGAGTTTGACGATGAACTTCTGGAGGTAACGGGTGAGCTTGTGAAGAAGCAGCCAAACATGTACACGGTGTGGAACATACGAAGAGAAGTGCTGGAAGAAAAGGCAAATGTAATGGTTTATAAAACCAGTTTTATACCGTTTGTTTTTCTAGTGTTTTATGTTGTTTTTGATCTTGATACGTGTTTATTTATTTTTTTTTCAGAAGAAAGAAGAATCTGAAGATGAGTATACTGCTCGTTTAGCTGAAATGTACGATGGAGAACTCAAGTTGTCGATGCAAGCTTTATTAAGTGATCCGAAAAGTTACTCTGCATGGTATCATCGTGACTTCGTGCTATCCAAACATCCGAAACCTGATTTTAAACGAGAATTGGAGATCTGTGAGAAGGCTTTGGAGTTTGATTGCCGAAACTTTCATTGCTGGGACCATCGACGGTTTACGGCCCAGTTGGCCAAGCTTGACGAAAGTGAAGAATTGGAGTTTTCCGACCGTTTGGTTAGCAAGAATCCTTCGAATTACTCAGCATGGCATTACCGAGGAACATTGTTGCCAAAGATAGCTCCAAATTCTAATGGAAATCCAATTTGTATCAACGATGAGAGGCTGCAACAGGAGTTCGATGTAAGCTGTTTACTACATTTATGTTAAAAGTGGATTGGGAGACTATAAGGCTACTTTTATTTGGCCAATTTTTAATTAAAATAGTTATGTTTTAGAAGGTAAAAGTACCTACTTGCTATAACACTGAAGATCAAACAGCCTGGACTTACTGTCGTTGGTTGAGCGAAGTTTCATGTGTTGGGCCTGTGGAGCCAACTTTGATTGTATCGGTTACTTTTGTAGCTCTTAATCAAGCTCTCATTGTATTCAACAACTCAGTAGATAAGGAGTTTGTCAATCGGACTGTAAAAGCGGATACCTACACGCCAATATCTGTTGTAAATCTGCCGAAAAATGATAAATATATAAAGACAAAGCTGTGGATGGTGCGAAGAGATGCAGGATTTGACTTTCCTGTAGCCTTTGGAGTGGAATTAGAAGATGATCGTGTTGAGAGCGTTGAGAAGGAGGGTTACTGTAACAAGAGGTATCTTAAAAATGTAAGTTTTTATAATTATTTTTAGGTTGATTATTAGTATTTCACTATGTGTTAGTATTATATTATATAATGATGTATATTTTGATTTATATTATTGTTGTAGCACTTCGCAATCAAAAACCTGTGTGTAACAGAGACATCAACCAATATACTCACGGAGTTGGTGGAAATGTGTCGCGAGTTGATGAAGGATGACGACAAAAACCCTGTAAGTATATATTTTACTTTTTAGTGAAAGGAAGTGACACAAGTAGAACACTTCTTTTAGTGGGAACCTCTTGCTCTTGCGCGTACGTTATTACTGCTTAAAAGATCAGACAAAGACAATTTGGCAGAGGTAGATGCGATGCTACAGAAGGCCATTGAATTAGATCCCCAGAGGAGGAATGTCTATCAGAATATAATTGATATCGTGAGAATCACTGAAAACCTTTGTCATCCCATGGAGAACTTGGACAAAGTAATATCAAGAGATGAAAACGAAGTAAACTTATCTCAACGCAATATAAGATCGTACGTTTTAAAGTTCGATTTATTATAGTTATTGCTTTTTAATTTTGCGATTTTTATTTTTAAATTAAAATTTGTTTGAAAAATCATTTCAGGTCAATAGCCGTTTCTTTCAACATAAAACTAATAAATAAACGTTTAGAGTTAGCCATCTACATTATCTTGCTGGACATATCAACTCTTTGGTGCTTCAGTATAACAGGATTGAAGATACCAAACAATTTAACAGCTTTCCATTGCTTATTCACCTTACACTAGATGACAATCCGGTGACAAAAGTACACTCCGACCTTCGGTTACCTTGTTTGGAGTTTCTCTCATTAGCCAGATGCCAAATTCAGTCTTCTGATGCTTTAAAGTGCCTTCCTAATGTAGCTCCAAACCTCAAACGTCTTCTAATATGTGAAACTCAGCTAGCCAAAGACGAAGAACAGCTGAAACTGCTGAAGGATAGTTTTGAACAACAACAATATCATGTAACTGTCATTGTACATTATTTGTAACTGTGATTTTTTGCTTTATAAATATTTATTTTTTCAAAAGTTTGATTGCTGTATTAGGTTAATATACAAAGAAAACATGATAAAAACAACCACCAACTTTTGAAACCAATTTAGGTAAAAGTACAAACTCGTTATCAGTTTTTGTCATGAGTAACTTAATTTTCCAAAATGCGTAGGTTTTAATTTTGATAAACAATATTTTGTTGTCGTCCTACTGTTGATATTAGTCACAAAACATAGTTCATCAAGATTCTCTACCCAGATACCGCAAATGATGACTAACTTGGCTTTTGCGAAAAATAAAATTTCAAAAGTTTTTCCCTTTTCCGAACTTTGGACCTCTTTATCTCGGGTTATAAAAGTCTCCTGGGTCCTGTGGGTAACGTACATGTACATAATATTCATGGGTAACATAATATTGTTTTAGATTCGGGTCAGGTTTTCCTCTCCTGGAGGCAATTTTTTCCCAAATTTCATTTATTTTTCGTTTACCTGTGCGATGGTAACAACATTGACGCTCTAAATGGAAATGCGTGGAAGAGATTTCCATTTTTCGAAAAAGTTTTCGTCAAAATTTGCGGGATTTTTGATTTTTCGTGCGATTTTCAGCCTTTAATGTCGAAAAAGCAAGGTAAAATAAGGTATTTTAGACTTGGAGATGCTGGAGGAAGGATACAGGGCTGGGACCGAGAAGAAGGACAGTTACAGAGCATCTCACAGCAAAGTAAGACTGGAAGCGACGTTGTCAGTGGAAAGAAATGCAGTTGTTGCTCTTCTCAAGCAGGTAAGTCAATGTTTTTGATGTTTTTTTCGTGTTTAGACGTCAAACTCTGATGTACAAGATTATTATTACGTCAATAAAGGCGATAGAAGCCATTACAATCAGTATTTTGTTGATGAAACATCTAAAATTAAATCTTTTGGCTATTTTGCAATAAAATTCAATAATTTTAGCAAACAATCGACAACCAGGCTTGGTTCAGTGCCCACGGGTCGAATAATTACCACAGCAGGATAGTGGAATGTTGTCAAGAGCTCACTCTTAACATAGATCTGATTAGTGGATCAGTAAAGACGATTCAAGAAGCCTCCTACAAGTGTGATTATGATGAACATACTCCTGGAAATGGTTTTAGGTATGAAGTTTTTTTAAATATTTTTTTTATTGAAAAATGTATTTTACTTTTGATTTTTTGTTTCCCATACCCATGTTGATTATTTAACTTCTAATTTGTTACTCTTGACTACTTTTTAATATTCACCTAAAAATTATTTTAGGTCGTTGGTGTGTATATGTGATACGGTAATGTTGCAATTGGTGGCCATTATGAAGAACTGCTCAGACAACAGGAACAGTATAATGTTCCGTTCTAAGTGGATATGCAAAGAAATGGAGAGTTTTGCTGCTATTTTCAGATTCTTGATATTGGCTTTTCAACATGTAAGTGTGAAAATAGGGGTTGAAGGCTATATCTGTCGTTAATTTGACTTATATAATGAGATGTTGCCATAAACGTTGTGTGTAAAGGTTGTAATATATAATTCACTTATTTAATATTTTAGGTTGTGTTTCTCCTTGAAGACATGCCGTCAAGTTCGTTGTTCCCTCCTTTGGATTCTGATTACATGAAATACAGTGGAGTTCTGAAGGGAATCGAGAATCTGGACGCTTCTTGCTTCTATGGTAGATCTTTTGGGTTTCAAGTAAGTTTGATCGTTAAGATATCATAATTGTAATGCCTTTCAGTCATTATCGTTTTTTGATATCTAACCTTTGTTACTTTGAATGTTTTAGTTCAGCCCTTCAGTAACTCGTATCTTCCGACTGATTGGAATAGTACTAGCCACGTACAGTTTGTCTTGGGACAATGGATCGGCCGCTTTTTCGTCTCTGATGGCTTCGTCTCGATTCCTGTTGTCTCCAGAACAACGTGCTCATCGTATCATTAAAGTGACACGCGAAGCCGACATCGAGTTTTGTAGAGGATTCTGGAATCTGTCTGAGATTCCAGCTCCAAAGTACTTTTGTCCTTCTATGGCCGTGTACCAGATGGTTCACATTCCAATGATGGGACCACTGAAGATGGAGAAGCAAGGTGGTGGAGTTGTCATGATCCCTGAACCATCTTCGCACGGTCCACCGGCTCCAATCAAGATGCGGTTGTTTTCTTCAGTCTACAGAGAAGGCATCGTAGGTTTTCATATTTTTTTACTTGAAGTTTATCTTATAGTAAATGCTTATACCTATTGTTTTATTATAATAGCATATCAAACTGTTCGTAATTTTAGGCAACAAATCCAGGTTGTCGTACTGTATGTCCGGCTTCTCCCAATCTCGTGGTCCATTGTCACGGTGGAGGCTACGTGGCTACGACTTCCAAGTCTCACGAAACCTACCTCAGGTCATGGGCCAAAGACCTCGGATGTCCTTTGGTGTCGATCGAGTACTCTTTGTCTCCAGAATTCCCATTTCCTCGCCCTACAGAAGAAGTACTTTATGCATTTGCTTGGATGTTGAACAACCCGGAGAAGGTGGGCTGGACTGGGAAAAAGATCGTGTTCTGTGGAGATTCAGCTGGAGGGAATCTGATCGTGTCGACTTCACTGAAGCTGATAGAATTGGGAACCAAGAAACGACCAGACGGACTGGTGCCTATCTACACTCCCTTCTTGTTTCAGGTAAAATATTTACTTTTATTAGTCTACTATGTTTACTGTACTTTACATTTGATTATTGTCAGTGTAAATTTTATTATTTATAGTATCTACCTTCGCCCTCTCGTGTCCTCAGTTTTATGGATCCTCTGCTCCATATGGGTGTGGTTATACGATGTGCAGCTGGTAAGAATTAGTTTTTGTAATTTAAATTTACTTTTAAATTTATGTGATGAAGCTTGAGAACTTATTATCACCGATATTGCAGCCTACACAAACGCCTGTCCCAACGGTACCAAAGCCGAGCAAGATCGTCGTGAAGCTGAAGAGAAGGCTCATGTTCATCACAAATCGTTGTTGGAATACGTTGATGAAATCAACAAGCAGAAGGAGAACATGGGTCTTTTTAATTTGGCAGACTTTGGGTCACAACCCATCGTATCTCTGGTCAATTTGACTGAAACATCGCTCTCGACCATGAACATGTTCACTCCTAATAACACAGCCTCGATTACCTTGGACAAGATAGTGGAATCAGAAGCCAACACATCGTCCTCAAGTGATGAAACCAGAGAACGATCGGGGAACGATTCTGGAATGAACACGAACGGAGAAGAGGAAGACGAAGAAGCAGAAGCTCAGCCCAATATTACTTTAGTCCATGTGGATGGAGACCCTAATCATATCTGTCTCAGTGCCAATAACTACGATCACCATTTATTAGACTATCTACAGAGTCATCCTTTGACGAAAGAGTAAGTTGATTGTAAGACATTGTTATTTCTGTAATTTTTTGAAAATATTTTTGTTGTTTTTGTGCATTATTTATTGTGTGCGTGCTTGTGAAGGTATATTATCTAAAATTTGAGTTTTATATGCTATATGTAACCTTTGTATATTTCAGTTCTCTTCAACCTCTTTCTGTGCCAACATTAGAAGAAGACGACGATGCGTTCGAGACTAGTTTCTATGAAGATTCAGATGACACAACTCCAGTTCAGTCCAAGTCTTTCACCGCATTCTCAACGCCCAATAACAAGATATCGTTATCAAACAAGAAACGGGTAACACAAACAGAACGTCCGGCTAAAACTAAAGTTACAGTAAGTCTTAATTTTTTTGTAAACTTGTTTTTTGGCTTTAATTTTTTAAATAATGGTCTATAAGTCCTCTCAAATGCGTGAATGTACAGATTATTATTAAATCTAATTAAAAATAATTATAGCGAGGACGTTCCTTAAGCCAATCTCTGCTAGACACGGCTTCACAAGCCGCAGGGCATGCTTACGATTCTTTTTCGAACTGGTTCGAAGGTGAACATGCTCCTCTTGGTCATGTTGACAAGCCCAAACTGACCCGGTCGAAGACGATGAGCGTCTACGAATCAGCTTTGATACAACAAGCAGAAGCCGAAAAGATGGAATCTTGCTTCACGGAACTTCTCAAGCTGGATCTACCTCGCGAATACCTCATATCACCCATGTACACTCCAGACGAGATCCTCAAACAGCTGCCGCCTACTTATTTTATAGTAAGTCTTGCAATGTTTGTGTTGTTTGCCGTAGTGTCAAGCAGAGTTCCCACGGGCTCCGGAGCCGGAGCTAAAATTTGAAAATGGTTGGAGCTGGAGCCGGAGCTAGGATTTCTAAATTTGGGAACTCTGGTGTCAAGTTATAAAATTATACATACATAGTAAACTTTTTGAAACCAGTCATTGACATTACCTCATTACTGTTCTATTCCCTAATATTAAATGTGGATCGTACGTTATGTTAATATAAAATTTTTAGGCGTGCCACCTGGACCCCCTACTTGACGATACAGTATCTTTTGCACGTCGTTTGAGGAACGCTGGAGGTACCGTGAAGTCGGTGGATCTCTTGGACGCCCTCCCCCACGGATTCTTGAACTTCACTCCGATGTCTAAAGAGTGCCATGAAGGTGCACACGCTTGTCTCAGACGGATCAAAGAAGCCCTTCTATCGTAATTAAGTGCCTTAAAAGGTTGTACACTTGTTAACTCTTATTTTGTACTAACCAACTTACGTTATCCTCAACTGTGATCTAACTGTCCATAGACTTACATACTGTGATAAATTAATTTTTATGTTTCTTCTGATATTATGGTTTTGTTAGGTCTGATGGTAGAGTTGATTTACTTTCGGTAAGAACTTTCAAAGCCACTTTTTTAAGTCATTTTTGTTATTTTTTTAATTGCGCGGGCTTGATGCCTGATTTGTTGCGGAAAGAGAAGACATAAAGTTTATAGTTACTAGTCCTTTAAACGTTCATAAATGGCTTGCTCGCACAGATGTCTGCAAAGTATATATCTTCATTATAATGTTATAGGTTAAAAATCAAATTGTATAGTGTAAATAGAAACTTGCTAAGAAAATTACAAGTATGAAATTACTTTATAAAAAGTTACCTGTAGACGTAAGTTATTTTCTTATATATTTAAAAAAATAACAGGCAAACTTATCTTAACGAAGCTTAAGTTTTTTTTAAAACAATTATTGGCGCTAGGACAAATGCGGATTTTGGACATTTGCGGATTTTTTTAAAGGTTTTTTTTATTTTTTAGTTAATTTAGTTGTAGTATGGTACTAAATTGTACTAAAGTTTAAATTGGTACTGTTTTATATTTTTTGGTACTGAATGGTACTAAAAGCCCAAAATTGTACTGTTATGTTAAAACCGTACCAATTTAAACTTTAGTACCATTTAGTACCATATTACAACTAACAAGGAAAGTACCCTACCTGCAACTCCCAGAATTAACTCAAAATTTTTATACGGATTCTTTGTAGTACCAGTAGCACATATAAAAAATCTTAGCTTGCGCTTTTAAGTTTTAAATTTAAATTATTTTGTTTTCCCGCCATTTTGGCAAATTTGGCATTGTGTTTCAAGCACTTTTTTTGACTTTCCAAATAAGCTACACTTACAAATTTAAAATTGTAGGTTCATTTTAAGGTATTATTCTACTAGTATATTAACGAAAAATATTTTAAAGTCAAAAAATAACAAAGTTAGAAGCTTGAAACTTGCAAATTTGGCGGAAAAATTCAAAACGCGATTTTTTGATCTCAATTTTCTCAAGAGTGGCCGCAAACCGCAACTTGGAATTTTGCATAAGGCCTTACATTCACATGATCTTTCTACAGAAAAAGTTTGAATCGAATCTGGGCGTTGCAGGTCGGGTACCTTCCTTGTAAATTAACTATAAAATAAAAAAAAATCTTTAAAAAATCCGCAAATGTCCAAAATCCGCAAGTGTCCAAAAACCGAAGATCCGAGAGAAATGCGTTATCCATTGGTCAATTGCACCATGTAGAAATTTCAAGAGATATCAGACTATGAGAGCAAAAGTGGCCCAGGCAGGAGTCGAAACCTGCATCCTTCGTTTTGGTCTTTATTGGTTTGTATAATGATTATTGTATGTCTTATAGAATGATTGATTGGTAAATTAATAAATAATATATAACAAGGAAAGTGTCAAAAGGTGTACCTAACGCCCAGACATGTGATACAGCTCAAAAAAATTCTGTGATCGTCTTGATTAAGAATCTGTTTTCAAAAGTTGCTAAATTTTTGTTTCGACCGAGTTATGGTCGTTTAAAGTTTGCACTGTTTTCCTATAAATTTCTCAAAACGGCCATGAAGAGAAACGAACGAAAAGAGAAGCGTGGTCAGGTGGCCGAATAGATAAAGCGTTATCCTTCGGTGACGCTGCCGCAGGTTCGAATCTCACTGCGTGCAATCTCTTTTTTACTTTTTATCTGATTATAAAAAGTGCTGCAAAAGCATCGTTCGTTTTTCTTCATGGCCGTTTTGAGAAATTTATAGGAAAACAGTGCAAACTTTAAACGACCATAACTCGGTCGAAACAAAAATTTAGCACCTTTTGAAAACGGATTCTTAATCAGGACGATCACAGAATTTTTTTGAGCTGTATCACATGTCTGGGCGTTAGGTACACCTTTTAACACTTTCCTTGTAAAAGCCCTTTAGGCAAATGATTAACTCTGTCAAATCGGTATCGACCGAGAGATTAAGAAAGATTATTGAAAAATATGAATATTTATATTCTTTTCGAATTAATTACCGAATATTATATTCTTTTCGAATTAATTACCGTAGAACCCGCGTCAGTGCACAACGCCAAGCTCGCGTTGTGACCGAACGACGGTGGCAATTCGAAGCGAGAATAGAGAGAGAGAGTTGACACAATGTGTCAAGCATTATATTATAATAATAAAAATATAAATTCTCGGAGAGATCCGATGGAATCGGACAACGGGCATGATAAAAAAAAGTTGTCAACAGGTAAAATGAATGTCTTATAACGACAAGCAGTTTAAAAAAGTCCCATTCCATTTTGCCATTTAGCACAACAGTTACAAAAAAGTCTTAAAACGAATTTTTAAAAATTTTATATTTTTGCATTTCTATACTCAAGTGCTACCCCTTATCAAAAAATGAGCGGTTTTCAAAATAGTAAATAGTTGAAATTCTTCATGTCTGATTCTTTCGCCACCTTTTTTAAGCTCTAAGGATGTTTTGGATAGACATAACGGCTTTTTTAAAAACTGTTTTATTATAACACAATAACTGTTTTAATTGATATTTTTCCATTTGGGTGCACTTGTTAAGATACGACGAAATTTCCGACCAATATTTTTTACTTGTTCTTCTCTACAAAGGTTGAATACTTTCATTTTTCGCAATTGACTTAAAGGGTGATGTTTTATCTTCGTATATGGATATTCATCATCAAATTCTTTAAACACTGGATTTGCTGAAAGATTGCATAATTATCTTATTTAGTGGCAAGAAAAATTGTTTATAAAATTGCTTTTATAAACAAAGGGTTTGATCACCACTATCTCTTCAAAAAGTTTGGATTAAGAACTCTACATTTTCAAATTTCACAAGGATTTATAATACACATACATGCATGCCGCAAAATAACCTGATGTTTTTTATACGACAAAAAGTGGTCAACTAATGGTCAAAAATGTCTTTCAAAGCAGTCCTAAAATAAAATACAGGGTGTCCTGAGAAAAACGAAAAAAAAACTAAAACGTTTCGGTAGAGAAGAAAACTAAAAATGCCAAACTTAGCACTGTGAAAGATCGGACATGCGGTTTTTTGTATTAAAACTTTAAATTTTTAATGTGCATTTTGAGGGAGTTTTGTTTTTTTTTTTAAACATTAGAGCTACCCTTGGGTCGAGCCCGGCCCGTTTCTCATCTCTAGACACATGCAGTTTTTTGTACCAAAATTTTGAATTTTTAAAGTGCAGTTTGAGGTCGTTTTGATTTTTTTAAAATTAAGAACTATTTTCCCCGAAATTACGCATATTTTCAGTAGAAAATGCTTTTAGGATAAAAAATAGTGTTTTTAACAAATTTTTGGTTGAAAATGGCATTTTTGACAGTTTTTGTTTTTTCATTTGTCGGCGAAGGTTATAACTCGCTTAAGAGAAGATTTGTACTTCAGTGGTGTAGCGGCAGAGCGCTCCATTACGAAGCAAATCAAGGCGGGTTCGAACCCTCTCGGTGACGACACTTTTTTTGCAGCGGCTGTTTAAAATTTTAAAATTAAGGGTTTTTATCATTTTTGGAACTTTAAATTTTTTTATTTTCTTTTTTTGTTTTTTTTTCATTTTTGGAAATTTCAAAATAAAGCAAAAAGTTCGAATATCAAAAGATGTTTGATGTTTACTTTGAGAACGTTCCGGACAATGTAGTCATTATTAGGATTACTTGTTAGCGAAAAGTTATGGCTACGGGTGTCTAGGGGCTATATTGTATAGTCGCTAGTATAGGGTATGGTAGGATAGTATGATATGGTAGCATGTGCTTAGAGATGAGAAACAGGCCGGGCCCGACCCAAGTTTAGCTCAAGGCTTCATCCTTACATCCTTTACATGTGCCAATAAGATCTCATCCTTACATGTGCCAATATTTCACAGTGCTAACAAGAGAATGTTAAAAAGTGCCTATTCGATTTTTAAATGTGAATGGTACCGTGTGAAAAAGCGTAAAAAGTTGATTAGAAACCTATTTTCAAAAGCTGCTAATTTTGCCTTACAAAGCCCGCTAGCGAGCTTCTATAACCATTATCGAAAGGGCCTTTTGTGTTGTTATTCTTTCTTTTAGATTCTTGTATTTTTAAAAACCTTAGTTTTTACTTTTTTTTGTTTTTCAACCCAACCTTCACTTTGGGCCCCACCAACGGTAAAGATACCGTATTCTTCAAGCTACGACTATTCTTCATTTACTTATTCCTTGTTACTACTTCCTACTATTGAACCTATTGTATACGTCATACTTATTACTACTATACTGTTAATATTGTATCGTACTATTCAGAATAAACTATAATTATTATACTATCGAGATTGTTAACCTATATATTCATTAGAACCACACAGTCCCAAAACGACGGACAACAAGTTTTTGAAAATAGATTTCTAGTCAACTTTTTACGCTCTTTCACAAGGTACCATCCACTTTTAAAAATCGAATTGGCATATTGTAACATCTCGTTGTAAGTTTGGCATTTTTAGCTTTTTTCTCAAGCAAAATATAGCGTTTTGGTTTTTTTCGTTTTTCTTGGGACACCTTGTATTTAATTTTTCCTGCACGGTATGCGTTTCTTATTGCGTAAAATTTCTTTAGCCCAAAATTCTTCCATCTATCTTAAATATTTTTCAATACACTTACTTCTGTTAAACTTGACATATAACAGAATGCCATAGTCGAAGTTACCTTTGTCGAGTGAATATATGTTAGTAAGTGGAAGGCTGATTAATTTGTGCATATTTATTAAAATCGGCGTCGAATAAGATTTAAACTCCCAACATTTAGTCCTCTCGTTGTACCAGACTGCCTAAAAAAGTTTTACAATTATATATTTGTAGTACAACTTTTGTACACGTGGGACGTGTTTTTTATTTATATTACAATGCTACAGGTAGGAGTAGAGGTAATTACTGCAGCAGAGTTAACTGTATTACGAGTGTCGATTAATGGGGGATATTGGCCGTAGATACTTTTTCTAAACTGAGAAGCTACTGGTACTTGAAAGTTAGTGGATACCTATGGAAATTTAGATGCTTGATTCTGAAACCACTGTAAATTGTCACACAGCAAAAAAATGTTTCTACTCTATTACCATGAGTTAAATATTAAATTTAATCCTTGATTAGAAGTGATTACCAAGTTTAAAATACCGGTGTTGATGTACAGGGTGTTCCGAGAAATTTGGTCGCTGGAAATAATTCATAACTTTGCAACTATGCATCCTAAAAATGCCAAATTTGGCACAGTGGTAGAACAGGCTAGTACATTTTTTTATGGAAAATTTTGTTTTTTAAAAGTGCAAATTACGGTCATTGTGAATTTTTAAAAATCAGCATTTCACACCGAAATTACACATATTTTGGTTGTAAATGAACAGTTTTCGTCGACTCTTGACATTTTTTGCTTTCTTTTCTGGAAAACTGCGTTTTTTGTGTCTGCGAAGCCTCGGCGGAAGATCGGCGGACGTAGCCGAGTATCGGCGAAGACTATAACTTGGTTCAAATTTGTCGTACCGACATGAAACAAAAAACTACACTATTTTGAGTACGGTACTATATATTGTGATATGAAATATTTGGGTACGGCATGGGTATGGATAAAGGTATGGGTATAAATATGGGTATGGGCATGGGTTCGGTATGGGTACGGGTATGGCATGGGTATGGGTACGAGGGTGGATATGGATATTGGCATGGGTACGGGCAGAGACGTCGTTTGGGGGAGGGGGTAGGGGGGTACTCCCCAAAACCAGTCCGAAAAAAAATTCCACAGGTCCTGTACGCAAAAAAAACAAAAAAAAAGTCTTGGGAAATCGGTCCACAGAAAAAATTTATTTCGGTCTCCCCCTCCCCCAGAGAAAATCCGTAGCGACGTCCCTGGAAATGCTACAGGTAGGAGTAGAGGTAATGACTGCAGCAGAGTTAACTGTATTACGAGTGTCGATTAATGGGGGATATTGGCCGTATTTAACATTTCATAACAAAAAGTCAAATAAATTTTTGCAAATATATAAAGTACGTTTAAAATTAGAAGCTAAAACATCAGAAAATACATAGTATATTATAGATTGCCCGGTTTAGTCTCTTTAGAGTAACATTTAAATAACCTACTTCTTTTGTTAAGTTGTTTGAAATTAAATCAGCGCCCATCACCACCCACCGGCTTGTATCTATATGAACAGGAACGTGAAATATACAGTTGCCAGTTTCAATTTGGTATAAGCTCAATTCTTCCGTACCTAAAAGAGCAATTGTACATTGATGGTATTATATATAATATAATAATTTATATATAATTTTACAGCTAGTATTCCTTTTTCTAAAATTAAAAATCCAATTTCAAACTATTTAGCACAAAAAAATTAAAATACTTACGACGAACAATAACGTTGCCCTTTTCGTTCAAAATGTATATTACGATTCTCTGGTCAAGCCTTTCACCTTCAAAGTCTAATTGACAAATCTTGTGAATACTATTACTCTGCATGTCTAGTACAACAAACTCAAGTTTTTCCGTTATTATACTAATATATCTTTTGTAGTTATAAGGAGATAAATCGTAGATAAGTATATCGCTTAAGTCTTCGTAAAGCTTCAACTTGACATCGAACTTCTATGGGTATGGGCATGGGTTCGGTATGGGTACGGGTATGGCATGGGTATGGGTACGAGGGTGGATATGGATATTGGCATGGGTACGGGCAGAGACGTCGTTTGGGGGAGGGGGTAGGGGGGTACTCCCCAAAACCAGTCCGAAAAAAATTCCACAGGTCCTGTACGCAAAAAAACAAAAAAAAAGTCTTGGGAAATCGGTCCACAGAAAAAATTTATTTCGGTCTCCCCCTCCCCCAGAGAAAATCCGTAGCGACGTCCCTGGATACGGGTACGAGTGGGTACGGGTAGGGGTATGACATCAATGTGGGTATGGAATGGGTACGGGTATGGGTTTGACATGAGTATGACATTGGTATGGCAAGGGTTTGGCATGGGTATGGGTACGGGTATGGCATGGGTTTAACATATTTTTAGAACAAAAGTAAATTTTTCTGAAATTAAATTATGATTTGAAAACAATGTTCTTTAAATTTGGAAGTTATTAGTTTTTGTTTCATGTCGGTACGACAAATTTGAACAAAGTTATAGTCTTCGCCGATACTCGGCTACGTCCGCCGATCTTCCGCCGAGGCTTCGCAGACACAAAAAACGCAGTTTTCCAGAAAAGAAAGCAAAAAATGTCAAGAGTCGACGAAAACTGTTCATTTACAACCAAAATATGTGTAATTTCGGTGTGAAATGCTGATTTTTAAAAATTCACAATGACCGTAATTTGCACTTTTAAAAAACAAAATTTTCCATAAAAAAATGTACTAGCCTGTTCTACAACTGTGCCAAATTTGGCTAGGATGCATAGTTGCAAAGTTATGAATTATTTCTAGCGACCAAATTTCTCGGAACACCCTGTACATTACAACCTTGACGTTTAACTCCAGAATTATATAATGAAGTAAACAAAATAAAATTCACTATTAAATATTCTTAGCTAAACGTAATAGATGTGCTAACACAAATTTTTGAGTACCTATCTACAATTACTGGTAAGTTACATGGGTGGCCTAGTAATTTTGTCTACTTTTTGAACCCCAAGAATCTATTGGTGTACCTAAAACAAACTTCAGAAGTTACTAATTTTTTCATATTACAAACAAAACATTGGGGGTCTATTTGGATGTCGTATGCCAAATCTCAGCTCTACCGAATGAGACACCTTCAAGTTACAGGGTGGTAGACTAATTTTGTCAACCACGGGAGCAGGAGTTTTCGGGTAGGGACATTTCGGGTAGCGACTTTTCGGGTAGGACATTTCGGGTAATGGACTTTTCGGGTGATGGATATTTCGGGCAATGGTAATTTCGGGTAGGGATTGTTCGGATAGCTACTTTTTGGGTTATTGACATTTCGGGTAGGAACTTTTCGTGTAATTTAAAATATTAATTTATGGATAATTACAATAAAATTATAGACTTAAAATTATGACTTGCAATGTTAAAAACCGTAATTATAAATTTAAAAAAAAAAAGTAAAAAAAAGAAAGGTCGCATGGCAACTAGAATACTGTGAACGTTAGCGTACCGTGCCGTGAACGTTCTAAAGTTATTGTTTTTGAATTACGATGATAACGATATCTTACATTTACTATTATCTATTTTTGCAAAATCTTTACAAAAACAGTAACACTAGAACGTTCACAGCACGGTACGATAACGTTCATAGTATTCTGGTTAGCAGGCGACCTTGCATTAAAAATATACAAAAAAAGTATCATAGGAACGTTGAAGGTGCCATGTCAACGTTAACGATAAAGGCAAATGTGGTTCAGTCACATGAGATTTAGTGACATGTGATTAGGCCAGGGTAAAAAAGGATATATGATTTAGTCAGGTTGTGATTCAGTCTCCTACCGTTTATAGCATAAAAACTGAAAATTATATAATTCATGGTTTATATATTATTAATTATAATCCTTTAATCGTTAATATCTCGTTTGCCAAATCAATTTAGCAGTTTTTGAAAACAGTTTTCCAGGTAACTTTTTACGCTCGCTCTTTCATGCTATTTATATAGGTCTCATTCAAAAAGCCGAGGGATATTTGGTGATATTTCCTAGTAAGTGTTGTAATCTTTTCAGTATGTACTTTGAGCCCAAGCCTGGTCTGGCCTTAGACGTATCTACCAAACACAATTAAACGCTGTTGCGGAAAGATATAAAATTTATAGTGAATGGTCCTTTAGCGTTCATAAATGGCTTGCTTACACACGTGCATGAAAAGTATATATTTTTATTATAATATTTTAGGTTGAAAATCAAATTGGTAGTTTAATTAGAAGCTTGTTATAAAAAACTAAGTATGAGGTTACTTTATAAAAGGTTACCTGTAGACGTAAGTTTCTTTTTTTATATTAAACATACCAAATAACAGGCAAACTAATCTTAACAAAGCAAAGGATTTTTTAAAACAACCATTATTAAAAATATTTTGGTGCTTTACAAACACTGTGGTGGTAACTTGTCTTATATTGGGTATAAAATTTTTTGTTTTAGGTTTGGAAAGTTATAATAGCTAAATTGGACAAATTGAAAGACATAGTTTCGTTAGCTACGGTGAACAAGTTCTTCTACTCTGCAGTCAACATGGATTTCCAAAAGCTGTGTTATCAGAACACCGTGTACCGGACCAAAAACGAGCTTTGGGCTTGGGCTTTTTACATGTAAGGGCTTTCAATTGTTTTGTTTTAAACTATTTTTAAAAACAATACTATGTAAACTCAACTATAAAATTTTAAAAAGGTGCTTTAACATTCAAAGTTTGAAATTACTAACAAATTGGACCTTTTAGGACTCTTTTTCGTACATTCCGGCCGGAAGGCCAACGAGATTCATACGGTTTGTACCACAACATGCACCCTTGTTGTCCGTACTCCGGGAAAATTGCACTTTCAGTTGGAGAGTGTTATGTCTTAGTTACACACGTTGATTTCGGCAAGAAGTCATATCTACTAGTCGACTTTGAATCAGCTGTCATGAGAGTTCAATTGATTCACAAAGGAGAACAAATGATTGTGTATACTGTATCTGGCTACATGTTGTACGACTTTAAAGACAAAAAAATTGTGAAAAGAATTGAAAATTCAGAAAGTACAAAGCCAATGTTCTACTCTCTGTTCCTTCTTGAAGATGGCGCTGTGACAGACTTGTACTCGTTCAAGAAGTTCGATGTCAATTTCTAGAATGTATATTTATGACATATCTCCATATAACTTTAGGAGATATATTGGTATGGTTACTGAGAAACTGGATCTTGTTGTATTAGACATGACAAGAAACACAATCCACAACATATGCCACATAGACGTTCAGCCTGAAAAGATTTGGGAGATAGTTTTGGTACATATTTTGAACCAGAAAGACGATGTCATCGTGAATCGTAGGTTTACCAGAGTTTAAGTGACATACTATACAATATCTAAAAAAGGTGTTGACAAACTAACTTATCGTTAAAACTGAATTTTCATAATTTTATTAAACATCAACAATATAAAGTTGTTAATTCAGAACCCACCGAATTGAAACTATTTCGCATTCATACTGGTGAATGCATTCATGCTTTTACAAAAGGATGCACAAGCCCAGTAATGAGTCACAACTTAATTTTAGATGCCACATTGCGACAGGTAAGTCAGTTATATATTTTAAAACGGAATTAACAAGAAGGGGGGGGGCAAAAATTCTCGTTGTCTCCATCCTCTTTGGCCGTGAATTGCGAGAATTCCTGCCTTGTCACAACAGGAATCCTCGCCTTCCCCCCCCTCTGTTTTTAGTTCCAAAAAGCACTGAGGACGGTAACCCCCCCCCCCCCCCCCCATTTTACACTTACTAGGGAATTGCACCAAATATCCCTCGGCTTTTCACGAGACCTATATAGGATGAAAGAGCATAAAAAGCTGCCGGGAAAACTGTTTTCAGAACCTGCTAAATAGATTCGGCTAGCGAGATATTAGCAATTAAAGGATTTACATAGGGATTTCTACTTGGTCATTCTCATTCGTCTTGAACAAAACGAATGGATTGAAGCTTCAATCCAATGTGGTCGAGTGGTTAGGAAGTTAGTCTAGGGTGCAGAAGGGGGTTCGAATACCGTCGATTTCATTTTGGCGCTAAGCCATGATGAAAAGAATTTTTGGCTAGCCAAACAATATTTTGATTAAAAAAAATATTTTTTATCGTATTTTTTGCTTAAAGACACTTTTAGAAAAATATAATTCTCAAAAAATATCATTTTTTGAAATTTAAAGCTAAACCTTGTAAACATATAAAGATATAGAGCATACTGTAACTCGCTAGCCAAGGCCATTTAGCAGTTTTTGAAAACAGTTTTCCCGGTAACTTTTTATGCTCTTTCATCCTATATAGGTCTTGTTCAAAAAGCCGTGGTATATTTGGTGCAATTCCCTAGTTAATAATAAATTAACTTTTAGGCAATCTGGTACAATGAAACTAAAAAACGGTGGGATATTAAGTTTTATTCAAAGCCAATCAAGCTGGAATATTATAAACACGTATGTCTACCTATGACCAACGTTCATTCTATTTACAATCGGTGGCGTGAAGGTGTGATTGCCCCTATGGTATACGTTGATTTTAGTAAAAGTAAGTATTTACAAAGATTTTGTTGAATTAGTTAACATAACTTACCTTAGGATCGTCTTTTATGTGTAAAAACTTCTTATTATGTAAAAGCTTAACTCTAAACAAATTTAAAAATTAAAAAGAATCCATTTTATTTTATATTTCCAGCCAATCTAAGCTTTAAAGAGTTTGATCACCGATATAGGATTATGCTAAAGCATCCGCCAGAACTTCTCCGAAACATCAAATTAGACGGACTTTGCAAGAAAGAACAAATGAAGCTCATTCAGGACAGATTTAATCGTATGATATTTTAACAATTACTTTACATTGTTAAGTAAAGCTTTTGGTTTGAAATCGGAGGGAGGGTATTTCATATGCGGCGGGATGAAACGTGCCTGATCGCATTTTAGAAAAACACTTCATAAAAGGTGAAACCGTTGGATAGGGGCTTAGATATGCAATGTATTTACAAAATACTGATAAACATTCAAAATGAAGTCTGCTTTATTTAGTTTACTTTCAAAATAACTTTCAAGATGGGACGTAAAGCACAATATAAGTTATGGCACAAAATACCTAAATTTCAATTCGTTTCCCCAGCGCTTCCAACGGAATTCGAATTTCGGTTTCTTCGTCAGGTTTCCGGTCCCTGAACACTAGTGCTCCCTCCAGAATCTCAAACTTTTTATTGTTTTTCGTGCAGTAATCCACGATTTGGAGGACTTCCGAAAGGTTTAGGGACTTGTTATCCTGAAATTAGTTCAAATGACCTATTCGTCTACAGAGTAATGTCAATATAATGAAATTACATTAGCCTTGTGAATGTAAAATTAATGAAAAATATAGTTTTTCCATATCCTTACGGGTTGGCTGCTGCTCAAGGCACTGGTCGTACTAGGTGTGTTAGCTGGAGTAGGCTCATCCTGAGACGAGCTGATGATAATATCTTGTCGTGAAGATGTTGGGGATGCAGATTCTCGGTTGAGGATTCCGTTACTGTTAAAGACAAGGTTGTATTTTGGTCTGACAACACGTTGAGGTCGTTGAGGGCTTGTTGTGTGCTAAAATAAGACATAATAAAACAACTGTAAGAATGATGTATAACATGGTTTAAAAAACCTACAAAACGGTATCATAGAAATTTTTAATTATAATTTTTTTTAATTTAAAAATAATGGCAGAAGGCTTACATTAAGGAAGTCTAGAGTCCAATTATCGCCGAGATCGCGAGAGAAGAGATTCAGAGAATTAGACACGATATCCTCTTCGTCCATGGGCTCTTGCTTCATTGTTTTTGAGACAACGGCCTTGCCCTTGTCTTCGCTACTACTACTTACAATGTTCTCTTTCATCGCATTGAACACTGCCAGCTCTACCTAAAATAATTTACTTTACATAGCTTTGTTTTATTTCTTAGTCTATCAAATTAGAATTTATAGAAGCTTATCACACTTCAATTCCAAATGGTTTAACAAATGTCCTGCATCCATCTTTTAAACCCACATTGCTTAACCCCTGCCCAGTATTGTACTTTCTGGCCAAGGTAGATGTCTTTCGTCGCCAATTCCGCCAATGATTCTGAATTTTGCACAGTCCGAGTTCTGCCAGTCGAGGATAGAGACGACACAAGTCCTGAAACACCTTCCCCCAGATCTCCTTCTTCTTCTCGGCTCTCACAACATAACTCTTCCCCATTATCTTGGCCTTCTCTCCCAATATTGTGGTAAGATAGGTCTCGTATGGGCCTATTACATCACAGAACGATATTATTTCTTCGTCTGTGAAGTGGGATTGTTGAGTCATCTGAAAACCTTAGTTTAGTTACTTTGCCTCGTATATCTAACATAAAGGACGGCATTACAACAAGTGAATGTAAGATGGTTGTTATAAGCCAAATTAGTCGACTAGCTAACAATATGCATTAAAAATATTGACAGTGAAAGATTCACAAGAGCTATCTAATACAATGTAACTATTCCCCCTACGTAAATATAAGTCTTTTCTCAATTAAAACGTATACTAACACACTATAATATCCTTAAAACGTTGTCAAGTACAAAGGAAACAAGTTTCATTAAGCATAAGCGGCCGTTTACCTTTTCTTGTACGAGTTACGACCCCACAACCTTGAATTTGTATTGTGAAAAGGGTTTGAATAGGTCTCGTGCCAACCGACTTGAAGTAGTAACCGCAAATGTGCCTTGGCAAGTGGGCTTTGCCATCCGAAAAGTATTCCGGGAAAAGGGGAAAGACACAAAAAGAGCCTTAGAGCTCGACCAGGCAGCGCATTCAGCTCCAACGATCGATCCAGGGAGGGATCGTGCCCAAACGAGAGGGCACAGAGCACGTTTACGCATTACATATGGCCACAAAGTACGCGGCTACATTTGCCACGTTGAACTTGTTTGGATAGGAAATTGTTGGGGTTGAGGTTTAGACTGTATATTACTTAAAGCCCACTACTTATATATGTATTATCATCCAAACAGACACAATATTCGATGTAATATCATAGCACACACTATCTAATACCCAATTTTTGGCCTAAGTAACACACTCACTAACTTTAAAAAAGACAAGAGTAACACATACTTAACCACATTAAAATGCCATTTAAATTATAACATACTTACGCTGTTAGTGCTCTCATCCTTCGTGCTAACATCGAAATCTACTCTCTTTGAATTTACATTAATCACCTCAGTAGAAGGTTTGGACAAGTTCAAGGTAGGTTTAGAACGTGAGCTAGAAGGTACATCCTTTTTGACGTTTTTTGGTTGTTTAACTTCTGAAGATGACGAATTCTTGTTTGACATTATTTTAGACGAAGTTGGAAGTATGAAGTCAAAGCCTGTAGCATCTAGAATTCCCGATTCTTCCTAAACCATGATGATTTAGATATTACAATACATAATGATATTTTATATGTATACAACATGTTACGGCACTTCATAACCTTACATTGCTGAGCTTTTCTCCCCGGTAGAACTTCTCGATGTACTGGTTCCTCTTTGATCTGCATCTTGACCAATGTTTCCGAAGCTGAGCCAACGACAAGTCTGACAGTCGAGGATGTAGCTTGATCAGCTGACTATAAATCTTCTCCCAAATGGCATTTTTTCTTTGTTGTGTAGCGGCTGTCATGACTCCGTTTAACTTTACTTTGTCGTTCACTTTGGCACAGAGAAATTCATCGTACTTGTAGATGAGACCAGTCAAAGATACGATTTCATCTGGCGTTGTCAGACGATTAGACATACCTAAATTTAATCGAACGTTATACTAGGATCGTTTCTCAAGATCAATATAACAAGCAAAACTAAAACAAAACATTGACAAGCATTCTTTTCAAGAGTCAAACCATTTTAGGTAACATTCCCAAGAATTCCTTGGCAAAGAAGTTTGAGGTAACGCTGGAAATATGCTTTTGGCCAAATCATTTAAAGCGGAATCCAAAAAACGCAGCACAGAAACAATAAACCATCAGATGGCTTCTGTTTTGATGCAAAAAACCGTCGCTAATGTTATAATATTTACGAAAAACGTCTCAAATTGGCCATAGAATAGAAGAAGAAGGACAACATAAAATCACGGGTAATTTAAATTCTTTGCAAGGCGTGTAAAAAATATACAGGTTTATCACGACAAAAATATTTAAAAAATAATTTTAAAATTATAAATTTAAATTTTTACAAATAAAAAAGACGACATTTTATACGAAAGAAACTGCTTTTAAATTTTTTTGGAAAAAAAAATATTTTATAGTTAGTTTCTCTGTTTTTCTATTGTTTTCTGTACTGTTACTTCTCCTAATGGCATAAAATCAATCAAGATTTGACATGATTTTGTTTTGAGTAACATGGATAACACCATGGTGAACATCATGGATAACATCATGAATTGTAAGTTTCTTTTTAAATTAATGTCTACATATAAGTTTTGCATGATTAATATTGAAGCCATTATAGACGTGAATGTTGCTGTTGTATACATGATTAATATAAGTTTTTCACGTTCCAAACTTTATTTTTCAACGTTTTTTCTGTTACAATAGCTATTGCGGTAGGCACAATACATGAATGTCCCGCTTTAAATGTCAAAAAGGTTAAAAAAGGTTTTGGGAATTGTAAAAATATTGTTGAGGCTGTGACTAATAGCTTATTATTTATTCTGAAACAATATGTACAATAATCAGAACAAGGAGAAGATCCTGTTCTCTCTCACAGCGTTCTTCCTCTCGTAAGGTCCAATAACCCTCAGGGAGATGAACAGTACCAGGAAGGGGAATACGAACACAACACCCAGAAAAGCCATAATGCCATAAGACACCTTGTCTTTGGTCACTTCCGTTGCAACGATTTGGACACGGCGAAAGAACTTATCACAGACCCTACCGTCGTCACAGGTTCTGTAACACAATATAGTGTAATATAATGTAAATAATATTGGGTTTTGCTAAAACAAGATTAAAAAGTTTACTTTAATTATATTATTATAAGCGATGTCATTGATTTGATAATGATAAGGTTTTTTATAAACTTGAAAGGAAAGAGAAAGAATCAGGAAACGAACTTGCTTTTACCTAAAACACTTCGAATTACTTGTTTACCGATTAATAATCAACAAAAACTCACGATTCGTTGAACAATGCGACCAGACAGACGACTGTCATTACCAATAGAGTCCCAATCGAGACCACCCAGATGTGCCAGATCTCGATCCACTCACGGAACCAGTTCAGAAACCGCTCACACAGGTTCATGGGCTCGGTGTAGAAGGCCATTGTAAAGTAGTAAACAACCCTTAATTTAAGGTTTCTTAACAATTACAGGAGGGTGAACAATATTAATATCTGTCAGGAATGTTAAGTTATATTGCTAAAGATAAGATCTGCTAAATATTAGGGGTTATATTAATATAGATGTAATTAGACAATTATCCTCCAAAAGTTGTATGATTCCCCAATATTCAGTCCATGGAACAGCTCAGCCGAATGCATCAGCGTTTCGAACAAATTTTATTTTTTGTTGAAACGTGAGCAAGCCTTTAATTCTATTACTGATAAGTTTCTTTTATCATTTCTGATTTATTCGCGGTTACTACTCGAGGTGAGAAAGGGGGCCTTTCCCTTCTGGTTTGAGTTCCAGGCTTAACTTGAGATTCAGGAGAATAGATGGCGGTTGCATATAGTTTTAACTTCAAGTAGGCAGCTACCAATATATATGGTTGTACATAAATTTAAAAAATTTATTTTCATGTCTGATTAGCCGCATAACCAGCTTAAACTATTGTCTTTATGCTCTTTTTGTGTTTTTTCAATTTTTACCTAACTTTTTAACTATATTACTTAATAAAAAACATTGTTGTCTATTATAACATCAACAAAACCCTCAATATTGTACATTATAGTTTATTAAAGAGTTTTCTAATTAGAAGTAATAAGTTATGGTGGAATGGATAACAGAATTTGACTATTCAAATATTGAATTATAGAGTAAGCAGTTCATCTTTGGCTTCAAGGTTGACAGTAGACCTTTGCAAAACAAAATTGCGTGTGGGGATAAGAAGTTACAGTAATTACAGTGTCATGTTTGGGGCTACGATTGGTTTCTAAAATACGGTGGGTTTGTACCGGTAACTTATTTAAAGACGGATCAGTTAGGCTTTGAAGTAGCTGAATACCCAAGCAAACGGACTCATAAAAATTTGCATAAACGTTGGCACAAAAGTTCGCGGAATTTGCAAAGAATTTAAATTTTAAAAATTTCAAAGTTGGGCCATTATAACAAAATAGAAATAAAACTTTAGAAGTACAGTAAGATTACAAAAGCTACAGTATGACTTAAATGTTGAAAAGGTACAGTAAACAATTTCAAGTGGATATTAAAGTAAATCACAGAAACTCTAAACAGAATATGTGGTCGATAAGATGATAATGTGGTATCGCCTCAGGGCGCATTCTTGGGCTATTAGAAGAAATTAGATTAACAACAGTTACAAACAACAAAACTACAGTAAGATAACAACAAACACACCCATAAAGAGCTTTAGCCTATTACAATATGGTCCGGTTCTAGTCCAGCGAACGGACCGTGCTAAAAAAGTTGAATCAGAATCAGACTGGTTACAGAATTCAAATCAGCTACAGAATTTTAATTTGATCAAGATTCTGCTTTTATTTGGAATCTACTTAGCGCCAGAATCTGATTCTGAATCTCAATTCTAAAAGTCTTAAAAGACTTCTACTGGGCACGGTGACCATCGTGCACGATGTGTGTAGCGAAGGAGATCTTGTCCGAACACTGACGTTCACAGAGGCCACACTTCCACGGATTCTCGGCCGAGTGTAGCTGTTTGTGTAGCATAAACATGACGCCGTCATCGAAAGAGATACCACAATGTTCACAGTCGTGACGTTCGTCGTGCGAGATCTGGGATTCAGACTTCTTGTACTCTTCAGAATCGTGAGGCTGAGGTGAGGTCGAAGCTCTGGAGCCCGAAGTTGGAGAATGAGTAGATGAGTGGTCATCTGAGCGGGTCTGGGACCAAAGTTGAGATTGGTTTTGCTTCATCTGAAAGAACACATTATAATAGGTTAGACTCATGTTTAATATATACTGTTTAATATTAATGTAGTGTAGTTAACAACCACATTCTTATAAGACTTACCTCTTCGATCAACTTGCTCAACACATTGTTGTTCTTAGCTTCATTGTTGTCGTTTTCAACTTTAACCAATGGACTCTTGCTCTTTGGCAACATTCTTGGACTGGACTGACTTGATGCCGAAGCCAGTTGATTAACATTCAAGTCCCTGTTCATGTTGAGACTCAGTGGGTTCCAAGAAAAGTTGTTCATGAGCTCTGCCATATTCGGTGGGATTGGAGCTGGCTGGGCCAAAAATGGATTCGAAACATTGGTCGGGAGCTGACGAAGCTGGAGCAGCGCTGACGGAAAGTTGGGATTTAGAGTGGGAGGCTTGGCCTGGCTGGGTGGAGAGCTGGACAGAGAATCCTCATCAGAAAGATCACCTTGTTGTAGTAGAGCCAATTCACGGTTAGCGCCCTGGAATGTCAATGATAAAAACTTTTAATTTTAAAATGAAAACAAAATTTATAAAAAAAACATGTATAACATTTACTGCACTATTTTTAAAATATACCCTACGAAAATGTAACGTACCGTGATGTTATCATCGTGCTTGGTCTGATAGTGCAGCAAGATACGTCTGTGATTCGAGAACGTGATGGAGCATCGTTTACAAGCAGCTTGTTCTTGGGCCGTGATGATGTGGTCGTCGGCCAGATGATTCCTCAGCTCCTGATGTTGTCTGAACCTTGTAGAACATCCACTCACGGGACAGTCAAAGTTCTCGCCAGTCTTGATGTGAGTCATCGAGTGTTCCTGCATCTGGTCCTTCCGGAAGAACTTCTTCTGGCAGAACTTGCAGGTATAGGGCTTCTCTCCAGAATGCCGCATCCTGTGACGGTGCATATTGGCCTTCTGACTGAACTGCATCTTGCAGACGTCACACATGTACATAGCTCCTTGATGCTTGATATGAGCTTCAACATGGGCCTTCATGTGTTGTGACATGACCGTGGAGAAGTTACAGTGAGGACAGCTGTGGACCTGCTTCTTAGACTTTTTCATGCCTTGAGGCAGTTCTGGAGACGGTTCTTTCTTGGTCTCCTTAACGACTTCAGTCGGCTCCGACCTGACTTCTTGAGGTTGTTCTGGAGCCTTCTGAGTTAGCAATCGCATCACATCGAATCCATTATTCATCGGGAACAAGTTATGTTGTGGTAGCTGGGGCTGCTGTATCGACTTGAACATCTGAGAGAGCTGGGCCAACTGGAACTGGCCAAACGGAAGTTGTGGCAACATTGTGGCCAAGTTTGAGTTGGGCAAGGTTGAGGGTTCAATCTGTAAAACAAGCTAGATTAGCTTCAAAAAATATATACATTACGGTAACAATACGATACGACGGCATAGATATAAAAAGACACGGTTTGTTTAAATATAATAAAAGTTTTGAGTAAAAAGATTAAATTAAACTGCCACAGTAACCCCCAATTACGTCATGTTTTCCCCCACAACGACATAAATCATCAGAAGTCGGAATCGGATTCACGCAATGTTCGAAACGTAAACTCCAAGAATCAGTAGTCAAGTGTAATATCATTGATATCATCCCCTACCATAACCTTTCAATAACTTTTGTTTTCGTCTGGCCAAGCCCCCTCTGGAGCCAATTTCGGTTCGTAATTGGTGTAGTGGGATGTAATAACAGGTGTGAAAAACAAGACTCATCCCAAAAAGTAACCGAGACCGAGAGGCACAAGCAATTAACACCTAATCCCTGACGTCTCATCTCGAGTGCCAACAACAACAAACTTCACTTTATATCTTGACATTTACTGCGGTTAATGACTCATCTGCCAGCAGTGCTATACAGCTTACAGTGGGCACGATATAGTACACTAAAGCCTACGTAGTACTGTGACTGTCCTATCCCCAGATTTAATCCTGACTAAATATTGTAGGTCATCTCAAAACTGAACACCAAAACCCCCACCTCGGAGACCCCGAAGGTCTACCCATCCTTTTCAAAAAGAAACGTCAAAAACTTTGTTTACGGCTTACTACTACAGTAAAGGGCCCCGATCCATTCAAGGTAAACTCAAACAAGTAGCCCCAACTCTTAAGCCAGGTATCGGGTCCCTGGGTTTGGAAGTGTGGACAAACACTCGCCTTGGCCGTTGTCCCCGCCCCTCGATCCCGGTCGAAAAAGGCTATCGACCAAAACATGTACTGTTATTTGGATATAACATACGATTCGAGATACAACTTCTACTGTCACATCGGCGGATACAATACTATCAAAAATAACTTGGTGATACTCCGTGCGACTTCTTTTGTATTTTAAATCTTACAACTATATTACACATGCTGTAAAACGAACGACCTTTTGACACAATTGACACCCAAATGTACTCAACTTGCTATTAATATTACTAAATGTTTCATAAAGTATAAACAACAATATCAAAAGATGAGCAGAGTCCCATTTTAATAGTATATAACACAAAACTACTCACAATTACGCAACCATGTTACAGTATCTCTTAAAGTTAACCCAAAATTAAAAAAAAATAAAAAAACGTTCATCTTACACTAGCCTTACAGTATCCTCAACCCGTAATTACCCCCAAAACAAGTCCGAGAATTAATCCCGACCCGAGTTGATCGACCGGTCGAGTAAAACAAATGCCGACAGTAAGCGGAAACAAAGACAATAGGCAAACATGTTTGGCCAAGAAAGGGAGTGGCTGGGATCGGGTGGCCGGATCAAGTTCCCCGTCATAGCCATATTGAGAAGACAGCGCTTGGATGACCCTTTTGACCTGTCGGAAGAAATCGACCGAAAAGGGAAACCAGTGTTTGTTGATTATAATTAGGTACTCTAGAGTCTAAGAAGAGCTACATTTGTTATTTTATACCCAAAAGAATTGTTTTTATATCAAAAATTGGTCTAGAAATGATAAGGCCATGTAAACCTCACAGTCGAGGCAAATCAAATTGTTAGGGTTCCTAAAATACCACAAAACCCTAAAATTCAGCCCAGATGCCTATACAACCTTAAGTCGTCAAAAACTAATGCAAACAGTCTATCCAGAAGCGCCCAACCCTTTACAAAACTCTTGACCAAACGAAACCTCTGACGGCAATTAATTTCGCTTAAGGCAGAACAGGTTACCTACAGTACCCCGAATCGAGCTGACAAAAACAAAAAGCGAAAGTACATTCAGAAGTTTGTGTTCCCACACTCAAATCCCGAGTAAATATCTTGGGGATTAATCGAGGCCCGGGATCAAGTGGGCCGGGAACAGTGTATTAGGACCGCATTTGCATAATTCTTAAGACTTTAGACGATTAGGACAGGCTTACTATAGAAAACATAATCCACCATTACCTACATGATACTACAACACAGAATGCTCAAATAATGAAACACAGAAATAATACCAATAAGTTTAGCAGACATTATTAATGTAATCACATCACTGTAACAGTAGATGTGTTTACTTTGACAAACCAGTATTCGAACCTGCCACACCTTTGTTTGTAAAAGAAGGTGGATATAGAGTTTAATGTTGTAAACAGGACTGCTCGTTAACTACGTCAAGGAATTCAGTAAACTGTTATGGTATCCTCAAAACAACCGTGAGCCAATCGAGGAATGGGGGCCAAACAGCCGAGACCAATCGGAGTCCGAGAACATTTGGTTTGGAGTAAAATACGATCAGAGCACAAAATATAAGACACACGGCACGGTCAGCGAACAAGAGTGGAATGGCAAGTAATTGACGACAAAATAACAAATAACTGGAGGAGAACTGTCAAACATTGCAAAAGTCATCGGATAAACATTAGTAGTATAATATACTAAACTAAAGTAGAAGTACTACCCATAATATATCATTTCTCTTCTGAATATCGAAATGAAACTAACAACGTTTACAATAACATGAAATGTCCATAAATGTCAAAGTTACAACCACCTGAACACTAGTCAGACAGACCCAAGCACTTTTATGGTTACCTTAAACATGACCCGATCATCCATAAACACAACCATTACATCCCTAAACATCTCGAGGCGACGTCTCCCTAACCGATGACATAACTCTACGGCATTACGCAACGGCATCTACAACAACATCCTCAGAACACTTTAAATTCAAAAGTAGAAATGTTTTACAGAGTAAGCACGGTTGCGTAGAGGTAGCAGTGTAATTAACTGAAAAAGTTTAAAAAGCACGACTTTTACTATCAATTGTAAAGCAATGTAAGTGTACCTCAATCTAAATCCACCCCAACACATGAAACATGATAATCTTGTCCACCCCTCCCCTTGATCTGAACTGCTCCAGAAGCCCCCTCCCTCCACTCTCGAGCTGATTAATCTCAAATGGCCAACTCCAGTCGAGAGTGCCGCCAAACAGGGAAAGCGAAGGCGAGAGTGCGCACTTTTCCTAAACAAAAAAGATTTCGTTTTCTTTGTCGCCTTTATCAGCACCAGCCCATCGACGGAATGACCTTCACAAATTGGGAAGACGAAGAAGATTGGTGGTAAAACCTCGGCGCAGGAAGAAGGTTGGGAAGGAAGGGAGTGGGACCTCGAGAACAGCAACATATCTCATTGTTACCGTAGTGCAAAAGTCGGATAGCATCTACAGAAGACAACAAAATATTCTAAGATAAAAAACGGCCCAAATATATTATAGTAGTTCCAAAGTTTAGCTCTAAACAATGAAAAACATCTGAAGAGTTTGAAATGTAAAAAGTTGTAACCAATTATTTGAAAATGACAGTTTTAATCGGAGCTACGTTAAAAAACAGCTCAATAGTTAACTTTTTAATGAATGTGCTATTCATAACATCTTATGATTTTCTGAACCCAAAACACTTTTATTCTATACCTACATGTACTTATATTGTTATCTTTAAAAGCTTTTACTCCAAGTTTAATACAAATGTACAATGACATTTTTTAACTCATACCAAAGCCATTTGAATTCAGAATTACTATTGTAGTACCTTAGAAAACACCTCCCTTTTATACCACCCAACTTCTTGTCCTACCCTGAACTAGACCTTATTATTCTATCCTAATGTACAATAATATAACCACAACACAAAGTTCATTCGATTGCTATGTCCTTGATTATAATACTTGATCTAAGTGCTCGAGAGTCTCGATTCAACCGGTAGAGAAGATGAAAGCGAAGGTAAATGCCGGAAAATACGGAAAAACCAAGATCCAAAAAATAAAAGTGGGAGTGCGAAGGCCGTGACATTGACGGGCAGACCGGCTTATCAGATCACTGGACTAGAAGATCTCTTACCGTTGTGGTCATAACGACATTACTGTCATAAAGTGTTTTATGTAGGAAACTAAAGAATCTGGCTAGCTTGTTGTCTTTTTCGAAATTTTAAATCCCCCAACACTTCTGGCTGAAAAGACTAAAATTAAATCAATTTTATAGCTATAGTAACTGTTTAGCCCGAGTGAAGCCTAAGATGACATTTAAAAGCCTCGTGAGCCCAGCTACCGTAGTCTTCCAAAAACAAGTCTACGCACTTCAAACAACCAATAAATCGCCTGAGGGTCCACAAAAAGAATAGGGAAACCTTGATATTAGAGTTTTGAGAAGAGAAGACTGATTTCAATGAATTCAAACAAAAAGTGCCCAAAAGACAAACGGTTTAATGTTGTTACTGTAGGTGTAAACAGTTGTGAGTAACATTTCACATTTTTAATTTAACTTTTATACCTTGAGAAAGCGATTAATGTTTTAAAAGTACGTGTTGCTATTGTGATGTAAATTATAATTTTCTACCTTGCATATCCTAGTCTACCTAGGAAGAGCTATGAGTAACTAACAATAAGCCCTACCATTATGTACTCTTATCAACTCTGGAAGAGGTTCCCCCGAAAGGCTTAACCTACTACAATATAAAATGAGCCTTAAATTTCCTCGCGCAAATGTTTTATAAACAATCCCAGGATATAAATTAGCACCTTTCTATATACATATACCCAAAACAATATCCAGATATTACGTTAGACAAGATAATATCTAGAGTTTGCTTAAGGATGCTATATGATCCATGATATATATAAAGCTATTAATATATGTAAGACTATTGTCTTGTGCTTCTGCTGAGAACTTCAGAAACTTTCTACGAAGTGGTTTCAGATAATTCTGAAGATTGGAAGTTCGAATCTTCTTCAGATAAACCTATCAGTCCAGTCCGGTTTCTGCGCGAAGGTAAGTCTCGAGACTTTCGATTTTATTCAAAAAACGAGATTCTGAAGG